CAACTTCCCTAAAATCCATGATATTAGAGATTTAATGCTACTAGTGTGGCTCAGATGACAGAGAAAATTAACAAGAAATATTAGGCCTGATTTTTTCATAAAGCCATATAAAAGATCTGGACTGAAACAAACAAATTGTAAGACCAATTATTTACAGAAAAAAGCAGCTAACATCACTTGCTCTATTTTTTAAAAAGAAAGAAAACAAACATACACAGCAGAGAGAAACAAGGTGTTCTTGTTCACATAATGCAACTTACTGAAACTAGTTGCTTCCTTTTTTCATTTAGCATGGATAAGTAAAGATTGATTAACTCTAAATAGGAGGTAGGTGTTGTATAGTAGCGCCGCCGGAGCTCAGCATAGTACATCTCTGCCATCTCTGTCACACTCATGTGAATGTCTACACACATCATGGAAAGTTTCTCTTTCATGCGATCACTTCCAAGATCAACATGCATAAAAAAAGTCCTTGAAACAGAAAGTAGTGCTTCTTTGGGCCACTAAAAGAGAATGAAAGGTTACCTGAAGAATCTTAATCCAGTGATACAGTCAATGTCTCAAACATTTTCCCTCAGAAATTTTTCAGAAAATAATTACTATGTTAAAATTGGTTTGCACTGTGGCACCTTGATGCTTCACAATTACCGTCATTCAGATCTTTTCTCCATTTTCAAACTTTCAACAGAATTGGGACTGAAAGAGTAAAGGAAAGCACGGGTACACAGAAGCTAACCTGTAAGCCTGTATATAATGTGAGATTGTAGGACATATTTATCGTTACATGGGATGGAAGTTAAGGCAAATGCTTAACTTTACAGTAAGAACCATTTCAAAGGAAGTAAAAGGATAAAGTTAAGCACCATTTATCAGCAACATCAACAAATTCTAGGGAGACACAGAAAATATTAATGTGGTTTATTAGTCAAGCTATGTTTACCCATCGACACCGTATATCTTGGATGCTGATGAAAGAACTCATAATGACTGGGCAAAATGGTAAGACCTGGGATTAGAAGAACTTCTACTATATTTCTCATGAAAGGAAACTGTGAGGGAACTTTTGAAGGATGCAAGGAATTTTGAGAGATTTATGACTATTAAAAAAAACCTAGCAACATTTCCAAAGAGTTAGTTTAGAAGAACTGAAAAAAGAAATTATTTCTAATTCTGGTATTTTTAAGGAGAGAAGTTGCTCAAAAGGTATGGATGGAGAAAGAGAGCAAAAACCATATTACCTTTTCATCATTAGCAAAATTATATAAACTTTTGTTATGTTAGAGACTATATACTACATTACAGAATGTGGGAAATATCCATAACCTTAACTGGAGAGGAAGATAGGGCACATATTCTGAAGCAGGAATCATGAGTCTTCTCAACATGTTAATTAACATCTTCAATTGAAAACAGTTACCTGCACAAACCAGTCAATAGTGCAACAATTCACAAGAGAGGGAAACATTCGGCACCGTGCTCGAAAAGCATCTCCTACAGGGCTCATGCACAAAACAATATGTAGTTTCTGGCGGACTCGATTAATAAAGTATTGAAATACCTGAGAAAATGCAGTCACAAGCGTCAATTCAAGAATAAGAGGAAAGGACCACAATAATGAGACTGTTGGCACAAGTAAAACTGAGAACACAAGTAGTTGGGTGATTTAATGAGCTATTTCCATTTCTACCCTCTGTGATCAGTCTGTGATCCTGACTGAAAATAGCAACAACATTAAAAAGTAATTTACAACACATGAAAGATCCTTTACCATAATTCAAACAGACACTATTACTTTAAAAGGGCTTCAAATAATACATTTAAAGTAAATATTTATGTGACTTACCTCATCCCTGTTGCCCTCTGCTATACCTGCTTCCTTTGCTTTGGGTCGGGTAGCTGCCATAACAAACTCCAATTCATCCTTTTCAAATAAATTAGGTACCTCTCCAGAATTCAGAATATTATTTATATCTTCCAGAAATTCCTCTACAACAATCTAGAGAACAGGTGTCAAAAAGGGATTATAAAGTTGTAGTTGTTGTTATTCCATTTCTCTACCGCCTCAAAGCTGAAGCTCTGTGAGTGGTTAAAGAGGAGCCTTCAGTAACAGCAAATTATGTGTAAACAGAGCACGAAAATCAAATTATTTGATCTCAACTAAGTTATTTTCTTGTCATCTTTGCTGTGTGGAGTGCAGCAGACTAAGGTATATTTATTTCCATCAATAAAAGCAAACTAACACATAGATAAAGCAATATACATGACACACAGGCAAACAGCACATTTCAGTTTATACAGTCAGAAAATGTATATGTATATATAAATAAAGATAAAAACAGGATTTTTCAAAGATCATCTTTGAGTTTCACCCAATGATCTGAGCACGAGTTTCAGGCAATTTCTGGAGAGGCATCTTCCTTAGCCACCAGGTCTATCTATTTGTATTTACTTTTGTACACTTACAGGGAAGTGAGAGGTAACCAGGCTGCCTGCCCACGAAAGGAAGATTTCTGCTGGTTACAACTCAGTCCAGGCCCATTCTTCAAGGGTTACCTTACCAAGCATAAGGGACAAAAAGAACAGTGACAGCACTGTACCAAGATAAGGTACATGCAGACCCCCACACGCACATACACACAAAGCAGTTGTGCCACAGCAAAAATATTATAACCCTCCCTTCTCTCTCTCTGAATCTGCAATTTAGGATAATAATTCATCGGATGGTGGACTCTAATCCACAAAAGCTTTGGCCATTATACATTTTAAGTCTTTAAAGTTCCTGTCTTTGTTGTTGTTTAAAGTGACTGGCTTTCGGTATGTAGAGAGAGGATAGAATACTAATTACAAAATCATCTATTTTTGTGTGGGATGCAATATAAGTATAAATAAATATATCGGTATATCACCCATCAGTGTAAATATATGTGGAGCTTGTCAAAAATGGTAGGGCAAACAGAAAGCATCTTATATTTTGTCATTGATTGGGATAAGTTAATTTGCAAAAGCCTCTTATACTTTTCTCTCTTCCATCTAGCCTAGACATTGAATAGGCTGGATTAGGCCAATGTCTTATAATGGCTATAAAACATCTATTTTGAAAGGTTACAGGTCTTTGAAACCCTGTAAAATACAAGAGAGCTTGGAGAAAGTCAAAGGATTAAAGTTTGTGCCAAGGTGATCCTCATGTGCATACCAATCTTCCTCTCTGGTGTGGATTCAGAATGGCATTCTAAAACATGATTTCTCTTCGATTTGATTAATTCCTAGAAAGCTTGTTTTGATATTCAAGTTCTTCACTAATGGTTGTATGAAATTTAGTTAATCACATAAAATTTACTTATTCAGATTTGGACAATCTGATTGCACTTATCATGATGATCATCTCTTTTGCTTCAGTTTGGGTGAGATACTGATTTTGCTCAAGCTCTCTGAAAGACTTAACACCATGTAATAAACTCATCCATATATCTAGAAAAAGTCTTACACAGAAATGAAATAGATTTCATTATGTTCAAAAGAATATCACACTGATCAGTTCTCTGATTGGTAAGAGGCAGTAAGATTATCATTTGCTAAATTTAGATTATGAATAAAGTGAAAGGCACAAGTTTATCCTGAGTAAAAGCAGGAAGTGAACTGGTAGGCAAGGCCCTAGGCAAAAAAATCTTGGTCACATATGTCTTCTGTGAACAGTGAAGAGACTTAATTCATTGTTCAATGCTTCCTTACACCAACAGTGAATCACTATTTAGAGATGGAGAGTGCACTCTCTGCTCCTCTAGTTTTTGGTTTCCATGTGGCCACTATTAAAATGATGTGGATATGTCTTTGAGACCTCACTACTAATGAGGGGATCTTAAGGCATTTTAGGTTTCCTAGTTTCATTTTAACCATACTAGACTGATGTAACAGCAAATGTAAGTAGAGATTAATGGGGAGAAGTGCAATACTGATAAAGGTTAGGGTGACAGTCAAAAGCGAGCTATCCTGCAGCCAATACTGGTTAGCATCAGAGCTGCACCAGCCTTTGTATTCATGTTTGCTCATACTGAGCACAAATGGTCCTTCCACATTTATTGCCTCATTTACAGACAACATATTTAGGGTTGGGGGCATTTTGCCTAGCAGTGGCAGAAAATGGCTTGAGCATTTACATGGGGGGATTTACCATGGTAGCAGTGCTGATAGCCCCTTTCTCTTTTTAAAACATCTGTTCTGCTGCTTTAACAGTAGTGGAGCTGCTCTTAGTGGCCAATATCTATTGCCTGCAATCCCTCTCCTGGCCCTGAATCCCATATTTATAGCAACATTCTGCAGGTGAAATAACAGCTCACTTCAAATAATTCTGTGCCCAGGACATTTTAAGGGGAAAATGCCAGCCATCTGGGGCTAATGAGGCCTGCTATTGCCAAGGCTGACGAACTGAAATAAGGCTCAAAAACAGGGATAAAATATCCAGCAAAAGGACTACTGCTACCATCTCCCATAAACATGTTGTGCTCCCCAAATCACTCTGGTTTGGAGGGAAATTATGCTGTCATTTCAGGGATGGCACTGTCACTAAGCAGGGTAACTTGCCCACATGGGGCAGTGAAATGACAAATTGCAACATTCCTCTCCCTCAGGACAGCCTGCCACTGCTTCTAGCAGGTGCTCCTGGAAGCCCTGCTAGCCCCTTTTCTACTGTGGCATTTGAGGATGGCCAGTAACACTCTCCGGAACACCCTCTGCTTGCCTAATCATGTGGAGAGCTGTGTACTCACGAGTGGTTACTTGAGTCTTGTGAAATTTGGGCGAGTGCTCGCAAAACCCACAACCACTTCTAGCCATGTGGCTTTCCACACAATGAGGCAAAGACAGGGTGAGAAGCAGTGGCAAAGTGCACCAGACAGAAGTGATAGGTGCGAGGAGGCAGCAGCCAGAGATGCAGTGATAGGGCTGTGGTGCTTTCTCTCTCCCTCTTCGGGCAGCAAGAGAATATGCAGTGAGACTATGCTATCTTGAATTCGGATTTGAAAATTTTTCAGTGTATCTGGGTTCAGCACTAACATAATTAGAACGTACAAGTTCAATGTAGGCCTGCTTCACATACAGCATATATTTTGGTCATGCATGTTTATTTCCCTGACTGCAAGGTAAAAGTTTTATTGCAAGGTTTTCAAACATTTTGTAAGTTAACAGGGATTCCAATGCACCAGCCTGGTCTCTCCATCACTTTCTCCCAGCATTGAGAATTAAGTATGGGAAATCTTCTTCCCACTGCATTGTCAAGCAGAAGCCACTGGCGGTTTCACTTAGTGAACCACCAGTCTGGCTGACATTGTTCATGTGACGCTTTCACAAGGCAGCTTACATAATGAAAAATACTAGCCACTAAAACCAGTAAAAAATGCAATAAATGCATATTAAATTTTAGCTATGAAAATGTTCTAAAACATTAATAAAAACATTCATCTTCCTTCCAGAAAATCATTTCCTACTTCTATCAATTATTTCAACTACAGTTATTTAGTGAAACTGATGATTCCCTTCCTGAATCATTTGCTTTGTATAAACAGTAGAGTGCAAATCAAGTAACATTTTATTACATAGGTAATATTTTAGCAGCAAAGAGAATTTCATTTTTATTTCAGCTTTTCATACCTGTGTGTCTGTGAAAAGAAAAACCATATCTTTGTCTTCCACCCCTGCCATTTTATATAGCTTCCTAAGATCTTCATGAAAAGAGTCATAGTTATAACCACGGCTTAGTTCTATTTGAAAGCATTTGTAGCCACATATATGAGAGGCTAGTCTAGTTAGAGACTGCTTGCCTGTGCCTCCAACTCCAACAAGCAGGGCATTTCCTCTTTCCTGACGAATCATTCGAGCAATTCTATGGGAAAAAATTGAATATGTTTGAAGTTGGTAAAATTAATTAAAGCAGGCATGCCTTTCTACTACTTCTTTAACATATTGTTACAACTTGAACTGAACCAACATTTTTCAAAAACTTTTTTCTGAGAAAATTCCAGAGAGTCTTTTTTGCCGCAACTACCTTAGAAAATGTTCTTGAAGTATTAACAGTTCCTTTGTGGATGTGGAAATGTCATTTTGCTCCCTCCAGAGGTGCTATCCACCTTTGTAAATTGCCTACCGGAGGGGACAGTTGGGGCTGTCTATATAATAACTTTACTGATGTTACTATTAATTATGCAAAAATTTATTTTTGCTATTGATATTCAGTTAATGGCACAGTAATTATTTACCTTGAAACATGCTCTACAGCATCTTGGAAGAATACCAGCTTTACTTCCTTAGAGCTTGTTATATTATAATCATCCAGATAGTCCTGTAGAACCCCCATAATCTTTTCTATGTCAATTAGTTCTTCATAAAGTCGATCAGCTTTATCAATGCCAACCTAGCAAGAATTTTTGTTCATAAATAATATGAATAAGATAGAAAGGAATGGCAATATAATGAAAGTACACAAATACTAACAGTAAATCAGCTTTTCATGATAGTGACAGTAGTCAAAATGAAAATTCCAGTAAATTAAACATTGAGTTTTGCTGTTCCTTGGTGAAAAATAAGCTCTCCTCCTGCTATTAGTGAACAATGAATATAGATCATTCTCTATGAATGCAAGAACTCATGTAGGAGGAGAATGGAATATGTCCTCTTTCTCTGTTCCTCCCTGTCTGACTCTTAACCATCCATGCATAGGAAACACCACAGTACATTGGCCATTACTTTTACCAGACTAGTTCTCTCTTTCCTTCAGTTACCTATGCTTCAGCACATTTCTAAGGAGGGAAGTAAAAACTAGATGTATAGGCTTCCACCAAAATGAAAAATTCCTTCCAGGTTTTAACTATGCCAAATTCTGAGATAAGAATTTCAATAGAATGCACAATTTGTTACTTATTTATTCTCATATTATTTGACTTTATTTCTATAACACCTTCCTGCCAAGTAATCCAGGTGGCTTACAGTTTAAAACAATTGGTTACACCTAACAGACACCAAGCTCTACCCCAGTTTCTTGGCCACTGTGATAAACTCCCTTAAAATATGCATTATCTTTCTTGTTGAAAATAATGCATGAATTGAGCACTGATTTCCTAAGCAGTGTTCCTAGAAAGAACATTAGTGGGGACCTCATCCAACCCTTTGAATGAATTAAGGAATGGCAGCTACCACTAAGTATCATTTATCAGCCTTAATGGAGTTAATGAAATTGCTTTGTATTAAACATTTTTCTTTGTTAAGCCTACCATTGGGGAAACACAGTTTAATGAACACAAGGCATATTTATGTAGTGAAATATCTGGCAAACAGATTTGCTTAAACTTACTTCTCAGCGCCTCAAAGATGGCTCTAGGAAAAGTTCCAATGTAAAGGAAAAGAAAAACCCATCAACATGTTCCTTCCATATGCCTGTGCCACTGCCATCTGCTGCAGCTGTTTGCTTTCTGCACTGATTTGATTTACCATATCTGCATTTAGTTCAGAGCTTATTCCTGATTATGAATCACTTAGAATCTAACAGACATTTCAGGTCTGTTAAAATACTTCAGAATATTCCGTGACCATAGTAAAGGAAACAAACAGGAATCATGAATTTTGTGAAAATTTTATCTGGTTGTACTAACTGGCCTTATGAGTAACATCCCAGCCCCATAAATGCAGTTATGTTGACCGTGACCAGCAGACATTTGCTTCAAGGGCAGCCAGAGGAAACTGGCTATTCTAGTAAATGTATGACATCAAGTTGACTTCCCATTTTGTCACTTTATTCACCTAAGACAATATTCTATGCACTGCTCAAATTCCCACAGTATTTTCTATCTCTACTCAAATTATTCCCCTCTTGGATGCATACCTTAATGTGGTGAGGGGGTTTTAGAGTGTCATGGAAGCTGAAAGCAATGCCATCAGGAGGCCAGAATAGTCTCACTAGGCTGGTCTCTTAGCAGGGTTACCCAAGGTGGAATGGGTCAAGCCTGAGACACCAAACTAAGATACAAGCACCCTCTTCAAGGGTAACAGTCACATCAGCAAAAAAGTAATGGTCTCAGAAATGGTGACAGGGCAGAGAAACTTCTGAAAGGCAGCTACTGGGCAGCAGCAGTAGTTGAAGGCGACAATGGTGGAGGATCTTTCTTAGTCAATGCCAGTACTAAATACTTCAGTTAGTACTGCATAGAAGAAAAATATGGTAATCCAGTTCTGAATTTTCTTACCTCAAAAACCCTATGATGAAACAATCCAAAATGAACCAATGAGATAGAGAAGATAGGACCTGACTGTGGAAAGGACTTTATGAGTTACTGGGAAAGGTTAAAGGACAAATACCAGTAGCGCTGTTGCTGATGATGCTGTTAAATCAAATCCAAAAGGGAATTTAGCAGCTGACATGCACAGATGTGAAAGTAAAATTCACATCTGTGCATGAGAGCCAGTGTGGCGTAGTGGTTAAGAGCATGGGACTGGGACTCAGACGATCTGGGTTCTAGTCCCCGCTCAGCCATGGAGCCAACTGGGTGACTTTGGGCCAGTCACAGACTCTCAGCCCAACCTACCTCACAGGGTTGTTGTTGTGGGGATAAGATGGATGATGTAAGCTGCCTTGAGCCCTTTGTAGGAAAAAGGCAGGATATAAATAAAATAAATAAATAAAATAAATAAAAATAAATAAAATTGGAATATGGAACATGCATCAAGGCAAAGTAGAAATTGTAAAGCAAGAAATGGAAAGAATCAACATCCCAGTATTTGGTGTGAGCAAACTAAACTGGACTGGAATGGGACATTTCCAATCAGAAATACACTAAGTGTTTTACTCTGGAAATGACAAACTCAGAAGAAATGGAGTGGCTCTAATACTAAGGCCAGTTGTAGCACAGGCAGTAAGAGGCCATAATACAAAATCTGACCAAATAATCTGACCAATGATGTGAGCCGCCCCGAGGCTTCGGCGAATGGGGCGGCATAAAAATGTTTTAATAAATAAAAAAATAAAAATAAATAATATCAATCAGAATTAGCGGAAAAGTTATCAACATATGTAACTATCATTCCAGTAACATCCCTGAAAAATTTAAAAGTCCACATAAAGAACAGATTTGCACTGCTCAACTTAACTGACCGTGAGCAGAACTGTGAAACGAGGCACAATATCAGAGAAGAATGCCAAAAGACAATTTCTGTAGCAACAAGGAAAAAAAGCCTAGCTGGATGGCAGAAGAAACGCTCACAAAGTTGCAAAGGACAGACATGAAGCAGAAACAAAAGTTGACATAAACAGACTGAAAATCTTGAATACAACTTTTCAGCAACTATCATATAGAGGCAAAAAGAACTATTACAATAGCTAGTACAAAGAAATAGAAGAGAAAAACAAAAGGGGAAAAAACAAGAGACCTCTTCCAAAAGAAGCAAGAAATCAAAGGGAAAATCAAACCTAGATTAGTAATACTAAAAGACATACAAGGGAACACACTACCAGACCAGAAGATAATAAGGAGACGGTGGAAAGAATATACAGAAGATCTATATAAAAGAGATGAAAGGGTGGCAGACCTCTTTGAAGCTCTTTGAAACTGGGTCCTCTGATGATGAGCTGGCAATATTAGAAAGTGAAATGAAAGCTCTTGTGAAAGCACTTGCAAACAATAAAGCACCTGGAGTAGATAGGATACCAACAGAACTATTCCAAAATGAATCAGTCCAAAGCCTGACAAAAATATGTCAACAAATATGGAAAACAAAACAATGGCCCACAGACTGGAGACAATATCTTTTCCAATCCCTAAGAAAGGAGAGGCAAAAGAGTTGCAGCAGCCATAGGACCATTTCATTAATCCTGTATGCAAGCAAAATAATGCTCAACATGTTGCAAAAAAGAATCTTGCCATATACTGAACGAGATAAGCTGGATGTACATGCTAGATTCTGAAAAGAAAGAGACTCTAGAGATCATATTGTAAATATTTGTTGCTTATTGGAGCACATCAATAATATCAGGGGAAAAATCAGTTTGTGCTTTATAAACTAGAACAAAGCCTTCAACTGTGCGGGATTACAAGGAGCTATGAATGGTCCTGAAAGAAATAGGCGTGTCTCAGTTGTCTTGATGGATAAGAAGCTGCAGTGAGGACAGAATACAGAGAAACAAAATGAAAAGGAGTCAGACAAGGATGTATTTTATCTCCCTATCTGTTTAAACTGTATGCAGAACATATTGTAAGGAAAGCTGGATTAGAATCAGAGGAAGGCGTGAACACTGATAGAAGAAACATCACTACTTTAAGATATGACACCATACTATGGGCAGAAAACAGTAATGACTGGAATGACTACTGTTAAAAGTGAAAGAAGAAAGTACAAAAGGAGGGCTGCAGCTGAATATTAAGAAAACAGAAATCATGTCCACAGAAGATTTACAGATTAATGTTAATATTGAAGAAACAGAATTTGTGAAAGATTTCTGTTTTCTCAGCTCAGTCATCAATTCAAAGGGAGACTGCTGCCAAGAAATGCAAAGACAACTGAAACTTTGGAGGGCAGCAATGAAGGAAAAAGAAAAGATCATCAAGTATAAGGACGTTTCACTAGAGACCAAAGTCAAGTTCATCCAAACCACTCTATTCTCAATGGGTATGACATCTGGACAGTGAAGAAAGCTGGCAGGAAGAAAATCAATGCGTTCAAAACATGGTGCTGGAGGAGAACTTTGCAAATGCTGTGGACCAACTGAAATGCAAACAAGTGGGTCCTAGAGGCAAAAATTACAAAACTGAGGCTGTCATATACTTTAGATACATCATGAGAAGGCATGGATCCCTGGAGGAAAAGTCATACAATGAAGACAAAAGGAAAGACCAAATACGAGATGACTGAATTCATGAAGGAAGCCTTGAACAAGGGAGAGCTGAATGGAGCTGTCATGGACAGGACATTTTGGAGGACTTTCATTCATTGGGTTGCCATAAATCAGAGACTATTTGATGGCACATAACACCAACAATTCAAGCTACTGGAATTCTTGATAGAATCCTAGCTGCAAGGTGAGCCTAGAAAGGTACACTGGAAGAAGTACTGTTTATTGAGACCCGATGCATTTCAAGTCAGTATTTTTTTTCTTAAAGGCCAGAAGTAGTGTGGATTCTCAAAATAGGCATGTACTGAATCATACAGAGTATGTGATTATTTCAGCAGGTCCCATCAGTTTCAGTTGAGTGACTGTATGATTATACTAAGCAATTCCTTTTAGAAATAACCGCAGAGGCTGTTGAGAGAGTCTGACTTCAGGTATGCTGGATGCCAGTGAAATGAACCTTCTCATTTTTTTTATTTCTATTTTTATTTTCTGAACTACTAGCTCTCTTCCAATTTCAACAACTGCCAAACTGTCAAATGTGAGCTTCTGGGCTGGAATCACTATTTAGTATCTCCATACACAGGACCATCCCAATCCTTTGGGAAAGCAACCACTGCAATGCAGGTTTAGTACTGTTTTATGAACTAAGACTAAGAAAGAGAGTGTCAAGCTAGACATGACTCCATAATAATGGTTAATAATAATTACGTTGATTGCAATCATATGAATGGTTATTTTACACATTGAATGGGAGGCATGGAAGGCCGAATCCAAGTTAAAATGGGGTGGGGGACAGTATGAAAACTTTAATGCTTTACCTTAACTCCTTACACTCGGTTGCAACCTGATTTGGGTTGAGGACCCCAAGTATGTTATGTAGCAACATTGGACATAATTCCTAAAGGCATTTTAAAAATGTATTTATTACATGTTTATATCATCTTTAGTTTTCAGAGCACAAAGCCTCTTGCTGAAGGAAATACATATATTATTATACGGAAAGCTCACCTTTATGTAATCCCCAAATAAAATTGGCTTAGATACAAATGAATCTGGATCAACTGAGACTCCAAAATGTTTGCCTACAAATTAAAATATGTTGTTAGTTAATTTTTAATCATACATGTACAAAGTTTGCATATTAAATACAATATATGCTGGTAAAGTAAGTATCCTTACTGGCCATGTCAGCTAACATAGAGTAAAAATATTGTTTATCTTCACTACAGATGAGGCGGTCATGAAAAACTCTCTGGCACTCATGACAGAACAGCCTGAATACCTGGGCTTGGTCTCGAACAGACCCAGGATCACACTGTAATATACCTGTACAGAATAAGACATAAATACTGTCACTTAAAAATGTAGAAAATGGCTACTGAAAGACATTAGAGATGTACATTGCCTTAGAGGATTGGTCTCAGTCCTAGATTCAACTCATCAGAAAATGTCTTGATTCTACTCAAACTGATTCAGAGCTATCCATTTTGACTTGGACTCATTTTCACTTTGGTACTTGAAACCAAGCTGTTTCATATATCTGAAGTTTTGAGTCTTGCATCAAGACTGGGTAAATATCTTTTTAATTTTTTATTTTCTTAACATAAACAAATACAGAAAGAAGAAAAGTATATGTAAAATAAGGTAAAATAGAATAAATAAATTTGCTAAGAGATTTTTAACAAATACAACCAATACATTCGAACCTACAAATGTATCTTTCTATCATTCACCACTCTATGGGAGTTCAAAAAAGAGGAAGTTATTAATCAATACACCAACAAGTTTTCCAATTGCTTTAACACTAGGTAAATATCATGGGAAATATTTTGGCCAAACTGGATGAAAAAATTCAGGTAAGCAGCCCTGACACTTTGATGGTCTCCCAAGGATCATATGATTATTTCCCTTTGCTCCTTCTGAAGTATTGTTCAGAAAATGCCAAGCAGCCTAGAGGTTTCCCTAAGAAAAAAACCTGCAAAGTTTCAGAAGGATAGGTTCATGGAACTCAAGAACATTGCATGTGTCATGCATGGGCACCGGGACAAGGTGCAAGAATACACACAAACAATTTATACTTTTGATGGGAATGCAAGCTCAGACAGTGAAGATGAAATGGATGTAGAATCTCAATGAGCCTCAGTATCAGATCAAGCTGGCAATCCAGGATGAAGGGAGTGACAACCAACCAGCCCATGGAAATGAAGAGAAAGCAGAACCAGAGGTGGAGTTGACAGCCTGGGCCAGGAGAAGATAGGTGTTGGACAGGTCTCACAACAGAAATTGAGCAGTCTGTGTGACAGAGAGGTCAGCACATACATCCCCATATAGTCTCTGGTACCACAGTGGAGTCTGTCTCATTCTATAGGCCCTAGTATCAAAACATTTTGAGCTTCTTGTTATGGTGGACTTCTGCTTATTATCTTGGAAGGTGGATTTTGTCATGGCAGTCAGTTTGGTGATTCACATGAGGCCAGCTAGCTATGTGCAGCCTCTAAGTGGATCCTCCTTACACGTTCTATCATAAGGACAAGGCAGTGCTTTGCATGGATCCTTCTTTGCTGTCAGATTTTCTTGTTAATCAGGATGTTGTCTTGCCTGCAGTCTTTTCTTTGCCTGCCACCCAGATCAAATTGACTTTGCATATGCTTGATGCTTGTAGGGCACTTGCATTTTATAAGTCCCATATGGAGTTTTTCAGAAAGCCACAGAGGCTTTTTATACACTACAGAGGCAAAGTTAAAAATGTCCCTGTTTCTTCACAGCAGCTAGAGAAGTGTGTTGTTCAGACTGTTACCCTGACTTGTCAGCTTGCTGGGTTGCAGCATTCAGACCCACTGAAAGCACATTCCATTTGTGGGGAAAGAACATGGTACTTGTTGCTGGTGTTCTTCTACCAGAGCAATTCAAATCAGCTACAAGAATCAATGTTTGTCAATGTTTGTCAAGACCGCATGCCCCCTCCAGGATCAACTGTTCTTTTGGACAGGCATCCATATTTCATTTATAACACTAACCCAACTCTGGTAAGTAGCTTGTTAATCTGTTATGTGTGATAAACAGAGATGATGAAGCAGAAATAAAATACAAGTGCTTTTAAGATTTCATTCTGAAGGGAGGGAAAGAGGGAAGTGACTCGCTCACAACAATGATGATTAGTGAGAAATTACTAGGAAAAATGATAGAAAATGGGAGCAGAGAACTGGAACAGAAAACATGCCATATGGAAAATATACACGTTACCTTGTACACACTTTGACAAATCACGTAAATTAAACACATAATGGGATTTTGCTGGTGTTGGAAGGAGATCAATGCTCATTCTTTGATATATTTCAACAGCAGCATCCACAATACTTTTTGCACTCTGCTTTACTGCTACAGAGAAGTCAGCCAAAAAGCCTTTTAGAATAGCCTAGACCGAAGAAAATTGACAGAAAGAATGTTCAAGCACAACCACTTAAAATTTAACTTTAAAATTAAAGTTTTATTTTGCTTCTCATCTTTATTCTAGTCAAACTGGCTACAATTCCAAAATTTATTTTAAAACTAACTACAGTGCTTTATCTGAAGTTTAAAATGTGAAAAATGTCCTATATTCATATAAATACTGTACTAATAGATGCATTGTGTGTGAATGAGCATTCATGAAGGCACCAAGCACTATTACAAAGATTCTTGAAGGTATGCAGGACATTTATTCACTTACACAACACAAATAATGAGTGTACCAACATGTTGCATTCCAAAAGGTCCTTCTTCAAACAATTACTTTGCATATAAGGCAGTCAAGGTGGTTTAATATTCTCTTATACATCTATATTCCCATATATATTCCTTTGAATGAAGGTTATTTTCTACATCATCCTTTCAGAAGATAAATAAACACTCTGGCATCTGAAGTCCATTGCGATGCTGAGTACTTCCTTCAGTTGGCATCAGAGCCCCATTTAACTTGTTGTTAGTTGCAAAGTCATGTCCAACCCGTCACAACCCCATGGACAACATTCCCCCAGGCTTTCCTGTCCTCCATCATCCCCCAGAGTCCACCTAAGCTCACACCGACTGCTTCAGTGACTCCATCTAGCCACCTCATCCTTTGCAGTCCCCTTCTTCTTTTGCTGTCAATTGTTCCCAGCATTAGGGTCTTCTCCAATGAGTCCTTTCTTCTCATTAGATGGCCAAAATATTTTAGTTTCATCTTCAGGATCTGGCCTTCTGAAGAGCAGTCAGGGTTGATCTCCTCTAAGACTGACTGGTTTGATCGCCTTGCGGTCCAAGGGACTCGCAGGAGTCTCCTCCAGCACCACAATTCAAAGGCCTCAATTCTTCGGCACTCAGCCTTCCTTATGGTCCAACTTTTACAGCCATACATTACAGCTGGGAAAACAATAGCCTTGACTATATGAATTTTTGTCGGCAGGGTGATGTCTCTGCTTTTTAGTATGCTGTCTAGATTTGCCATAGCTTTCCTCTCAAGGAACAAGCGTCTTTCAATTTCTTGGGTGCAGTCACCGTCTGCGGTGACCTTGGAGCCCAGGAAAATAAAATCTGTCACTACCTCCATTTCTTCCCCATCTATTTGCAGGAAGTGATAGGACCGGATGCCATGATCTTAATGTTGAGTTTCAAGCCAACTTTTGCACTCCTACCCGCATTAAGAGGCTCTTTAGTTCCTCTTCACTTTTTGCCATTCGAGTGGTATCATCTGCATATCTGAGACTGTTGATATTTCTCCCAGCAGTCTTAATTCCAGCTTGTGATTCATCAAGCCCCGCCTTTCTCATGATGTGCTGTGCTCTGCATATAAGTTAAATAGGCAGGGTGACAGTATACAGTCTTGCTGAACTCCTTTCTGAATATTGAACCAATCAGTGGTTCAGTGTCCAGTTCTCACTGTTGCTTCTTGACCAGCATATAGGTTTCTCAAGAGACAGATAAGATGGTCTGTTACTCCTATCTCTTTAAGAACTTGCCACAATTTGTAGTTATCCACACAATCAAAGGCTTTAGCATAGTCAATGAAGCAGAAGTAGATGTTTTTCTGGAACTCCCTGGCTTTCTCCATGTTGTATGTTGGCAATTTGATCTCTAGTTCCTCTCCCTCTTCGAAATCCTGCCTGTACTTCTGATAGTTCTCGGTCCACATACTGCTGGAGCCTAGCTTGTAGGATTTTGAGCATACCTTTGCTAGCATGTGAAATGAGTGCAATGGTACAGTAGTTCGAACATTCTTTGGCACTGCCCTTCTTTGGGATCAGAATGTTAACTGATCTTTTCCAATCCTGTGCCCACTGTTCAGTTTTCCAAATTTGCTGGCATACTGAGTGTAGCATTTTAACTGCATCGTCTTTTAGGATTCAAATAGCTCAGCGGGAATACTGTCACCTCCACTAGATTTGGTGTTGCTCAGACTTCCTAAGGCCCATTTGACTTCACATTCCAGAATGTCAGGCTCGAGGTCAGTGACCACCCCCTTGTGGTTATCAGGGACGTTAAGCTCTTTCTTGTATAGTTCTTCTGTGTAATCTTGCCACCTTAATCTCTTCTGCCTTTGTTAGGTCCCTGCCATTCTGGTCCTTTATCATGCCAGTCTTTGCATGAAATGTTCCCTTCATATCTCCAATTTTTTTGAAGAGATCTCTGGTCCTCCCTATTCTATTGTTTTCTTCTATTTCTTTACACTGTTCATTTAAGAAAGCATTCCTATCTCTTCCAGCTATTCTCTGGAATTCTGCATTCAATTGGGTATATCTTTCTCTTTCTCCCTTGCCTTTCACTTCTCTTCTTTCCTCAACTATTTGTAAAGCTTCCTCAGATAGCCATTTTGCTTTCTTGCATTTCTTTTTCTTTGGAATGGTTTTAGTTGCTATCTCTTGTACAATGTTATAAACCTCCGTCCATAGTTCTTCAGGCACTCTGTCTATCAGATCTAATTCCTTAAATCTATTTGTCACCTCCACTGTATATTCATCAGGGATATGATTTAGGTCATACCTGAGTGGCCTAGTGTTTTTCCCTACTTTCTTCAATTTAAGCCTAAATTTTGCAACAAGAAACTCATGGTCTGAGCCACAGTCAGCTCCTTGTCTTGTTTTTACTGACTGTATAGAGCATCTCCATCTTTGGCTGCAGAGCACATAGTCAATCTGATTTCTATGTTGACCATTTGGTGAGGTCCATGTGTAGAGTCATCTCTTGGGTTGTTGGAAAAGAGTGTTTGCTAGGACCAGCGTGTTCTCTTGACAAAATTTTGCCAGCCTTTGACCAGCTTCATTTTGTACTCCTTGGTCAAACTTGCCTGTTAATCCGGTTATCTTTTGGCTTCCTGCTTTAGCATTCCAATCCCCCATGATGATAAGGACATCATTAATGGTGTTAATTCTAGAAGGTATTGTAGCCCTTCATAGAACTGGTCAACTTCAGCCCCTTCAGCATCAGTGGTTGGGGCATAGACAAGGACTACTGTGATGTTGAATGGGTTGCCTTGGATTCGAACTGAGATCTTTCTGTCATTTTGGAGATTGTATCACAGTACTGCTTTTCCTACTCTTTTATTGACTGTGAAGGCTACTCCATTTCTTCTGAGGGATTCTTTCCTGCAGTAGTATACCTGATGGTCATCCGAATTAAATTCACCCATTCCTGTCCATTTTAGTTCACTGATTCCCAAGATGTCAATGTTCAGTCTTGACATCTCATGTTTGACCACATCCAGCTTACCTTGATTCATAGATCTTATGTTCCAGGTTCCTATGCTGTATTGTTCTTTACAGCATCAGACTTTCCTTTCACCACTAGATACATCTGCAACTGAGTGTCCTTTCGGCTTTGACCCAGTCGCTTCATTCTTTCTGGCGCTACTAGTACTAGCCCTCTGCTCTTCCCCAGTAGCACACTGGACACCTTCTGACCCGAGGGCCTCATCTTCCAGCATCATATCTTTTTGCCTTTTGGTACTGTCCATGGGGTTTTCATGGCAAGGTTACTGGAATGGGTTGCCATTTCCTTCTCCAGTGGATCAGCTTTTGCCAGAGCTCTCTGCTATGACCTTTCTGTCTTGGGTGCCCCTGCATGGCAAAGCTCATAGCTTCATTGCACTACACAAGCCCCTTCACCACAGCAAGGCAGTGATCCATGAAGGGGTCATTTAACTTACATCCTTGTAAATTAATTCAATGTTAGACAACTAAGAGTTGTTGGGCCAACCCAGCATATTCCAGAGCCCATTCATGTTCTCATAACCAAAGAAAATAAGCCAAATTAGCCTGAAGTCTTCAGGTTTGACTTCAGGAAGGAGAAATCTGAGAAAGTGTTTCCTGAATGGTGTATCTCCTTCCTAGTAAGATAGCGTACCAGTATATATACCATGTTCTTATTTACTTATGTGTAAATAAGAAAGGATTTGTTGCTGACCTTTGACCTAACTAAATCGCAAAGCCATAGATATGAAGGTAGGATAACGTAAATACAGACACAGATAAATATATCAATATGTGATTTAGCATGATGGACACTGTATAGAAAAAATGTGATGCAATGCTTATTGCTGTCCTGCTTGAAAATGACAATTCTTATCATTCATAACATTTGACCTGCATACAGCATACACCCTGCCGAATACATATTTTAATGAATCAAGTATGGGATTGCAACACTCAGTAAAACAAAATATATATTTTTTTATTAATTAAATTAAATTAAATTAAAAATATATAAATTATAAAATTGTATATTTATATTTACCTAGCATCTAAACCATATTAAAGCTGAGAAAGTCTGGCTTGTCACATTAATCAACATACAATGATTTTTAAAGAATTTACTTATGTGAAAAAAGAGTACGGAAGGAACATTTGTGTTACAACCTTATATACACACACATGGAAGTCAGTCCTTCAACAGGACAATTAGATGGAACTTACATCTAAGTAGACATCTACTGGATTATGCTATTAAGATCACATTAAGTTCTGCCGCAAAATTGAAGCAGGTTTGAAAGATTACCAATTGGCTAATTATTTACATATAAATAATTATTCAGCTAACCTCCACAGATAGGATCTAACAAATGTACACCACTTCAGGAAGTGATGCATACTCCTAAGGATTTGTACAGGCTCAGACTCAGAAGAGTATGCTATACCAATATATACAGAGCAATCTATTTTTTGTTCTTTGTTGCTACTGACCTGAAAAATTTGTTTAAGGCTATGCTCAGAAGGTGTTGGAAGACATAGCATAGCAAAGTGTCTTATGAAACGTGGTGTAACTGGATTACGTCCCCCACCTGGAGGTGCACAGGCTGAAGAAATAGTTACATCCTGGGGAAAAGATCAGACATTGTGTGTCAGAACATAATACTTAATAATGTCTTTAATCTTCTTCTCTGTAGTCCTGTTTCTATGTTAAAATATCTGGATTTTTAGCGAACACAACTAATCTAACATGATCAATTCCCTAGTTTTACCTTTAATTTGGCATCTAAATGTACTTATGAAAACCTGTAAACTTTTTAAAAGTCAAGACAGCTCAACTTATACTAAAGTTTTTGTGGTCTCTTGAACCCTGTCTCATTCAATGTTCTTCCACAGCTTTCAAGTATAAGAGTCCCCAGAAGGTTTGAAGTATGCACAGACAATTCTGTAAGTTCTGACTCTGTCAAGTGCAAGAGGAATTTTACCAGAAATCTGCTGTCCTCTAGTGGATTGCCTCTCAGTGCATTTTAACAGAATCAAGTTTTAACTATTTTCTTCAAAAGCCAATGACTAGAGCAAAGGCTCACAAATCCAGAAAACTTAACTGTCTCTTTATTGCCCCACAAGTCACTCAAAAATCAGACATTTCATCTTTCTCAAACTGTATTTGCCACAGACATTTTTATTCCAACCGTTGACAATGTATTCACTCTATCTGAAATATACTGGAAATATACACAAAAATGATGGCTTATGTAGGTGTTAAATCTTCATATTGAGGAGACAATACCACTGAGGGCTTGACATCTGACACAGACTGAAACAAGTGGTGGTTATGCCTTTGTAAAAAGAAAGGGAATGCTACATTTAACAGATCCCTCACAAGAGTCAATCTTCTTGCTCTTTTTTTGGAAAATTTATTTATTAAAAGCTGTTCTAGCCAATCCACTACAAATGTCTCAGGACAGGTTACAAGAACTGAGTAGAATGAAACAAACACCGCAGCATCCAACAGTTAGTATACTAAAACCCCTGTTCAAAATGTTTAAAATCAATTAAGCATTAAAATAGTGGGAAAATAAAAAGGGGTTTGCCTGACGCTATAAAAATATAACGTGGGCGCCAGGCAAACCTCTCTGGGGAGTGTATTCCATAGTCAGGGCGCCACCACAGAGAAGGCTCTCCTCTGGGTACTCTCCCTCCTAATCTCCTTCAAGAAGGGCTCCTGGAGCAGGACCTCCACCACAGATCTCAAGGGGTGGGAGGGCACATAGGGAGGAAGGTGCTCCCTCAGGTATCCCAGACTCAAGCCATTTAGGGCTTTATAAATTATAACTAGCACCTCAAATTGGGCCCAGACTTCAATTGGTAGCCAGTGTAACCAATGGGGTGGCATAAAAATGTTTTAATAATAAATAAATAAATAAATAAATAAATAATAACCAGTAGAGGACTGGCATTATATGTGAAAATTGTCTGGGCCCCGTTAACATCCTGGCAGCTCTATTCTGAACCAATTGAAGTATCTGGACCATCTTCAAGGGCAGCCCCACGCAGAACACATTACAGTAATCCAACAGGGAAGTTACCAGAGCATGGGTCACTGTTGCAAGGCAATGCTTATCCAAGTAAGGACACAGCTGATGGATCAATCGTAACATTATTTCAGGACAACTTGTATCGGAATAGCATGCATATAAGTTATAACATCAAAAATCACAACTAACTGAAGGCAGACTTACATGTATTTCCTTCCAAAACAGTTTTTCTCTGTCATAGAACCCTCCAAAGTCCTGGTATTGCCTGAGTAGCTCAATTGGGGGCTGAGAGCCATAACGATCCAGTTTAGGCATGTTTAGATCATCCACAAAAATGACAACTCTTTTTTTCCCCGGTGCCCCTAAGCAAGAATGAATAAACCAGTGCTAAATATAACACTACATATATATGGCTTACCTTCACTTCAAAAAATATCTAGTTCCTAGTGTTAAATGCATCTCTAAGTGGAAAGGACAGCTGGCTCAGAAAAAGCTGATTATTTCAAAACTTCAAATTGTCTTAATTTAAGAATATCAGTAAATAATAAACCACTGTGGTTTGTAATGGTTTTTCCAGAGATTAATCTTTTTGGTCCTTTATAATTCACTTTCAATTTTCCCACAGAATTGTGAAAATTCTTGGAAACTCAACTCACATAAATGTCAGTACTGCATTCTTTGCAATACATGCACTTTCCTTGAATTGCGCATTCTGTTCTACACAATTTTCCTGCTGTCTAGTATGGCATTTTCAGATTTGGTCCTATTCTGCTTATGCATTACAATTGAAGCTTCCCTTATCTCCCTAACAAGGAACTGCAAAAGCTGGTCCCTTGCAGGATCTCCAGAAATTCTTTTCTAGTCCTAGACCTCAAGTCTGTAGGACATAAAAATAATAATAAAAATATTTTCTTCAGCAAGAAGTCATTTCAAACTGTGAGATATTTGAATTTGTCTGTGGGGGTGGCCTGTGGGGAAAGAACCATTTTCTACTTTGTTGCAGAACTACTGCATCTTTCTGGTTTGGGCTTTAACTTGTGACTATGATCATAAGGCTGTTTCTCACAAATCACTACATATTCTAGACCATGCTGCTTTATAGTAGAACCTGATGGTTTTCAGACTAATATACACAGAAATAGACGGTTTCAAAAGGTTGTACAAGGACAAAAGCTAATTGAAGAATCAAGTTTTACCATTCAGAATTTATCTCACTGATCTATTTTGGGGAAAGACAACAAAATGGCTAAGAGAGGAGAAAAATAAATGCAAATACAAAGTTGCAGATTGTTATTGCCCTGATGCTAAAAGTAATGCAATCCTTTCTGGATGGATAGGCTGTGATACTGAATTTATGTATGCCTATCTTTACACAGAATTGTTATCCTTCATTGAAGCCTTGTATTTTGATACAATTTCTCCTTCAGGCAATTTTAATCAACAACAAAAAGAATTACCATGACCTGAACTGACACTGATATGGATGTTCAATATTTCTGATTTGGTCATGTTCTTAGATAATGCACTTGATTAGATTTACCTCTTAAGTAAAACAGATATTATATTATTTTGCACATTTATATTGTTTAACAACCCCTAGGAGGGGGCAAATATAATCAGCAGGGAATTCCTGTGTACAAAGAAGAATTGATGGGAGATGTTGATGAAGATGACTGCAATGTGCCCACAATAAACAGTAACTACAGGTTAAATAAATATTTGTTTAATTATGACATGCAAAGACAAATGCATTAGATTTTTCAAATGTCAATGCTGCCCTCCTGTGTTAACCTGGATGAACTACATTACATTACAGACTATTATCAGCTGCCTTAATATCAGACAAATCTGTGTGCCTTCTTTTTAACTACAGCTTTCCAAATTCTGAAAAATACTACGTAATTTTCCCCATCATTTTGGAGGGATACCAACATATACTGTAGGAGTTTTCTGTCTTTTTATCTGATCAACACAGCTCTGCCTGCTGTCAACTGAGTCAGTAAAAAATAAAAGATTTAACTACAAGAGTTAGGGTATACAAACAGCACAATTCAAGAAAAAGTATATCATTAAATCTTTTTACCTAAAATATTTTTTCTTTTCTTTTCTAATTTGGATTCAATAATCTCCTGTGTCCTTATTGATGAAGTCTGAGCAGAGAAATTTAGGTAAACAGGAACATAGCCAGCTTCATCTTGTATTCGGTTTAGCAATGCCCTTGCAACGACAGACTTTAAGTGACAGAAGAGTGAAATTTATTGCAATATCAACACAAGAATTTCTGTAATCCACTCTAAATATTCAGTTCTACCACTTATGTTGTCCTTCAAACTATTTAGAGAAATCTAGATGAATTGTTCCTTTAATGTCATATCATTTTTAATATATGCATATGCAATTTTTCTACTATCAAGTTGCTAATGTAACTAGCTTGATTAGGATTTTCACAGACACATGCAAAACAAATTGTGAAATTTCTTCCTTTTGAAAAATGTAACAATCCAGTACATCAAATAGATTAAATAGCAGAATATTTATAATTCAACATTTGTTCTAAGACCTCTTCTTTTATTTTTACTTTCATCACAGGATGAAAAATATTAATATGATAAAGATTACTATTACATTAATCATTTATCCAAGTGCAGAATTCATGCCCCTCACTGCAACACTGCCCATCTTCCTTCATCCTCCCTAGGAATTTCCAGTCCTAACACCAAGTTTGGCATTGAATAAGTGTATAACATTGTATAACTGAGAGCCAGTGTGGTGATGTAGCAGTTAACACCAGAGGTCTAGGACTCAGATGATCTGGGTTCTAGTCTCTGCTCAGCCATGGAGCCAATTGGATGACTTTGGGCCAGTCACAGACTGGAGCCTAACCTGTTGCAGTGGGGATAAGACTGAGAGTAGCAGGAGGATAATGGTGTAAGTTGCTTTGAGTTCTTTAAAAAAGTCAGGATATAAATCTAATAAATAATCTGTTGTTTAACTAAATGCCAGTGTAGAAGGGGTCCAAGACAAACTGGAACATGGGTGGGGGTAAATTTGTTTTCTTTGTGATCGTGAGTAGAAGTGGGAAGCAGCACACCTGCCATTCACTTTAAGGGGAAAAATTATTGGAATTGCAGTGGGGTAAAGAGTTAGAGCCCCCTCCCTTCCTTCAACACCACAATCCCAATCTAGCGATGTATCATCCTAACTGGTTAAATGCTAAACTAAAACAGCTATCTAAGGCTAAACTGTGTGATAAATCATCACATCTAGCTGGGCCCTTCCCTTATTCAAAATAATGTCCCCAAAAATATTTATTTAGTAACTCTCAGCAAATTTGATATCATTGGTTTATTCCAATTATCCAGTTATTCTCTTGTGTACTCAAGGAATTCTTACCTTACCAACTCCAGTGATTCCTGTAAACAGCACAGAATGTTTAACAGCAAGTAATTTTTCCATTAGAAAGCCGTAGCGCACAGTATCAGTAGTAGGAACCAGCATTTCAAAAAATGGAACTGTATGACTGTATTTAAATGCAGGTATAATTCTCTCCCAAGGGTCCAGGCGCTTTGTATCAAAATCAATGTAAACACTCCACAGATCACCAGAGGTTGGAAGCTAGAAAGATAAAACAATCATAATTGTTTTTGTCAAGATGAAGGGAGGGAGGGAGGGAGGGAGGGAGGATGCATTGTGAAACTGGAAAACAGTTCTTTTTGTATAAGTTCTAAATAACTTTCCCATAAATGTATAGCTTATTCAGATTCTTTAATTGCTGCAGAAACTGTTAACATATTTTCAGGTCTTTCCCCATAATCATTAAGGGCAGCACCATGCAATGAAATAAAAACTTTTCAGAATTTAGTACACTATAGTTCATTCTGTATCAGATAAACTATACTATACATATTGTATCACAGCAGATGCCATGAAAATTCACAGATACCTTGTTTTAACAAAGGGCTTAATCTCAGTCAGGGCTTGTTCCCAGAACCTGTTTTCAATACCTAGATTTAGTCATATGGCATAAAGAAGTTGATGCCCTTCCTTCATCACTTAGTAAATAAAGTCACTCCCTCATACCTACCCAATCATTCTCACAAATATAAGAAAATATGTTAGCAATATAGTATATTTTATACCTTGGCATCTGGATTGTCTTCAAATTGTTGTCTTATAAATGTATCAAAACCATCCCAATAGTTCTCAGTTAAATTTCCACCCAGTGACCACAGATAACAGAAAACAAAAGTCTGGCACACAAGAGAATTCAATCTTGACTGTTCCTGCACACACAGGCAAAAGAAATCAAAATAATTTTTAAAAACATACATATCTTTTCATACCAAAATAAGAAAGGGAAAAAATCTTAACAAAAAATGGGTGAAGTTAAAATCCATTTCCCTGGATAATAACATGATAATACACATTACAGTACAACTCCATAGATATGAATGGATTTATTGGTAGAAAGCCATTTGTGGATCAAAGCCAATGTACATTTGCAACATCATCCAAGAATCATGACAAGCAAGTCATGAAATCACAATTATAGTCTGCTGCAGTTCTATTTAGCTCCTGTGTGGGAAACCTCTGGCCCACATATGTCCCCCAAATGAACTGTCTTTCACAAGTCTACAAAAACAGGTCCTGCCAGACAAACCTTGTGGAATTCTATGACAAGGTTTCGAGATGGCTAGATGGAGGGGATGCAGTGGATGTGGTATACCTGGATTTCAGCAAGGCCTTTGACAGAGTGTCCCATGACATCCTGGTGGAGAAACTGAGGAGTTTTGGGATAGATCAAAGCACTGTCTGGTGGGTTAGGGCATGGCTGACTGACCGAAAGCAGAGGGTAACCATTAGTGGGGAATCATCAGGATGGTGGCCAGTGACAAGTGGGGTCCCCCAGGGCTCTGTCCTGGGGCCAATCCTGTTTAATCTTTTCATAAATGACATGGAAGAAGGGGTGAACAGTCTGCTGATCAAATTCGCAGATGATACTAAAACTGGAGCAGTGGCCACAACTGAGGAGCAGGTACTCCAGATCCAAAAGGATCTGAACAGACTATGGAAGTGGGCAGGAGACAACAGGATGGCGTTCAATGTTTGCACTTGGGGCATAGGAATAGGTGTCATAAGTACAGGTTAGGTGACAAGTGGCTGGAGAGCAGCACGTGTGAAAGGGACCTCGGGGTACTGGTTGACTGCAGGCTAAACATGGGCCAGCAGTGTGATGCGGTGGTCAAGAGGGCGAACGCCACCCTTGGTTGCATAGCCAGAAGTGTGGCTTCTAGATCAATAGAGGTATTACTACCACTCTATATGACTCTGGTGTGCCAGCAACTGGAGTATTGTGCTCAGTTTTGGGCCCCTCATTACAGAAAGGATATAGCCAGGTTGGAGTCAGTGCAGCGTAGGGCCACAAGGTTGGTGGCCGGTTTGCAGGGGATGGGGTATGAGGTGAGACTGAGGGAACTGGGTCTCTTCAGCCTGGAGGAGACTCAGAGGGGATATGTTGGCGACATACAGGTATGTGAGGGGATCTCACATGAAGATGGGTTCTCCCCTGCAGAGGAAGGCAGGACGTGCTCCAATGGAACAAAGCTCAGGGAACCAAGGTTCCATTTAGATGCCAGGAAGCACTTCCTGACAGTTAGGACCCCGAGGGTATGGAATGGGCTTTCACGAGAGGTCGTTGAGGCCCCATTGGTGAGGGTGCTCAAAGATAGGCTGGACATACACATGGTGGGCAAGTCGTGAGCAGAGCCGGCTGGTGTCAGAGGTCAGACTAGATGGCCTGGGAGGCCACTTCTGACTCGCTTTGTTTCTATGTTTCTAAGTCTCTCCCTACAAGGAAAATTTATTATCAGTTGCTGGTTAAAGACAAGAGCTTTTCCTCACTGGGGAGAGAGGAGAAAGCATAAGGAAGAAATTGAACAATACAGTTCTGTTTACCAATGAAGTTGTCCTGCTTAATTCCAAGTAACCCTGCTGCTTATGCTTATCTCTGACTAGACATGAAAAGACTCATCCTGCTCATTTCTGACTAGGCTTAGAATGAATACAGATCTCATTTTAGCCACAGCCATTTTGCCTTTGGCTATGCCCACAGCTGTAACATGGATTGAAAAGTTCCCCATCTCTGATTCAGAGAAATCTGATCTGAGTTATGAAACCCCTAATTACATCTGGACTGGATGAATGCAGTTCATTAAGTTTGGGTCGGGATCTCGAGATGACTTAAGAACTTCAGCTGGTACAGAGTCCAGCTGCTCAGCTGCACTGAGCACCAGTGCATTTCCAATCTTAAATCAAAGTGCCCAGTATGATCTTGAAAGCCTTAAATAGTTTGGGTCAAGGTTACTTGATGGCCTGGCTATAGTTATAAGTTTCCTCAGTGTTGTAAGATCATTTTCAGAGGTGTTACCCACTGTTACCCACTGTTTTCCATATTAGTATGGCTGCTGGAGACTTCAGTGCTGGCTCTCTGAGGTGAAACCCCCTTCTCAGAATTATATTGCTAATCCCATCTGTGGCTGCATTTAAGCGGATTTTTAAACACATTTCCTCCTGGCTTTTAACTGTTTTCTTTTTTGATACTGGTTGCTAATGGAGGTTTTGAAATTGTATTTTATTGTAACTACCTTTGTTTAAAATTGTTTTGACATTGAGAACATTGGTTACAGGGCAGATTAAAAATAGCAAATTAATAAAAATAATGTGATTTTATTAGGCAACCATCCAGTGTAGCTCCTTGCAGCTCTCCAAACTCAGAAGTTAATAGGCATTCCATCAAGGGTGGAAGAAGCATGGTGGCAAAGATTGTCTCCACACTTCTCCCACCCTGCAAAAGACACATCTAATTTTAGTTATTTTGCCTACCCTCCTCATGCAGAGAAAGGACTGGCTGAAGCATCACCAACACAGTGGAGTATACAGCAGTATCCACTGATACATCAGATTTACTGATTATAGCTCAGTAGAGTTTCACTTTTCCTGTTCCTGTCCCCTGGAACACTTCTCCCCTATGCCTGCTCTGAAGTTGAAACTCTGGAGCTGTGGCTGGTGTGGAAAGAACCATGTTGGCAGAAGGAGGGCCCTTTGCAGTCTCAGACCTGGACCAAACCTCAGGATGTATATCTCAGGTAAGAGCTTAGCCTTTCATATGGCTACCCAAGGTGCAATCTTATGCAAGTTTACATAGGAAAAGGTCCTACAATCCCTAGCATGCCCCAGCCTGCTATGCTATAAACATCCTTCAGAAGACTATAGCCTTGAATGGCAGATAACAAAGGCTTAAATACAATACAATACAAACATCCTGAAGTTACCACCAAGTTTTGCCCAATCTGAAATTTCAGGACAAACTGGGAGGCTCTTGCATGGGCTAATTTCAGAGGAACTGGAAGATTATGATGAAGCATCAGCATAACTAGTGAACATTCTGAGCAGGTTTCTTCTGTTTCCACTGTACAAACTGGCCTTTCCCCAAATATAGTGTGCCTATGCTTGAGATTTGCTATGAACTGCCCAGAGAGCTTCTGACACTATGCAGTGTAGCTACACAGCAACTACAACAATAATAATACTGATCATTTTGCAGTAATTTAGATAAAATGCTTAAGAGGAAGGACTGTAAGGATTCTTGTCAAGAAAGAGTAATACTGCCTTTTTATTTATAATTTGTATAAACTGCCTTTTAAGGTAAACCACACATGGCAACATACAACAATACAAGTAATTATAAAAACACTGATAAAACGAAATTAACCATTAACACTGAACGGCACAATATGCATCACACGGTTTTAATTAAGCAGATTAGTCTTCTGGGCGTGCTTTAAAGTCTGTTGCAATGAACTGTGTTGGGCATCAACTGAAACAGAACTCCTCAAGGGGGAGAGGCACTACTGAAAAGGCCCTATCCCTTGTGCCCACCAACCAATTGGTATTGCAGATAACCACAGAGTTCTGGTGCTGATCCCAAGAGTGCAAGCAGATAGCTGCTATAAGTTAAGGCAGTTCTTCAAGTACCTGAACATTTTAGAGCTTTAGAGACTTTAAACTGGCTCCAGAAATGCTGGGACAATCGGTGCTGCTGGTACAATATGGGTATTACATGATCCAACCATGCTGCACCTACCATTGCTCAAACACATTTGGTACCAGCTGTAATGTAATGTACCCCAAAACTACAAGCAAAATTTTTGCATTTATCTACAGTATTAGCTGTAGAGCTGTTATACTTTTGCTAGTCCCCATCCAGGACCAGCAATGCAATAGATTTTACCCTGATAAAACCCATATAATGGATTGCTTTAGCACTGCTACTACAGAATGCAGTAGCAGACCCAGCAAACAAATGTATTACCAAGGGGCATATGAAGGAAATATCAACAACCTTAGATGCACAGATGATACCACTCTAAAGGAAGAAAGTGAACAGGAACTAAAGAGCCTTTTGATGAGGGTGAAAGAGAAGAGTACAAAAGTTGGCTTGAAACTAAGAAAACTAAGATCAGGGCATCCAGTCCTCTCACTTCCTGGCAAATAGATGGGGAAGAAATGGAGGTAGTGACAGATTTTATTTTCCTGGTCTCCAAGATCACTGCAGATGGTGACTGCAGCCAAGAAATGTAAAGATGCTTGCTCCTTGGGAGGAAAGCTATGGCAAATCTGGACACCATACTAAAAAGCAGAGACATCACCCTGCCAACAAAAATTTGCATAGTCAAGGCTATGGTTTTCCCAGTTGCAATGTATGGCTGTGAAAACTGGACTGTAAGGAAGGCTGAGCACTGAAGAATTGAAGCCTTTGAATTGTGGTGCTGGAGAAGACTCCTCTGTGAGTCCCTTGGACTGCAAGGAGCTCAAACCAGTGAGTCTTAGAGGAGATCAACCCTGGCTGCTCTTTAGAAGGTCAGATACTGAAGATGAAACTAAAATACGTTGGTCACCTAATGAGAAGGAAGGACTCATTGAAGAAGACCCAAATGCTGGGAACAATTGACAGCAAAAGAAGCAGAGGATGAGGTGGCTAGATGGAGTCACTAAAGCAGTTGGTGTGAGCTTAGGTGGACTTTGGGGGATGGTGGAGGACAGGAGAGCCTGGAGGAATGTTGTCCATGGGGTCGTGATGGGTCGGACATGACTTTGCAAATAATATAACATGAATATAACAGTCCTGGTATCACTGAGCATCCAGAATGCACTGACTACTTCACCATCATCACATGAATCCTAGTCCACATACCTGTGCTCTTTGTGGTCAGACTGGCATTTCAAAGAGTCATGGTTTTTCCAGTGGAGGTGCTTTTGTAGAACTCCTCCCAAAGATGGTTGTCAGAAAAGCTAAGGAAAGAATGCTTAGTTCTAGGCTAAGCTAGAGAAATCTCCCTGAACAAGGCACTGTGCAGGCACAGCACCCATATGTGCGATGCACAGAGACAACAACAAAGAACCTATGAAAATTGGCGATCTAGCTGGTTGAGGTCAGGCACATTTGACATTTTTAATATATAATTTACCTGAGATGTTGGTCCTTTTGCTGCTGATTAAAGAAAAACAATTTTATTGCATTTTATTTGATTTTAACCATTCCCCTCTAGTGCTTCAAGAAAGAACTTTCCAGCTTTTTATTGCTGCCAATCAAAATACATAGGGCACTTATTTTGTCTTTTCTTCCCTTACAGAATTTTGGAGGGTTTTTTGGGAGGAGGAAGAAAACAAGGTAGAAGAAGCAACAGGAAAAGACAAGAGGTTACAAGTGGAAAATGAAGGTATCTGAGTGCCCTGTCAAATTCCATGGATGAGGCTGGGTGATTGCACAATTAAAGCTGCTTTTGCACATATTTTATTATACACTTGTATAATAAATATTATATACAATATGCAATATTTATGTATATCATTGAATATGCAACCTGAGAAAGAGACATATAATGTAATAATTTAGGATAAAATAAACATAAATAGCAACAGCCACTCTACTCCGGTTTCAGCACTTCAAATATTTAAGTACCATTCAACAAATGAGCAATGAATATGCATTATTTTTTCTAAAAATGATTTATCTGGAAAAGCCAACAGAAAGAGAGAATACCTAAGGAGGTTATAATGTAAAGCCAGTATAATAACCTGCTGCAGCACTTTCCAACATGTTAAATTTCATCCTGTAGCAAAGAATCTAAGCCTATACCTGGAAGCAAAAAGAGTGGCATATGCAAAAAGTAAAGTAAATAGTCATACCAATTTCATGCTCGGTCCTCCCTTTCCAAGAAGCAATGACTCTAGTAAACAACAAAGGGCAGTAACTTTGCTGATGTCCACTTGTGCTATAGCTTGTGAGCACTTTTTGTGAATGTATTTTAGACCATCTTCAACGTAGCGACAAAAGAGTTCAAACAAATAAGTTCTTGTTTCTTCATTGAGCTAAAATAGAAGTAAATATTTGCAAACAATAACTAATTTCAGTTAATCATTTAAATATATGTACAGCTAAAAACACAGTGAAAATATATCTGACATGTTAATCTGTATGTAAAGCACATAAGTAACTCTTAACAGCAGTTTTCCCACACCAACAGAATTGGAACCAAAACAAAGTCACTGAGAAACAAACCCTAAATAACTTCATGCTTTGGGAAATCCTCACTTTTAGAGAAAGATTAAAAAAACTTTTTAAAACATGGAACAACTCCTCTGCCCTGAAAGCAGATAAAAAGTACAAGATTAATGCAGCAGGTGTCTATGGCTAGAGCACCAGGACCAGGGTGATGAAGGTGGATGGAGATCTCAGTATAATGATGCAGCAGCAAAGGTGAGCCAAGAATAAGTAAGGGTTGGACAATGTCAAGGCATAGCAAGACCAGAAGCAAAGACAGGGTTAAGATTGGGTGAAGGTAAGATAAGCAGCAAGGTATGACAGGTCCAAAGACAAAGTTAGATCCAGGAACAAGCAAGGTCGGATACTGAAAAACATAGCAGGTTCAGAAGCAAAGGCAGAGTCAGCAGCTGGTAAGAATTAGGTACCAACGAAGTGTGTCAGAACCAGAGGAAAAGGAAAAGCCAGGTGGAGGCAAAGATCAGATGCCCAAAGAGGCATAGCAGGCAAGGATCGACTACCTGGCAAGGTGAGGTCAGACCAGAGACAGGTCAGAGTCAGGAGCAAGCAGGAGTCAAGACTGGAAGCGAGATCAGGAATATGATGCAGCCACCACAATGGCCCATGTAACTGTAGCAAAGCTGAGCAATGCAAGGAGAAATGGGTCTAACCTGGACAGCTGTTTTTGAGAGCTTTTTTGTTGTAGTGATGACCAGAGATCTTCCCAGTGTCAGAGCATCATAGCCCACAGACACAGTTGGGCTCACTGGAGAAGCAGCCAAGCAGAAGCTGCTGGCATCACAGCTAGCGGTGTAGGAGACTGGTACTGCCGACGTAATAGTCTCAGAGAAGCAGTACCACTGCTGACATAGCAGGGAGGTGTTAGTAGCCTGAAGGACTGCTCAGAGCCTGCCAGGTCAATTATGTCTGACCTGGCAATGTGGGTAGCTATCCACTAGGGCACACTCTCTGAGACAAACCAAGCACAAAAATGCATATCAGTTGGAGGAAGTCTGCCACTGCATCTCACATGGGGCCATGAAGGTACGGCAATCTAGTACTGCAATCCAGTGGTGTCAAATAAATAAACAAACTATTAAAGAAAAATACCAATAAGGGAAAAGAATGATAGGAGACAAGAATACATAGAATATACAGTGGTACCTTGGCTCACAAACTTAATCTGTTCCACGACTCTGGTTGTGACCCAAGTCAAATTTCCCCATAAGATTCAATGTAAATAAGATTAATCCATTCTGGCCCCTCCGAATGTGGTTGTGACCCAATTTTTGGTCATGAGCCAAGTCAAATTTCCCCATAAGGTTCAATGTAAATAAGGTTAATCCATTCTGTAACTATTTTTTTTTTATCAGAAAAATTTGAAATGAAGTGACAAAGAACAGCAAAGCAACAAAGCAATGTACAGTACAGTGGAGAACACTAATCTAGGTTGGGGGGGATTATTGTTTTGAGGGAGAGTCCCCCTCCATAAGGACACTGGAGAGATCTCTGTCAGAAGTTTCCTCTCTTCTTTGTCTCTTAGCTGCAGGGTCAATTTTGTTGAAAAATCTGTCTATAGTCACTTGTTTTTTCCTGCGCTGCATAACCCTCTGGAAATGAGAGACCATCTTATCATTCATCAGATTCAACACTCTGTTCATTACAGTTCTGTTGGGGTGGTGCTTCTCAAAGAAATCCTGGCGCTCATTCCATTTTTTCATAATGGATTTTACCACATCACTGGTAAGCTCACCCTGCCTTCCTCTTCCTCAGAGGAATCCTCCTCAGCAAGTGCCTGCTGCTGCTCACGCTGAAGTTCAGCAAGTTCTTCTGTCGTCGTCAGCTCCTCTATTTCTTCCCTGCACGAACGCAACTGCGATCGTGGCCATCTCCCCACACCGGGGGGGGGGGGGGGGGGGGGGTGTGATTGGGGTGGTTGGGGGGGGGGGGAGATGGCCAAGATTGCACCCATCTTTCCTGCAGGAGCACGTCCATGATCATGCACGTCTTCCCTGCACGAACACAACTGCGATCATGGCCATCTCCCCACACCAGGGGCGGGGGGAGATGGCTGCGATCGTGCTGGTTGTGAACCAAAGTGCTGGTTGTGAACCAAAGTGTTTGTGAGCCGAGGCACCACTGTACTAAAGAATGAAGAAATCTCAATAAATGAATGTCATTAACAATGAAAGATGATCCTTGTGAGGTGACCATCATGGCTGATAAAGAGGAACTGAAGAAACAGAAGGAACCCACTAAGGATGTGCATTCTGAGGAAGTGGTGAAAGGATTCCCACCCAAATACTTCAACTAGGTAAGTTTAATGAAGAAGACTACATAGGCACAGAGCCCGCATGTGTGATGCACAGAAACCACCAGAAAGAACACTGAATATCAATTGAAAAAAGCTGGAAAGCTTGCCTTTTAATTAAAAGCATTTTAATAAAACCTACTCTGTCAGTAAGACCTGCCATCCAAGTTTTTACATAGGGAAGCCACTTCAGTTCTTCAGGGTCAATGTATACCATTCCACATCGGCTAACTGTGGCTGGTGAAGCAACCCTTAAGTCTTCCACCTTAAAGTAATAGAAATGGATAATGTACATATTTCTGCTTCAGTGCATACATACACACATGGGACACACACACAAGAACAAAGACTATAAAATAGGTAATATATTTGATTCAACTGTTTTGATCCTAAAGAAATTGTTTTCTACTTCTGATCCCTAGAAATTTTCCTTCTCTTTTATTCTTTTATTCTGTATGAGAGAATGGGGAGAGGGGTTGTATACCCACTATATGTTAAGTTTTAGCTAATATGAGGTGCCCTCCAGATGTTTTGTTATAACTTTCATCAGTCCTGGACAGCATGGACAGTGGCCAGAGATAATAGGAGCTCTAGTCTAGGACATATAGAAGGTATGAAGCTGGAAAAGGCTAGTACAATATAGACAGCAGCTTTAGTGATATTAGCTGAGGAAACAGTCACATCAGTAAATGGGAAAATCTAACCCAATACCAAATCACAACAATATGTACAGTTGCATTTCAGCTTTATAAGAGCAAGATAAACAAAACAAGCATGTATAGCCTATTTCACATTTACTCTTTCTTGTGGGGGAACATAGGAAGCAAAAAGCTAAACCCATCAAGAGCTAAATGCATTCATAAATTTAATGGGAAACATTAAAACTCAGGTTTAGGTGCTGTGACTGGGTAGCGGGATATGCCCTCTTCTTGACTCAATCAAATTACTCTTGAGGAGGCTTGAAACAATGGTTCCTGTGTTCAGATCACTGTGACAAGTTTTGTTAAATATAGGTAGATGCTGAAAAAAGTATTAGAAAACAGTTTAAACTTAAGAAATAAAAGTACCTCAAACAACATATGGATGGAAGGTGTGAGTTTGATTCTTTCACTGTTAGCCAAACAGAGCATCTTGTTATCATCCAAAACAGTGTTGAGATTTTCAATCCATAAAGCGTCCACAGGCCCATCATTGACGATCCATTTATGATCTTCTGAGGTGTCAACCACAGCTGCTCTAACACTAAGAGCCATTAGGCCATCCTTCCATTCCAGGGTTAAATTGTTAACTTCACCATATAGTTCACCCATTGTAATTGATTTTGGATTCATAATAAATGTTTTAACAGGCTGGTAGAAAGGATTTGCCTCACCCGCTTCATGCAAACTTCCTAGAGTATCTGCCAGAACTTGGTAAACAGTAGTTTTTCCACCTCCTGTTGGTCCAACAAGCATGACACCATGCCTCACCAGCATAGTTTCATAAAGCTGTATGACTTTGCGAACCATGGTACTTTCAGGCTGTAGTCCTTTGGAAAGCATGACTTCTATTATTGTTGACTGCAGCACTCCGTAATCATGCTCTGGGATTACAACTCCAGGAAAAAGGTCAGATATAATTCCACTAACGAAAATAAATACATAAACAAATAAAACCTTTGCTTGCTTGTTTAGGGTATTTCTATCCCATCTCTCTTACATTCAAAGCAATATTTAAGCAATGAGAACAATAATATATTAAACAATGAATGCAGAAGAAATAAAAATAAAGGGAAGGAAATTTGAGCTCACTTCTTAATTCCCCTTCTCTCTTATTTAGGACAGGGCAGTTTTGCAAATTGGGAAGCTGAAAGGTATGATCATACATAAAGCAAAACCTGAGCGGGATGATCTCTTCATTGTCAGACTATGTCTAGAACCTGGAAATGGCCCTAGATCATAAATAAAAAGCTGCTAATGATAGCTATTTAAAGAACACATAACAGGACAAAAAAGAACCTCAGAAGATTCAAGTGGTCTATAGCCACAAATGACAAGTGTGGATTCTTCTTAGTGATTCCACTCCTTGCCCCATCATTTTTGGAGTTGTGGGTGGATAGACTGCCCCATCCTGGAACCACAGAGAAGGTAACAGGTAAACTCCATTATTCCCTTTTTTCTATGGTTCCAATGTGGGGCATTCTTGTAAATTAGGATGTAGAAAAGCAGTGCATCCCCAAGGACAATATTAATGTTAATCACACTACTACCATCTTCTGAATGACTCTTCTACCAAAGACAGCATCTGTGCAGGAGAAAGAGCTGAAGGTGAAACCTGGCCACACTCTGTGGAAACCATGCAGAGTTGTTTGCCCTGACATGTGAATACAACTAATTAATACTTCAGAATAGATATGTGTAGAACTGTAGTATTACTTGATTCTACAAAATATTCTTAGAATTCTAAGAATTGTTTATTAGTTGTGCAATTAAAACATTACTATGATCAAGTATACTAACAATTAAAATTAATTGCTTTATTATTATTTCAGCCCTATTGGAAATAGGAAAGTCATATTTAGTTATAGGGAGATAATTAGCCAAAAAACCTCCTACCTGAACAAAAGAGCATCATCTGCAAGAAATTTTGGGAGGTTGGAATCTCGTAATGCTCTTATTAACACAACATCCTCATTCAGATTTGGATTCTCTCTCTTTAGTGACCTAAATGTATAGGAAAAAAACATTCATTCATTCATTTCCGTACTGACCGCAGCTGAAGCGCTATTGGTGGTTTACACAGTCCACAAAAATAAATGATAAAAATGCAATCAAAATATCAAAAAAGAGAAGTTTAAAACAGCTATTGAGGGCTTTCTTGTACCAAGCTTCCTGCTACAGCTTCCTACAGTCTCAAAACCCAACTTGTGAGGATCACAGGCCCCTCTGGAACAGGATGAAGAGCACAGGCTCACAACTGGAGAGTAGAAGTAGCAAAAATTGTGGCCTCTTCCTTTGTATAAACACAAGCCCATTCTCTTATGTTAGGATTTAAGCCACTGATTTTTTAACTCAATCTTAAATGCACTTGGAAATTTGCTTTTAAGGACTTGACCCAAGATGGTTTCAAGCAAGGCCTTTCTGGATCCATAGCAACAGGATCTATTTTCTTTTGGAAAAGTATCAAACTATAGTCTGTAATCCTCACGATCAGATAGAGTGGCTTGGCAAGTTTTCAAACTGTTGCAATATCTGCTGCTTTGACAATATTCAGAGCAGCTTCAGCTTCTTCTAACAGTAGGTTAATTTATTTTAATATATTTTATTTCTATGCTGCCCAATAGTTGAAGCTCTCAGGTTACAGAGCGTTAATAAAAATTCTCCCTATCAATTATAGACTAATTTCTAGCTTCCAGTTAAAACAACGAATAAGACCATTAAATTAGCTTTTATACTATAACAATCGCCTGCTTTCCATTTGGAAACTCATTCTGCAAATCCTTGCAAGAAATAAGAGTAAAGGTGCTTGAATGTACATCTATAAATCATTGCGTCTACAAAGCTTGTTACTCTCAAAGTCAAATATGACACATTAGCTATGTATTGTGTTCTTCCAGATGCCTTATGCTTTTGCAATCTCAGACAAGCAGCAACAATACTGGGAGGTGAGATGAGCCTCCTTACAAGATGGGTGGGCTGAGTCCTGCTTGCTGTGTCACATGATGTACAGGCCTGTGATAAAACATACAACTTTCAAACATACAAGTGCACTGATCCAGGGACTCTGCTGCAGGCATAGAGGCTTTCCATATAGCTCTGCAAAAGATGTCTCAGGACCAAGGTTTTTTCCACATGTGCAGTCCCACTGAAGTTTACCCCAACAATATACCCCAAGAGTAAGAGAACACATCCCCTGCATGTCCAGAGTTTAAGTTGTGTTCAATGTCCTGGGAGGTTCTGATGTACATCACAGTCTGTATCTGCGGAAATTCACATACAATATCAGAATGTCAACTTTGTAGGGTTGGAGTAAGTAAAATTGTCTACAGTTGGCAAAATAACATTCATACATTAATGATGTCTCATACAGCACTTGGCTTCTTACCCAGCCATGACTAAGACAGATTTGACAGCTCTCATTCCAAAATCATAGTGATCCTGTTGAGAAAGCTGCTCACTACAGAGTTTATACATTTGTGTCATCTTCCTTGCAAGTGTTTTACTGGATTCAAATCCTTCAGAATATAAAATGACCTGAAGTATAATAAAAAAATTACACAGACTGTACCTATAAAACAAAAGCAGACTTGCACATAACTAGACATCAAGAACACATAATTTGAATCCAAGTGAATCAAGGTAATATGCAATCAAGATAATGCAAGTCATGTGTGTTATGTGCTCTCAAGCATGCAGTCTCCTCCTTTCTATGAATCATAATGCTACATTAATGCAGGTTATACAGCATAAGTTGCTAGATGATGCAACTGATACAAAAGTCCATTTTTACAATTCTTTCCATTAAATAAAAGAATGTGCTTCTGATCAATGAGGGAAAAGATACAGGGCTTAACAATAGGGAATGGAACAAGATGGAAAGACCAGAATATTCTGAAACCTAGGCAAAACTTCTGTCTAGGACAGAGAGACAATCAACAAAACAAACAAGGAAATAAAACAACAACCTTCCCTTTCAATATGTAGTAGCTGCATATCTTACATGGAACTCTTCTCCATCTGAAGAGCCATATTAAAACGCAGTTCAGAGCGAGGATGCAAGTAATCATTAAACTGAGAGCAAAATTGAATCTGAAACTGCAAGTACTTTAGTAATAGGGTGATGTCATTAAGCTTCAAAATCCATTAGACATCTTTGTGGTAGAGCTTCCACATACTCCAGTCTTGGTGTGACTGAAAAGTCAACCAGTGGAAATAAATGATGAAAAATATAAAGTGAGTTCATCATCAAAACTCTAGTTGTGCCTTTGGTCCTCTGACCTATATAGTAAATGCACCAAATTGTATGCCCCTATTTTTGAGATAAGACTTCCTAGAAAATGACTAAATGAAATATGAGGTGAACAGAAATTGTTATGTTAAAATCTAGTTTTGTTACAAATAAGGCACTCAAAGAGAGATATTGGAAAAATATACATTTTGTTTCATGATGTGTGACTCCCTTTAAGCCAACTGTTACAGTATGTTATTCCTTATTTAGTTACACTGCTCTCAAACACTTTTGGCATTCTTGTAATACGTATTAAAGAGGTACCTCAGCAATCAAAGCATAGTTGGGAACCATCATTGAAAAGGGCCTGAAGAGTGCTTTTAAATTGTCAGGTAATTCTGTTCGTCCAGCGTAGCCAGGATTCATCGTAATGAAGGCTGCACAAGTCATAATCAATTTTATTTCACGTCCCTCAAACATAAACCGACTGAGCTGTTTTGAAAGAAATAAGGGGAAATATTATAGTTCAAATATATGAAAAACATGAATTAGAGAGTCTGTTATTTAGAAAGCAAGTAAATTACCTTTGCTGCTTTAGCATTCCTAATAGTAATCAACTGCTGGGCAATAACTGACAGAACTTCAATATCAATCCGGTTAAATTCATCAAAACAGCACCATGCACCAGACTGTGCTAAGCCACTGAAGAAACGCCCCATCATCTGAAACAACATTAATATATTCTAGTTAGTAAGCATGTCTCAGTCATGTGTCTCCCATCACCTGCAATTCAGGCAACTGAACCAAACTGTAGAATCAAAGAGGTAAATATATGTAGATGATATGAGGATTGTGTTACTTATCCTCAGCCCTATCCTTGTGCACGTATGAGGTCCAAGCCAAATACAAAAAAGATCTGTTCTGAACTGAAATGATAATATTATTTATCGTTTATATGCCATCTGGAGATATTTATATAAAGGACTACATATAAAAGCTTTTAATAAACAAACAAACAAACAAACATAAAATAACCTCAATAGCTAAGATTAAATATCACTGTACTGCAATGCTGGCCCAGTTCAGGGGGTTTGATTCGACTCTGGCTTAACTCACTAATAACTGTTTTGGGTCAATAAGGCAGGATCATCAACTTAGTTTTAAGTTGTTGATTTACACTGTCCCTGCTGAATACCAACAGGTGGATATCAGCAACAGGAAAAGTATGTTTGAACACCTGAGCATCAAATCCTGGCTTAAGCAACAAAATATTCTTAAACATTGTATTCACAGGATACTGTCTATCACAATGTTGTTATTACACTTCATCACATTATCTCTGACTCATGACGATCCGATGAATGAATACCATCTAAAATGTTCTGTCCTTGACAGTCCTGCTCAGTTCAGAATTCCACACGACAAACACATAATAATCACTCATTCCTAGTTCCCAGCTATCAAAGACAGAGGACATCAAGAAAACAAGAAGTAATTTCAAGTAATTTTCAAGTAAATGAGAAGTACTATGTTCTAACCGTCAATGATATTCTACATAAATTTGACTACTACGTCTTTGAGCTCAGTTTCCCTAGTGCTTCATTTTTTTTTCAAAATCAGCCACCTTTTGCATGAATGGGTTTATATTTGATATAATCCTTATTTAAGAATGCTCATCAAGTATAGGGACATTTCTAAAGACCAAGGCCAAGATCAGCTACAGGATTGTTATTCCTGATCACTATATATTCGTGTGAAAGCCAGATAGTGAAGAAAGCTGAAAGGAAGACATTTTTTGCATTTAAAATAGTGTTGGAGATCTTTGGAAATACTCTGGGAATGACAGAAAGACAAACAAGTGGTTCCTAGAACAAATCAACCCAGAAATTTTCCTGGAAGGAAAAATGACAGAACTGAAGCTGTTTCTTATTTATAAGAAATAAAGACTTGCTGCAGAAGACAAAGATGCTAGGGAAAGTCAAAGACAGAAGGAAAAGATGAAGACCAGTTACGAGACAGATTGATTGTATAAAAACAGTCACAGGCTTAAGTTTACAAGAGCTGAGTGCAGCTGTCAAGAACAGGACATTTTGGAGGCATTAATTTATGGAAACCTCATAAATAGAAGACTTCATGACATTTAACAACAGCTAGTTCCATCAATATAACATGTCATAAAATATTAACTGTTCACATATGCTCACTTTGTTAATTTATATGAACTACAAACCTTGTAATCCAAGCCATCTGAACAGTTGAACACAACACACTGGATGGCAAGTGCTTTTGCAAGGTCTTTTGTAGTCTCTGTTTTGCCTGTACCAGCAGGTCCAGCTGGAGCACCACCTAGATCAAGTTGCAATGCTCCCATAAGGCAGAGGTAGCAGCGATCCTGATGAGAGTCAAAATGTGGAAAACTACATATGCATTGTACAGAATTCCTGAATTACAATAGCACTACTGTATTGTACTATAATCTTAAAACAATATGAAAAGTCTGCCTCTAATAGATTTACTACCTACAATTTATATCATTCTCAGAAAGACTCAGCTATTAGCAATATAATGCTACATGTAGTATGGAACAGAACCACATACGAAGGACACATACCAAGGAAAAATCTCCACTTTCACATATATGTTCAAGATCCAACAATTTTAATTCACTTAGACCAAGGGATACCATATGAATATATGTCTTTTGGAACACTGTGACACTATTTAGTGATTTATTATTACATGTATGTTCCATCTTTTTTCCTCTTGCAAGGAAACCAAGGCAGCTTACATAGTCTTCCTCCTCTCTATTTTTTTCCTCATAACAACAATTCTGTGAGATTAAGAATAAGTGACTGGCCAGAAGTCACTCAGTGAACTTCATGGCTGAGTGGGGACTACAACCTGGATTTCCCAACAACCTGACCAAAACACTACACTAGCTCTCGTGGTTGTCTCTACAACACCAAATTATAAGGAACATTTGAAGATGTGGATCAAATCTGGATAGCCTGGATCATTCAAAAATTCATATGGAATTTGTTCCCTGAAATAATCTAAACCCAGCTTTGAGGCTTCTTAGGTAAAAGCCACCACCTTGAAAACAAACCAATAACCACTGGGGTTGTTTCAGAAAAGGTGAAACAAGTTTAGCTAATATATAAAGTTCAGCTATCAGGGAGAGCCATTCTGAACCAGTTGATGAACTGTCTTCCAGGGCATACCATGCAGAACACATACAAGTTGACATTGCTTTTTAAACTCATTCTTTCAGGGTTCCTGCTTTGGAATACTGTGCTGCTACAGCAAAAAAATTATCTGGATCTTGAATTCTATTTCCATTAGAGCACTTATAGTGGTACATGGAATCTGGATATTAGCTATGAAAGATTAGTCAGCAACCTACTGAATGAGGTGCCGAAATAGAAGGTCCAGTTAGATGTCAGGATGAGTGGGGAGGCACTGACCTCAGCTGACATGCTTTGCTATCTTACAGTACAAACTAGAGTTTTTCTAAGGGCATGCAGTCAGTTACAAATACGCAGTTATGGCTGAAACAGGTCAGGAGTCCTACCCTATGCAATGGTAAAATCACAGGGGTCATAAATTCAAATAAGAATTTTAATATAGAGCTTCTTAAGATGATAATTTAAAATGACTTTGCTAACTTGGCTAACTTTGCTCAGAGATGAGATTGCATTATTCAAATAAAGGTTGGAGACTGACAGGACTTTTTGAGACAACACAAAATTGTATGAAGCAGCCTTTGGTTTACTTCAGTGAAAACAGACTTTGGAGGGTTTATAGTGCTTCACAACCCTGCAAGAGCAGCCAGGAAAGAGATATTAGGGGCATCTGTGTTTTCAGCCTTCTTGAAAACTATTCTTATTCTCAGGTCTCGACCAGGAATGAGCAACATGTGACCTTCTGTAGGTTGTTGGACAGCAAATCCAATCATTCCTCACCATTGGCTACACTTGCTAATGCTGATGGGACTTGTAGTGCAGCAGCATCTAAGGGGCCATGCATTCTCTACCTCTATCTAGATAAGGATAACTCTTCTGTTTCAATTCTTATATTTTAAAGTACATGCATGAAGATAAAAGCAAAGTCTTACCGTGAGTGGAGTTATCACTAACCTTGGGCATGCACCCAAGTATTCATAGCCATAGGTATACTGGGATAAAGCCATTCTAGCCACACAGTTATCTAGATCAAGGTCCCAGTAGTACCGCAGTTGTCTTTGCCAATCAAAATTGTCAACAGAATCCACCTTTACAAACAATATAAAATGTTTGTTAGAAGTTTATCTTAAAAGTGAAACTCTAGAAATATAATTTAAGCAATTATACTCTACCTTTTGGTATACAAGTTCGGTAACAATGTCTCTTGCATGTACATCAATAGTTATGAGTGCGGTTATGATGTTTCTATGTAGTTTGGGAAGAATGCCACGGACTAGTGAAGCCAATGCATTTAATCTCTGTGAAATGCGAGTATATAAAATGTTAGAAGTGTTTTCCTCTTTACTCAAACTAAAAACTTTTTAAATTGAAAGAGTAACATGTTTGATGCAAATAGAGAGGAAAGATCTTTACAAATGTTTTCATCAGCATGACCCCTTTGTCCATAAATTTTTAGGGATCACTGCAGAAGGGGATAAAAGTGGCTACCTTTTCAAGGAAGCATTGTTGGCACTCTGAACAGAACTGGTTTGCTTTCTGTGGTGTCACTATATAAGCTAGTTCTGATGGTATCACATTCACTTAAGTGAACCCTTTCTGGCTAGGAGGAAAAAGTAATTCCTAACTACAGAGGAAATGGTACCATCATTTTAAAGTTTAAAAAGAGGATTACTTTCCAGTTAGATAATGCCCTTTCAGGAGAAAAAATAATTATTTTATGAAATATTCTACAGAATTGCAATATAATACTTTGGTCTCATTACAAGGGGTACACACTCTTCTCTCCTGACTCTTTTGTTGCCATTGTATTTTCTGCACGGTTAGGAATGCACTAGCAACTATTTTATGGATTCAAATCATTCTACTGATATTTGTTTTTAAACAGTTAAAGCTGTTGTTGTGTACTGTCAAGTTGCCTCTGACTTATGGGAACCCCATGAGTGAAAGCACCCCAAAATGTCCTATCCATGACAACCCTGCTCAGTTCTTATAAATTCAAGGCTGTGGTTTCCTTTACAGCCAATCACTCTTATATTTAGCCTTCCTTTTCTTCTTTTGCTTTGCCACATTGGTTATACGAGAAGCTGCAGTATCTTAAAACTTGCTGTCTCTCGGGCATTTTAAACATATGTGTCAAAATATGTTGCTGTGGTACTGTCACAACACAGTAGAAATGCCAGCATCTTACTATATTTAGTGATGCTCTACTGTTACAGACATATTTTTTCCTAAGCAAGCTTGTAACAGAGTAGTAGGAGCTAGGACTTAGAAGTTAGAAAATATGTATCATCAGAAAAAAAAAAGCCTCAAGAAGCATGAATACTAACATCAAAGTTCTCATTTTCAAATGCTTCCAAAGTTTCTAAATGATCATGATCATCTCCTTCCAAACACTGAGTCAGATCACGGCACCACATGAGCTGTGAAATGGTCAACACAACCTGTATTAGGGGAAAAAGAGGCAGAATAAAGGTAAAGAGATGTTGTGCTTACAGCTGATGTCTGCTTTCATTAACTAAGTTTTTAGTACATTTACTCACTAGGAAATTCTACTGCACAAGCCCTCTTCTGCAGAGTGCATTGTGCAATAACTATCACACATAGTCTCTTTTCATCTCAAAAGAGCAGTAGCATATTACATTTTTTATCCTGCAGTTCATAAAACTTAAATTCATATAAAAACAATATAACAAAACATCAGCTTTATTAACATTTTTAAAAATTAAAACAAAATAAGACCAACGTGAAAATCAGAACAAAATCCAGCAGCAAGAGCAGGTTGCTTACCTGTAACTGATGTTCTTCAAGTGGCCATCTGTGCAGTCACACATATGGGTTCTGCGCCTGCGCAGTGCCTTTGGCTGGAAGATTAACAGCTAACGGTTTTGTCAGGAAACTCCACTCCCCCTCCCCCCTAGTATTATATAAGGAGCGGAGTATCCGCCATTTTCCAGTCTTTGAAAGACCCGACGTTCGCTCCCTTAATAAAGTTATTGTCACTATGGCAAAAACTAAAACTTCAGTGGTACGACGAATAGCTAAAGAGATCCTAGCATCGAAGAGAAGGAAGTTGGACCACCCATGACACCAAGCGGGGTCGGAGGTGGGTTGTGTGACTGCACAGATGGCCACTCGAAGAACATCAGTAACAGGTAAGCAACCTGCTCTTCTTCGTCGTGGCCTCTGTGCATCACACATATGGGTAGAATAACAAGCTTACCCGAACTGGAGGAGGGAGGTGTCATCAGCGAAGAATAGAAGAAAGAACAGCCCTGCCAAAAGAGCAATCTTGTCTGGCACGAACATCAAGTCTATAGTGTCTCACAAAGGTACACAGGGTAGCCCAAGTGGCAGCTCTGCAGACGTCTTCCATTGGGACTCCCGATGCAAAGGCCGAGGAAGCAGCCACAGCCCTTGTAGAATGACCTCTTGGAGTAGATGGTAAGTCCAATTTAGCCAACTGGTAAGACAGGGCAATTGTATTTACTATCCATTTGGAAAGTTGTTGGGAAATGACCGGATAGCCCCGGTTGTGCTCCGACTATTTAACAAAAAGTCTATTAGAGTGTCAAACAGACTCAGTCCTGGACCTATAAAAAGCTAGGCAACGACAAACATCCAGCATATGCAGAGACCTCTCTATCAGATTCGAAGGAGTAGGAAAGAATGCCAGTAAAACGATCTCTTGCTGCATGTGGAACGAAGTAGTGATCTTAGGAAGAAAGGATGGGTCTCGCCGTAGAACTACCTTTTCCTTATGAAAATTCAGAAAAGGGGGGTCTACCCTAAGGGCACAAAGCTCAGAAGATCTAAGGGCTGAAGTAACTGCTACGAGGAAAGCAGTCTTCCATGAGACAAGGTGTAGATCAATTGTCGCCATGGGCTCGAAAGGGGGTTGTGTCAGTGCCTGTAAAACTACTGAAAGACTCCAAGTGGGCATTAGCGGCCTGATTGTTGGATGGAGGTTACCCAGTCCTCACAAAAATCTTTTAATCAAAGGTTGAGAAAAAATAGAGAAACCTTGTACAGCTCCACGGTAATAAGAAATTGCTGCTGTATATACTTTTATGGAAGAAGGTTTAAGTCCAGACTGGTGCAATTCGAAAAGGAATTGAAGAATCTGCTGAACCGACACCGATGACGCTGGAAACGAGTGAGATTCGGCAAAGCTAGAGAATCTACGCCATTTCGCTGCATACGACTTTCTAGTGGATGGCCTTAATGCAGATTCGAGAATATGTTGCAGATCTGGATGTAAGGTTTGTGAGGTAGAGGTAGTAGGGATTGCAGGTGGTGTCGACACCGGTGCAGCATGTACAGTTATCGGATCCTCCAGGCACTTAGTTTCAGTGACAATAGGTCTGGGTGTTGGATCGTGCCTTCCCTCTGGGTAATGAGATAAGGAAGAAGAGGGAGTTGAAGAAGTTGAGTTATTAGTAACCCAGTGGCCCCTTTGTGAATGATCTTTGCCAACACTCTCATGATGAGGGGAATCAGTGGGAAAGCGTAAAAGGTCATGTCGTTCCAGGGAATCATGAAGGCGTCCCCGGACGACCCCTGTCCGATCCCCGCTCTGGAGCAATAGTTTATGCACACCCTGTTCTGTCAGGTAGCAAACAGGTCTATGTCTGGTGGACCCCAGAGGTGAAACAGTCTGTCGCGAACTCGACGGTCCAGTTCCCATTCGTGTGGCCGCAACATATGTCTGCTCAAGAGATCTGCTTCTACATTGTCTGTGCCCGCAAGATGTACTGCTAGAAGAGTGATACCTCTCGGTATGCACCAGTCCCAAATTTGCATCGACAGGCGGGCTAGTTTCGGGGACCAAGTTCCCCCTTGTTTGTTCAAATAAAAGACTGTAGCCGTGTTGTCTGAAGTCACCTGGACAACCTGGTGAAGAAGTACATCCTCGAATGACTGCAGGGCTTTGAAAACAGCAAGAAGTTCCAGGAAGCTGATGTGGTTCCTGGAATCCCGGGGACTCCAAACCCCCTGGGTACAGAGGTCAGAGCAAATGGCTCCCCATCCCAGAAGAGACACGTAAGTACCGAGAGTCACTGTAGGGTACCGAGGTCGAAATGGGACACCGACATTTAAATTGGCTGGTTCTGTCCACCATAACAGGGACTGAAGAACGGAGGGCGGGAGCCAAATCCGTTTGGTAAGTGGCTCTCTCTGTGGTTGGAACATCCCATTGAAGAATAACTGAAGAGGGCGTAGTCTGAGTTTGGCATGTGGATCCACAGCGATGGATGCAGCCATGTGTCCCTACAGGCTCTGGATAGATCGGGCAGGAACAGTCCTTTCTCGTCGAATCCGAGAGATGCGCCGAGCGATAGCATGTTGTCTGTCTTGAGGAAGAAAGGCTCTTGTCACCGTAGAATCCAGTCAGGCTCCGATAAAGTTGATCGTCTGTGTAGGGAGAAGAGAAGACTTCTGTTGATTAATGCAGAGTCCAAGGTCTTGTAATAGAGCACAAGTAATATCAACAGCAGACGAAAGTCCTGCTTTAGTGTCAGAAACCAACAACCAGTCATCAAGGTACGGGTATATCCGAATTCCACGTAGTCGAAGGTGTGCGCAGACAGGAGCCATACACTTCGTAAAAACTCATGGTGCAGTGGCTAATCCAAACGGTAACACCTTGAATTTGTAGATTTCAGAGGCTACCGCAAAAAGAAGGAAGCGCCTATGTGGATGTATCGAAATATGAAAATAGGCATCCTTCAAATCCAGTGATGCGAACCAATCCCCTCTCCACAGCAATGGAAGGATATTTTGGAGCGTGGTCATCCGAAACTTCTTTGGTGGTATGAATCTATTGAGAGCTCTCAAGTCCAATATGGGTTGGAGACCCCCATCTCGTCTCGGGACCGTAAAATATCTGGAATAGAATCCGTGGAGTCCTTCCGAGAATGATAAGCGACGAACAGCTCCTTTAGCAAGGAGTTGGTGAATCTCGTCCAACAGTACCGACAAGGTCAGTGTAAACCGGATAGGATTCGGTGATGGAACAATGTCAAACTCAATTCTATATCCATGCTGGATGACGGATAACACCCACCCGTCAGATGTAATGGACTCCCAAGTGGGGAGGGTGAAGTTGGGAGGAGAGGAAAGGCTCACTTGCCCCATCAGCGCTGACGCCTATCTGCATCAAAGTGGTGGCGGCCCTGCTGGAAGCGCTGGGACGGTTGCTGTCTGCGGTGTTGCTGGCATTGGTGTGGTTGTTGTTGCCAAGGCTGGTATTGTTGGCAGTACTGCGGGCGGGACCATGACCACTTACGGCAAGGCTGGGATTGCAGTTCCATACGATGGGCCGTCATTCTGGATTTGTGGATCTTTTTTAGTTTGCTATCTGTCTTCGCATGAAAGAGACCGGATCCGTCGAACGGCATCTCCTCAATTCTCCACTTCATTTCTTCTGGAAAATTGCAATTACGCAACCAGGCGTGTCTGCAGAGAGAAATGGCACCAATGAGCGACCTCGAATCAGTATCAACATGGTGCCTGGCTGTAGAAAGTTGTTGTACCATCACTTGCATAGCTCCCTTAACAAAGGTTTTCGCTAGCTCGCCCTGGTTGCCTGGGAAGGTGTCAATGATAGAGTCTAGGTGCTGCATAAGGAAGTATTGATAGCGCACCAAGGTCGCCTTGTAATTTGAAATTCGCAATCCGAGGCCAGAAGCTGCGTATACCCGGTGCGCAAGGGAGTCAACTTTTCTTCCCTCCTTATTGCGAGGCGTGTCCACATGTTTCCCGGCCCTGAGAAGATTCCACAACAACCGAGTTCGACTTGAGGTGACGGAGGAGAAACGGAATGTCCCCCTCCCGAACCCAATACATGGACTCATATTTACGTGAAGTTGGTTGTGGATGGGCCAGGAGGTCCCTTGGTTGTCATTGCCTGTCATAGAGTTGTTATAAACATTAGGTGATGGAGGTGGATTGTTCGCCCCTGACCACATCATAAAAACGGTCAGTGCTTGGTCCCGGTTGTTGGTGGGCTTCGATGTTGAGCAACTTCACCAGCCTGGCCATTAACTCGGTGAAGGAGATGTACGGTTCTTCAGGTGACCCCAGGCCTTGCAAAGTAACCGCTGCATCTGACGAGGTCGAGTCAACCTAGGATTCGTCTGATTCTATCCAGTAAGGAGGTGGGGCACTGGAAGAGGAATCTCCTGGTGACCCCGATCTGCCACTCTCTCTAGATGGAGCCCTCAGGGTGTCTCTGGGTGTAGAATGAAAACAATCCCGAGGAGCTGGCGGTGAGGATTGTCCTCTGGAAACCGGATAATAGGCCACGGATTGGTACTCTTCCCGTCTCGGAGCGGAGGAGTATCGGGATTGGTACCAGTCATCGGATCTGGCATCTGAAGAACAGCTCCTATGGCTTCTCGGAGGAGAGATGGCGATGTCGGTATCCAGAGGGATGGGCAGCATTGGTGTTGGCAACCGAGCTCTTGGTGGAGAATCTCTTATTTCACCTTCCGAGATCGAACCACGCTGTGGGTCCTGAAGGAGTTCGGCTGCCAGTCGGTGCGGTGAGCCTGGTGGTCGGGACCGAGGGGGTCGGTTCCGTGGCCGGAGTTGGGATCAAGGAGGTCGTCGAACCCGAGTGGCGATGCTTTGTATGCTCAGGATTCCTCGGTTTCTTAACCGGCTTGCCAGCCTTATCCTTTTTGGCCTTCCGGGTCACTGTGCTTCCTTTTCTCTTTTTGTTTCCTTGGTAGGGAAACAGGCTGATCGGCCATACTAGAAGCACCTTCTTCAGAAGGGCGTGAGGGCGGAGCAATGGAGGAAGAGGCCGAGCGCCACAGCAGATTGGCCAAAGTTGGACAGCCTTCGGGTGGAGCCACAGTTGTGGGAGGCTTAGCCACCAGCTGGTCCGATTGGAGAAGAGCCTGGTCCCACAAGAGCTTGCGGAGGCAGTTCTCCCGACTCTTCCTCGCCTGTTTGGAGAAGGCCAAGCAGTGGCCACATTTATCTGTCCTGTGCCCTTCCCCCAGGCAAAGGAGGCACAGGTCATGTGGGTCTGCGGTGGGCATTTTGGAGCCGCACTTCCCGCACTTGCGGAACACTGCCCATTGCGCCATCGTAGAGAAAGAAGAGAAGGAGATAGTAAAGTGGGAGAATAATATTTTTGGTTTTGTTTTGTTTTTTTTATAGGAATGAGAGAAAAGTGAAAAGCAAGAACTAAGTGAAAATACTAACAGTAACACGAACAAGGGAATACTAACGTGGTAAGAAAAAAGGGAAGTTTTTCAACAAGCGAGAGGTAAGTAATGATCTAAGCGAGAGCGAAGCGGCACGAGGCACAATGAACGGCGGTTGCAAAGACTGGAAAATGGCGGATACTCCGCTCCTTATATAATACAAGGGGGGAGGGGGAGCGGAGTTTCCCGCCAAAAACTGTTAGCTGTTAATCTTCCGGCCAAGGCACTGCGCAGGCGCAGAACCCATATGTGTGATGCGCAGAGGCCACAACGAAGAATGCAAGCATCTACAAATACAACAACACTAGGAAAAAAAAAATCTTTGAACTAGTCCATAACCTTGGAGAATAAAAAGATCTTGATTTGACACTGAAAAAAGACTCCTCAACACTGATGCTATGTGAGACTCCCTTGGTGCCTAAGACTTCAGAAATACTCCTCTGGGTGACTCCAGAAAATGAAGTGAGTTTTGCTGGGCTTACCCAGAGAACTGTCTCTAAAGTTAATCTTAGGATTTGAGCAAGTATATACTGGAGAATGTGATCCTTCAGGTAATCTCCCCGAAACAGTTGAATACCATCAAATATGGGCCTGGATATGGACTGGAAGCCAGTGCAGATCACAAAACACTGATCTAATATGATTATATTGACCAATCCCTGTTAACAATATGCTCCTCTATTTTGTACCAGCTGAAATTACTGGGCCATTTTCAAAGGCAGCCTCACATACTGCTGCTATCCATATGCTAGTAATCTCATTTTTGGATAATTGTAGCTTGCCTATTTCTGTGCAGCTATGGTTACAGAGGGCATATCAGCCTAAGCTGATAAAACGTGTTCTGAGCCATACAAACTACCTGTACCTCCAGTGCCAATGCTCAGTCCAGGAACACCCTCAAATGATTGACCTGAACCATTAGGGCACTGGTGGGCAACCTGTGACCTTAGGGACACATATGGACCTCAGCCTAATTTCAAGAGGGCCGCAGATTAATTTCAAAAGCTCCATATAAACCAGGGGTTGCCAGACCTGTTCAATGGAAGAAGCAGTGGTAAATGTCAGATGTTTGAGAGCTGCAAGCAGGTGCCCACAGGCAGCAGTGGTGACGGGCAGCAAGTGAGTGCCTACGGGTGGCAGCAGTGAGTGGCAAGTGGGTGCCCATAGGCACCCCAGGCAGTGAGCTGCAAAATAAACTCAAGTCTCAGGAGTTGCATGCAGCTCCTGAGACTCAGTTTGGCCACCCCTGCTGTATGCAGCCTGTCCACATCTCTGTCTTCCCTGTATATGGAATGGAAGAGGGGAAAAGAAACAAGAAACTGGAAGAAAGAATATAGGGGTCGGAAAGAGTAGGAAAGGTACAAAAGGGGTAGCCCATCCACATTTGGCTCTGGCCCTATGCAGATAAACCATAAAGTAAGAGAATAATAGATAGCCCCTCAATAAAATATACTCATACACGCCAACAAACAAAACCAACAAATTAACCAATATTAAATTAAGATTAAAAACAAAATAACAAACTAAAAAGTATTAAATTAATTAAATTAAATCAACCAAAATCTTGTTTAAATGAAGTTTTTACCTGGTGCCCAAAAGAAAGAAGAGTAGGTGCCAGGCAATATCCCTGGGGAGTAAATTCCATAATCTAGTCACTACTGCTGAGAATACCCTCCTCCTAGCCCTTTCCCCTTTGATCTCACTAGGAGAGGGCACATGGAGGAGGACTTCCAAAGAGGATCTAAGTGGACAGGTAGGAATCTATGGAGAAAGGCGCTCCCTCAGGTACCCTGGTCCCAAGCCCATTCAAATACTGTGAACTGGGCCCATACTGGAACAGGAAGCCAATGCAGCTGACGGAGGACCAGCATAATATGTTCTTGCCAGTCAGTTCTTGTAAGCAGCCGTGCCACCCTGTTCTGTATTAGCTGTAATATCCAGACCATTTTCAAAGGTAGCCCCACGTAAAGTGCATTGCAGTAATCCAGGCGAGAGGTTACCAGCATATGGGTCACTGTGGCAAGGCTCCAATCATCCAAGTAGGAACATAGCTGAGAAATCAACCAAAGCTGACAGAAGGCACTCCTGGCCGAGTCCACTTGAGAAACTGGGGAGAGCTCAGGGTCCAGGAGCACCCCTAAGCTACAAACTTTCTCCTTTAGGGAGAGTGCAACCCCATCCAGGGTGGGTTGAAAATTACCTAGTTGGATTGTGGGCGTGCCCACTAACAGGACCTTCATCTTATCTGGATTCAGCTTCAGCTTATTGGCCCTCATCCAGTCCATTACCGAGTTCAGACACTGGTTCAGGACAGCTACTGCCTCACTTGGATCAGATGAAAAAGTGAGGTACATACTGATGACACCTTAGCCCACCTCAGACCTCACCCAGTGGTTTCATGTAGATGTCCAAAAGCCTGGGGGACAAAATTGAACCCTGTGGAACTCCATGACACAATCACCATGGTGCAGAACAACAATTCCCTAGTGCTACCATCTGGAACCAGTTAGGCAGGAGCAGAGCCATCACAAAGCAATATAGCCAGCTGCACCTACACCAAACAGGCAAGCTACAATTGGAACATAATTGTTTCATAATTTCCATTTCTGCAAATATCAGTACGTTTAACTTTAAACACATGATCAGCACCAAGAAGCAGTAGTTACTGCACTTCAAAGATCAAGCAACAAAGTGCTTGCAAGTTCAAATAAGTTTGGTTACCTGAGAGGGATGTCCTGCAACAACCCATTCCACTCTCTCTTTGGTCTGATAATCAGCAATGGCAGCTTTACTCAGGCGTCTAAGGGAAGTGAACATTGCTTCTTCAACTTTACCAAGCCAGTCTTCAACATTTCCTCTGGCCTTAAGTCCTTTTCCTAAATTGACCTGAAAAGGCAAATCTTCCATTTATTGTGAGGATTATATTCATGCTATTTTCCCTCCAAATTCACAACCTGAAGGCATGTTTTCCCCATGGCACAATGGAAGTTATTGGGCTGACTTCACTGCAAAATTATTTCTAAACTTTCTTCTCATATCTATATGTATATGTGTACATGTTCAAAGTACATTGCATATAGAAACACGACTATCTAAAAGAAGATTAGAAAAGCTTATCTAGTGGCCAGTTCCTATCATTCTGTCTACTCTTCCACAGTCCATCCTGCTCTGGTATGATCCAGAAACTGAATGGAACTGGCATGGAACTATGCCAGTGAAGAGATCATTTGTACAGAGAGTAGCAGGCTTGATTTTCAGAAGCTGGGATGAGAGCAGATTTCCTTTCCCTATTATAGGTGACTGGTTGCCCAACTCTTCTATGGGAAAACCTAACATGTTTGACTTTTGGATAAGATTACATTGACAGCAAAAAAGCAGGTTGCTTACCTGTAACTGATGTTCTTCGAGTGGCCATCTATGCATTCACACATATGGATGCTGCACCTGCGCAGTGCCTAGGCCGGAAATATTGAAAGCTAATGGTTTTGGCGGGAAAACTCCCCTTCCCCTTCGATAGTATATATAGAGCGGAGTGTCCGCCATTTTCTCCAGTCTTTGGAGACCGAATGTTCGCCACCTCACGGAAGAAGATGGCATAACAACTTATCAGGTACCGCCATAGTCGCCCATGGTACCGATGACATAATAAAGTATGAGGTACCAAAGCAGTATCATATGGTACCGATGAAGAAACCACTCACCGACACCGCGCGGGGCCAGTGGGTGGGTTGTGTGAATGCACAGATGGCCACTCGAAGAACATCAGTTACAGGTAAGCAAGCTGCTTTTCTTCATCGTGGCCTCTGTGCATCACACATATGGGTGAATAGCAAGCTTACCAGAGATGATGGTGGGCGGTGTTGTCACTGAAGAACGGCAGAAAGAACAGCTCTCCCGAAGGAACAGTCTCTTCTGGCATGCACGTCAAGGCGATAGTGCTTTGCGAAAGTACACGGAGTAGCCCAAGTTGCGACCTTGCAGACCTCCTGGATCGGGACACCTGCAGCAAACGTGGAGGAAGCCGACACTGCTCTAGTGGAATGACCCCTTGGAACAACAGGTAAGTCCATCTTTGCAAGCTGGTACGCTAACGAAATGGTTTGAACAATCCACTTCGACAGTCTCTGAGATGAAACAGGTGATCCTTGGTCCCGTTGAGAGCACTTTACAAAAAGTCTATTGGAGCGTCTAAGAGACTCTGTGCGTGATCTATAGAAAGCCAAGCATCATCGAACATCCAAGGTAAACAAAGACCTTTCGATCGGGTTCGATGGCAACAGAAAGAAGGCAGGCAACACAATCTCTTGATTCAGGTGCAACAGCATGGCAACTTTAGGCAAAAAAGTCGGATCCATCCTTAGAACCACCTTTTCCGTATGGAAGCTGAGATAAGGCGGATCAATTCGAAGAGCACAAAGTTCACTGGCTCTATGAGCTGATGTAACTGCAACAAGGAAGGCCGTCTTCCATGATACGAGACGCATATCGACAGTCGCTAAGGGCTCAAATGGTGGTCTTGTAAGTGCCTGAAGGACAACCAAAAGACTCCATGTGGGCATAACCGGCCGAATAGAAGGATGAAGATTTTGCAGTCCTTTAAGAAATTTTCGAATAAGTGGTTGTGAAAACACCAACAATCCTTGTACTGTACCCCGATAATGTGACACGGCAGCTGCATAGACCTTAATTGAGGAAGGTTTTAGTCCCAAATGATGCAGTTGCAGCAGAAACTGAAGAATATTCTCAACCAAAGCTGTAATCAGATTGAACAAGCGTGATTCCGCAAAGGATGAGAAGCGGCGCCACTTTGCTGCGTAGGATGTCCAAGTTGATGGTCTTAGTGCAGACTCGAGAATCTTTAAAACGTCTGAATCCAAAGAGCTCGGTCCTGACAATATCCCCTTTGGTAGCAAGTCAGTGAGGGGGTCAGATCAGTCGTGAGTTGAGGTACCGAGTGACCTAGTAGATCTCTGTCCCGAAACAGTTTCCTGAGTTAATGAATTCTCCACGCAGTGAGGTTCAATGAGGACAGGTCCGGGTGAGGGACAGCGCCGTTTTGTTGAGTTGGTAGATCTTGTCTGGACGGAAGACGAAGGAAATTGCCGTTCGAGATCCGAAGGAGGGTGGAAAACCATGCTTGACGAGGCCACCAGGGTGCTATGAGTATTCCTGTGGCATCGTCGTGCACAATCTTCAAGACGACTTTCGTCAGTAGAGGAATAGACAGGAATGCGTAAAACCTGAGATTTGTCCATGGGATCATAAGGGCGTCTCCCATCGATTCCGGTCCTATTCCCGCCCAGGAGCAGAATCTTTTGCACACCTTGTTTTTGTGGGTAGCAAATAGGTCTATGTCCGAATGTCCCCAGAGTTGGAATAACTGTATGCAGACGTGATGATTCAGTTCCCATTCGTGGATGAGCGACATGTGTCTGCTCAAGGTGTCTGCTTCCTCGTTGTCGGTCCCAGCAAGATGGACCACCAAAAGGGTTATACCCTTCGGGATGCACCATTCCCAAATGTCCATGGACAGGCGGGCCAGAGCAGTGGACTTTGTTCCACCCTGTTTGTTGATATAGAATACCGCCACTATGCTGTCGGACGTGAGCTGTATCACTTGGTGGCGAACAACTTCCTTGAAGGACCTAAGTGCCTGGAAAATCGCTAGAAGCTCGAGGTAATTTATGTGACTCAGTGACTCTTGGCGGTTCCACATGCCTTGGGATCGAAGCCCCGCGCATACCGCACCCCACCCGACCAGCGAAGCATCGGTATATAGGGTCAGCGTTGGGTGAGGGGTGATGAAGGGGGTCCCCACGTTTAAATTGGCTGGGGTCATCCACCAAGTCAATGTTTGTACAACAGAGCGGGGCATACAAAGTGGTTTGTTGGGCAAATCTCTTTGTGGACAAAAGTTCTTGTTGAACCAGAGTTGAAGAGGATGGAACTTCAACCTGGCATGTGGGACAATGGCAACTGTGGCAGCCATATGACCCAAAAGTCTCTGGATTGAAAGCGCTGTAACTACATTGTTTTGTCGGATCCGAGAAATACAGAAGCAGAGGCTGTCCTGATGAACTGGAGGGAGGAACGCCCTCGCTACCGTGGACTCAAGATGAGCTCCGATGAAGTCTATCACCTGTGTAAGGACAAGGGATGATTTTTCACCATTAATACAAAGTCCAAGATTGTCCAACAGTGTGCAAGTAACCTCAACGGCTGACAGTAGGCTTTCACGGGCCTGTGACACTATAAGCCAGTCATCCAGGTAAGGGTAAACTTGAATGCCCTGAAGTCAAAGATGAGCACACACTGGTGCCATACATTTCGTGAAGACCCTCAGAGCTGTGGCCAAACCAAACGGGAGGACATTGAACTCGTATATGTCGGACCCAACGGTGAAACGCAGAAGACGCCTATGACTTGGATGGATCAAAATATGGAAATAGGCATCCTTTAAATCAAGGGAGGCGAACCAATCCTCTCTCCTCAGCAGCAGAAGGATATTTTGAAGGGTAGTCATCCTAAATTTCTTTGGTTTGATAAATTTGTTGATATTTCGGAGGTCCAAGATTGGACGAAGACCACCATCACGTTTCGGGACCATAAAATACCTAGAATAGAATCCATGAAGCCCTTCGGAGCTGGAAATCCGTCAAATCACACCCTTACAAAGCAGTTGGTGTACTTCGTCCAGTAGCACTGGAGAGCGTGGTGTAAATCGAATCGGGCTCGACGAAGGAACAGTACCGAATTCTATTCTGTATCCGAGCTGAATAATAGACAGGGCCCACTGATCAGATGTGATGGACTCCCAAATGGGGAGTTGGCATTGCAGCTGTTCCCCAAAAGGGAGGGGGAAATGTGGGTGTGGAGGTGGAGGAGAGGTTTGCCCGTCCCATCAGTGTCGATGCTTCTCCGTATCGAAACGTCAACGGTCCTGTGGGAAATGCTGATGGGGTTGTTGCCTTCTGTGTTGCGGCCGTTGTTGCCTGTCTCTGCGGCTGCTGGTAGTGGTAGGATGGACGTGACCATGACCACTTACATTTCTGTTGTCTGGGAAATTCCATCCGTCATGCCGTCATCCAGGATTCATCGATGGACTTTAGTTTATGATCGGTGCGTGAATGAAAGAGCCTGGAGCCATCAAAGGGCATTTCTTCTATTCGCCGCTTCATCTCGTCAGGAAAATTGCAGTTCCGCAACCAGGCATGCCTTCACAGTGAAACGGCCCCCACAAGAGCTCTCGAGTCCATATCCACATGGTGGTGTGCTGTGGATAATTGCTGTATAGCGACTTGCATACCCTCTTTAATGAAAGTCCTAGCCAGATCCCGTTGTTGCTCAGGTAGGGGAGCAACGATGTTATTCAGCCTCTGCATAATAAATAATTGATACCTGGCCAGGGTGGCTTCATAGTTAGACATACGAAGCCCAAATCCTGCAGCCGCATAGACCCTGCATGCCAGGGTATCAATCTTGCAACCCTCCTTGTCTCTGGGGGTGGTATGTCCTCTGGCTTCCCTGACCTGGGATGATTCAACCACCACAGAGTTCGGCTTAGGGTGATGGAGTAAAAAGGGTATATCGCTTTCTCGGACTCGATACATAGATTCGTATCTTCTTACTGTGGGCTGAGTCTGCGAAGGCAAGTCCCAAGGTTGCGTCATCGCCTGCCGCAAAGTTGTAATAAGTGGTAAGACAATTGCAGGTGATTGCTCTCCCCTGACAATGTTGTAGAACTTGTCGGTGCTCGGATCTGGCTGGTGTTGCGCCTTGATCTCGAGCAACCAAACAAGTCTAGACATGAACTCCCCGAACGAGATGTGGGGCTCTTCAGGCGATGATGGTCCCTGAGATGTAATAAGGCCGTCCGGGGAGGTAGAATCAGCATCCAAGTCGGAGTCGGGCCCGAGGTGATACGGCTCCGACAAGGAGGTCCCTGGTGAAGTGGGACATTCGGGTTCGACCCGCCTAAAGGTGGATGGCATATCCTCATGGGCAGACGGCGAGGAACGGTCCCATGGGTGAGGACGAAATCCAAAGGAGTGGTAGTCCTCCCAACCCGACGGGTAGCTGTAGTAGGGCTGGAACCATCCTTCTTTCCGCCTCTTGTCCAGTCAGGACCGAGGTGGTGGTGATGGAGATTGGTCTCGGGCTCTCGCCGTGGGCATAGGAGTCGGAGAACGAGCCCTAGGAGGGGAGTCTTGAATCTCCCCATTGGATATCGACTCGTGATGCAGCTCCTCAGGCAGTTGAGCAGGTAGGCCCTGTTGTGGAGCAGGTTGTATTGGAGACCCTGGTGGGTAACCTGCATCGCCGCTTGAAGCATCGGTACCGATGGTGTTGGTACTGAAGCTGCCGCCGGGATCGATGGTGCTGTCAAACCCAAATCCCTATGCCTCTTCTTATGGGGTGATTTAGCCGCCTTGTCTTTCTTTGCCTTCTTAAGGGCCCAAGATTGATCTGATCCTCCGTGTTTCCTCTTTTCCCGTTGTTTACGCGGGGAAGAGAGAGATTGCTGAGCCCCGGAGGGGGAATTTCCATCATCCGATGGATGCAGCTGAGGATGGGCGGCGTGGGCGAAGGGCATTGTCCGGGCATGCCCGAGGCAGAAGCTGGGCACTGAGCTGACATGGTCGAAGCTACGGCCTTGAGCTTAGCAGATGGAGCATGCGCTGGCCCAGGCTTTACTGCAGGCTGATCTGAATGCATCAGCGCTTGGTCCCATAGGAGTTTTTGCAATCGGTTCTCCTTATTTTTTTGCACTTGCTTAGTAAAAGCAAGGCAATGGCGGCATTTATCCGTCCTGTGCCCCTCGCCGAGGCAAGGCACAAGTCGTGAGGGTCCACCGGGGACATTTTGGACCCACATTCCGCACATTTGTGGAAGGCCGCCCGCTGCGCCATCGCAGAAACAGAAGAATTAGAATATAGGGAAAGAGGGAAAAGTAATATTTTTGTTTTTATATAGGAACAAAGAGAAAAAAGGAGAGATAAAGCTGTAACAAGGGAATGATAACTTGGAATAAGAGCAAGAATGTTAGAACAGTAGAAACAACGAAGAATACTGAGTCAAGCAAGAGACGAACAGGCACAAGGCATAGCGAACGGCGGTCGCAAAAGACTGGAGAAAATGGAGGACACTCCATTCTATATATACTACTGAGGGGGGAGGGGAGCGGAGTTTTCCCGCCAAAACCGTTAGCTTTCAATCTTTTAGCCTAGGCACTGCGCAGGTGCAGCACCCATATGTGTGATGCACAGAGGCCACAACGAAGAAACTGTTTTTTCACTCCTGAACTTTAGGAACCTTAATTCCATCTACAAAATTCCCACAGAGATGTGCAAGGGGTGTGTGTGTGTATATATATAAATGTTCAATACATCCCCCTTCCCATACAGAAGCCCTTGCAATTTGTTGTTGTTGTTAGTCGTAAGGTTGTGCCTGACCCATCATGACACCATAGACAACATTCCTCCAGGTCCCCTTGCAATATATAAGCCCAATTCCACATAAACATACTACTAGGATAAACTTTTTACCAGAATGTAAAACTTGCTTACCCTCTCACCTTCAGGTGATAGCATTGCTAAAATATCATTGGTAAGAACCTTTTCTTCTCCTTCGGCTGGAGCCATATAGGCAAATTCTAGTTTAGAGATTGAGTCAAAGCACTTCCTTAAATGAGGCTGAACAGCTTGTGGATTACGAGTCTGAGCCAAGATCTCCAAAAGCTCATCATTTGATAAAAAGTAAAATCTGTAAATTGCATTTGGAAATGTTAAAAAGTAGAAGTATTTTCATATGCTTGATTTCAAGGTATATGTTAAATGGAATTTGACATATGATTTTAGGCAGCACTAATTTATTTTAAGGTAAATGCACCTCATGTATTTCAATGGAACACATTGGTGAGAATTTTATATAAACTTATATAATAGGGCATTAAGCAATTAATTATAAATTTATAAACTTACATAATATGAGAATTAAGCAAGTAATTAAATTGTGCATTTTCATAGCCAGCATCACTTTAAATAATAAAAAACTTTAGATACCATCCAGCCAAAGTTAAGCAGTTTAAAATTACAGTAGTCCCCCGTACTTTAGTCATTCCTAAAGTACCCGCGAATTTGGTGCCGGAGATGGGTGCCAGGCACCAAGGCAGTGCGGGTGGGAGGTGCAGGATGGGCCGGGCCGGGCCAGGCCAGGGGGCATCCGTGCACAGAGATCGTTTTCTCCAAGCGAGTCCAAACCGATCTCCCAAGGAGGATCAGAGGAAACGATCTCCTTGCGAGCAAGCCATCGCACGGAAAATGCTGTGAAAGACTGAGGCTGCGAATGCTGAACTGCTACTTCACAGGGGTATACTGTATATGCTTCCATTTATACCAATGGCACTCAAAAATGCTTGATGAGATTCCGCACTTCAATTATTTTAAATAAATCCATGGTGTAGATGTCATCATTATCTTCTTACTGAATATTAACTAACCTGGGGAAAATAACTCTTTTGGACTCCAAATAAGCCTCCAGGCATTTCTGAATTTGATCAAGAAGGGCATTGTTATTCTGGAACGTCTCTAAAAGGCCTGTGTCAGAAAAATAAACAAATAAATAACTTTGCATAGTGAAACTTAGTGTGTGTGCTGAGCTGAAAGATGAAGGAAAATAATATGGTTTGTGATATGATGCAACACTTCAAATTTTATACATTGTATTTTAAAACTCTCTATCAGATGAGATTAAACAAGCATACAGTTCCTTGTGCCAGAGCTTCATCAAGCTGACCAGAATAAGAAGCAAGCAGTTTCTCAACAAAATGATTATGTGATGTGGCCAACGTTTTGGGAGTTTGCACATAGGCAGAGCCTGTGTGCAGTGGAGAACTGAGATGGTTTACTGAATGGAATTCTAGAAGTCACGTTGAAATGAGTTTACCAGTTGAAATGAGATTAGAATATGTAGGGAGAATACAAGGTGTGAGTATGGGTGACAGAAAAAGAAAGCAAAGGATTACTGTACCAAAGAAAAATGTGGGTCTGAGATATGATAATTTTAAAAATCATACTAGTAGGTTTAGGCTTAGATACTGCATCCTAAACCTACTAGTCATGCTTTATGCAAATAATACATATTATAGTAATATTAATACCAGGCTGAGTAGCAGCTCGGAGGGCATTAGGCAGACGATTAACTTTTCTCATAACTTCTTTCCAGGACTTATCCACCTGCAAGAACATCTTGGCTTCTGCTGGTAGCTGTCTTTGAATATCAGGAGCACTGAAAATACTTTCCAGATAAAGCCAATTTCTCTGGCACGTCAGCCATTCTTCCTAGAAAACAAGAACACTTTTCAAACAGTCTGCTATATTATAAAATGCAATAGTTAAGAAAAATGAAGTTGGCTTAGTTGTTTATTCTTTCAATCCTCAAGAGACTAACTTTAAAATACAGTTATGTGGGGAAAAAAGCAAATGAATTTGCTAATGCTTCAGGTTTTATGTTTTCTTTCTAAAAATCAATAATAATTCCTGTCCCCTATTCTTGCAGAGCAGGAAGGAAGGGAGCAATTTAGCACAGATAGTACTGAGCTGTTCTAACATTTCAATACTAATATGCATATCTTAAGTTTAATACCAATTATTTATAAGCTCTACAGACTTTTCAAGTCTATTAGCAAAGACCTTTGAGGTATTTATACCCATATCTCCCAAGTATAATAGGGATACATGCATAAATACAATTTCTGGACATTCTCCTTTTCAGCATGGTTAACATTCCTTTGTACTATTATGTCCTGCATTACTCATGCAGCTCTTCCTTTAATATAAGCTCTCAACTTTCTCCTAATTTCTGAAATGAAAAATCCTAAGCCTTTAGCTGATTCTTAAGCAAAAATTCTATTCTCCTGATTGTTTTTGACACTTGGCAAAGCTAACTTTTTATTTTATCCTTCTTGTGGTAGGATAACCAGAAATGTATACAATATTCATCCCTCCCAACAAAGTGATTTCTTACTAAATGGACTAACTCACTTCTACTGTGCTCCCTGCCCAAGAGAATGGGGAAGAAAATGTGTATTTCATGTGGCATTATGGATCATAGTAAACATGACTGTAATAAAAATTTCAAGTGTAGATTCTCAGTTGTTTTCTACCCTGTTTTTAATGAATCACTGGTTTTGGGAGCATTCTTTGTGTAGGCCATGATATGCTGTATCAACATTTTGTGAAAAATGTTATTCAAAATTCCTTTAATGCTATTTTTGCTATTACTTTCATCCCCATTTTTATCTATAATGAAAATAAATTGGAATAACACTTTATGAGTAAAAGCAGGACAATTTCTATCCACATGAACACTGAAGGCATTAATATGATGGTAAATATCTCTTTCCAAACCATTTTGTAACTTTTCCTGTATCTAAGTAATTCAGGATCATCTGCAAATACAGTACTGCCAATGTTCCACTTATACTCTTTTTATGCCCTTTAAGTAATGAACTAAGAATAATCAATATTGCTACTACAGAAGGGCACAGATTATATTAGCCTTTCTAAATACAGTTCTTTCCAGAGGTTCTAGAATGCAATTCCCACAAACACTGACTATTATCCTGCTAACTATGGTTGGTCAGTTGTATTCTAAAACATCTGAAAGGAAGGGCTAGATGAATATAAATAAGATGAGCTGTCATATTATTATTATTATTATTATTATTATTATAACATTTCTATGCCGCCCCTTGCCGAAACCTCGGGGCGGCTTACAACATGATAAAATACATTGAAATACAATAGTACCTACACCTAACTGAAATGTAAACATTATCTCACTATAGGTAAAATTCTCCTTTCTTGTCTTGAAAGGTCATTCCAATGAACTATCAAAATAAAAAAATACATACCAATATACTTAATTTTTCTTACAGAATTAATGAGACTTGTGAGTTACTTCTCTCAAATGGAAAGATAGCCCCAATACAGAAACCTCTCACTATGCAATGTAAGCTAATTTCTAGTAACCTGAAACCAATATGCAATTACAGTTACTAAAAACTGTTTAGGAGGATGCTGACTAAAATTTTAGGCTTTTTCTTTTAAGAAAGACACAAAGACAAAAAGAAACTATTATGGAATGCTCACCAATGTCTGACTGAATAAGGAAAGCTGCTTTTGCCATTCATCAACCCGTGCCTTTAGAGGGCCTACATATCGTGAAGATGCAATTGTTGCTACATTAATAGTGCTATCATCTAGAATGACCTTGAAGAAAAAAAATGAAACAGCTCTTAGAATTTGGGGTTTCCAATGATGCACTGATATTCAGCTAATGTGTGTGCTAAGCATGAAACTGCAGTTAAGTATCAGTGATATATTTTCTAGAGCTGTCAAATAATTAACAATTTTAAGCTATCCAACAAATAATTGTTTACATTAATTTAAACAATTTGCGTGTTTCAAACCTGTTTTTAAAAATACACAAATAATTGTATGAATATATTTTTATTTTTATTTATTTATTTTTCAATTTATATCCTGCCCTTTTCCTCAAAGGGCTCAAGGCAGCTTACATCATTCTCCTCCTTCATCTTATCCCCACAACAACAACCCTGTGAGGTAGGTTGGGCTGAGAGTCTGTGACTGGCCCAAAGTCACCCAGTTGGCTCCATGGCTGAGTGGGGACTAGAATCCAGATCGTCTGAGTCCCAGTCCCATGCTCTTAACCACTACAACACACTGGCTCTATATAATTTGGACTGTAATCCTATATACAATGGGTAGATAACCAGGTGCCTGCCTGATGTTCTGGAGAACAGCTTTCAACAGCCCCATCTAGGATAGCCAATGATCACTGATTATGGAAGATGTAGTACAAAACTTCAGCAGGGCAACAAGTTGCCTCCCTTGCTAAACACGCTAACTTGTAAGTCCCATTGAATCTATGGATGTCTAGTAGACATATATATAGGACTATACTGTTAATAAACAAATGCATAACATTCACACCATTATGACTAAGAAAATCAATCTTTAATATTTTTTTCATTCCTTATACTAACACACCAGTAAAAAAAATGCCTAAATTAAACAAGCATGTGTTTCATCCCTTACTCTAAAAATTAAAATGTGCCTACACTACTTAAAATTAGTCAACTAAAGTGATAATCAATCAATCTACATATTAAATCATAACCCAGTGGCCACTAGATGGTGTTCAGGCAGCACAAGGATTTTTTGGGTTCCTAGATGATAGATAGGAAGCAGCTCTAGCCCCATAACTAGGGATCTATACTTGGATCCACCCACCAACCCTCAGAGCTAGTGCAGAAAGAACAACACCAGCTGCTTTGCTGAAGTTGCTAGAGGGACTTTGGAGAAGGGCATTTAAGTTGGAAGAAGGGGAAGAGACCATGTCACCAAGATACAAATGGTGGTGCCTCAGTCTCCTTCCCTTCTCCTCTGAAATGCTACACTTAGATGGCCAAAATCATATGTTTAAGTGATTTGTGGAGTGGGTAGAGTCCAGAGGCAACCTTCACTTCAATGCTTCTCCTGCTCTCCATAGGATGCTTATAATTTGTCAACTGGATTGCATTACAAAACTTGCAACCCTAATCCTTCCCAATAACAATCCTTCTCATAGAACTGTCAGTTTAAATGCAGGAAAACTCCAACTCCAAAAATTCTATGTGGGACACTCCTACTACTGAATCAGGAAAAAATAGGAAGATACCTTATACTGAGTCAGGCCACTGATCACTCAGCCCTGTATCAACAATACTGGACTATATGGACCAGTGGTCTGACTCACTATAAGGTCACTTCTTAAGAAAGAAGCGTGATTAATAAGCTATGGTGGCATGTGTGCTAACCTGGACAGTGGATCTGTAGGTATCCAACAGGATTCTTGCCCAGCCCTATCTGGAGATGTGTGGGACTGAAACTGGGATGTTCTACATGCAAAACATGTGCTCTATCACTAAGCTAGAGTCTCTTAAAGTTGAAGAACTTTTCAGTCTTCAGTCTGAAACTAGTCACCCTTTTCAATCATAAAGATGTCAAATAAAACATGCCGATAATTAAATGAAGTTTCTAGAACAGGCTAGTTAATGAAATATGTACTTATATAACAATTGTACAGATGGACATGGATTCTGTCAATATAGCTACCAAAAACCAAAGTTAAGGCGAAAATACATATAAACACTATCCAGGAAACTTTCCAGCAAGATTTAACGACAACAATGTAATAGCACAAATAATAAAAGTCAAAAATCATATCAAAACTGGCCAAATATATTTTGGTATGTAGCTTTCATCAGTGCTTTAAAATATATCACTCAGCATTGGCTCTTGTGTTTAAACCATTAGCTGAAGAACTAAACAGTCCTCTTCAAACAGCATGACCATCCTAAGTGAACAGGCAGTTATACTTCAGTATGGTAATAGAAATGCTTTGCTAAAATCCTGCCTGTGAGCAACATCATACAAAAACATATTTCTCCTCTGTTCTACTAAAGCAATCTCAGGTCAGTGCCTGGGTATACTGCCTACTTGTAACCACATGGTCAAAGCTACCGCCTATGCTTTGCTAGTGAGACAAGTCTGTCCTATTTCTCCTTGGCACAGAGATATTATTAAAAATTTATTCTAAATATTAGACATGTAGCAATTAGTCACTGCTTGGTTAGTCATGAGAAATAAGCTTCACATTCAAAATAGACAAAATACTTTGGGGATGTTTTGTCCTCTAGGAATATTTTGTTTGGCCAGCAAGGCAATGATATGCATGTTGCTACAGTAACATTATTCAGTTCTGCCTGCCTACTGGTGAAATGCAACTGCAGATGGTATGGATTTCCTCTCCTTATTTTACTCCCATCCAACATTACGAGTATGAGTTTCTGGAAGGTTCAGGATTTTGCAGAGTATACATAGAGTATACACAAGGGGTATTGCACAAGCATTGCACAAGGGGTTGCAGGGACAAGGACAGCAAGCGGGGGAGCTGTTGCACAAGCAGAAATCCACCCATGTGACGTTGGATTGAACGCTATATCCTCCTCGATTGACTCTCGATGCCAGTGTTTAGAATTGGAAAAGAAGTAATTCAAGCCCAGTTCTAAAATGCCAAAGGACTTAAGCCAGGCAAATATTATATAAGCACTTGCAAGTCTACTGATTTTAATACAAAGGCCAATGTAGCTGAGATGGAGCTGCCATATATATTTCTGTATGTTTCTGCCTCATTACTATACAAAGCAAGGATCTGTTTTTAAAATGAGAATGAATATGCAAAGAAACCTGCTCTGCCTTACCTATGCTGCACTCCATTGCTTGAAGTGCTTTATTCTCAGTCCACCACTTAATATGAAAGTGAACTAGTCTGGAAAGAAAACTGTTGCAGCACAATGGTTTCTCTTCCCATCCTCTGCCTGATGCCTTTCACGTAAAAACAGAACCCTGCTTTATTTGCAAGTGAGGCAGACAAACAAATAACCTACATGACTTAAGAAGGGCTGGACTGAACACAGTTTGAAAACACAGCAGTTAATAGAATAGGACTGAAAAATGATATTACAGAAATATGCCACTTGAGAAAATTAAAAAAACAATTAAAATGCATGATTACTAGAACTGTCACATAAACATAGTACAGTAAGAATTTTAAAAATTTACACATTTTTATTTGATGCTTCCTTGTTAGGTTTTAAAGTATTTTCTAACCTGAATGTCATCTGTTCCACCAAGGATGAATACATCTTTTGAATCGCGATGAGGAAGAACAATGAACTCTGTTGTTTTCCATGCATCCTCCACCTGGAGAGAAAATGAGACATTCTACATTTTGCAAAGAATACTAAAAATAACTTTGACAAACTGAGCTATACAGATAGGCAAACTCATCAGTTAAAGTCCCATTTCACCTGAAAGAACTCTTAACATTCTTGAATTTGTATTATTTAGTATCCCATATTCTATAACTAGCAAGATTTATTATATTTTAACAGAACCGCAAGAAACACAGGTGACCATTTTTAAAGAAATTTGTTTTTAAAGAAATTTGACCACCTGATATGAAAAACAAGCACTTTGAAAAATCCACATTTTTAAACAGTATACTTTAACCAAGGTACTTTACTGGCTAAGCATCTTCACTGGTATGCTAGCCCATCCATATTCAACTAAATGCAGCCACTCACCTTCTCAAACAATCCCTTACTAACTTAGTTGGAAGTAACTCTCATTGAGTTTTTAAGATTTTCATCTTTTACCCTATCTTGATAAGACCTAATCAATTCAATCAAGCTGAAATGAAACATCAGGATTGAGGTCTCCATATAGTAAATAAAGACAGTTTCTTTACTCTTTATCAGTTCAATTTTAGTATATTTCCTAAACATGTAAATTATATTCAAAATCACCTTTTTGAGAATTGTCTCCAGGGATGCTTCTCCTGAAGCTTGTCCAGAAACATCTTGAATCTCCTGAGTGTACTCAAAAGCACCAATCTCAACAAGCCTGTCCAAAGTTAATGGAGTTTCCAGATCTGTTAACTGTGCACCAACTATTTGTTCCAGAATTGCCCAGTGTCTGGGTTTCAAGAAAGGGTTTCTTAGGTCTGTGATAACAGGAAGCTAAAAGAATAGGGTACATACAATCATTTAACTTGAAGTTTTTCCTGTTAAAACTGCACAACTGATTTAAAAACTGGCTATTAAATGTAGACGCATGACAGAAGATGACATATGCTACACAAGCAGTTTCCTTTGGCACCTGTTACTTGTTTTCCATCACATGTAAGTAATTTTTTGCACCACAGAATGATTGAAAAAATTCTAAAAAATCTGGACAGGCTTTATACTAATGAAATGAACCATACTACAAAGGGAAAACAGTTGCTAAAGCACCTAGTTATAGTAACATATTCCTTTCAATCCTAAATCATTGTAGTTACTGCAAATCTCTTATAAGCTTAGGATCTGTCACTATTTTTCTAGAAGCATCCAAATTCTCATATTATTGTGCTGTGCTATTGGCTTAAATCCAACATCACATAAGCACACATGCAGTCACACAACAGGACTTCTTCTTGTTCTCCATCCCTTGCACATCCGCAAAACTGGTCTGGATGGTCCTCTAGCCTTCCAGAACAGATCTGAAGGACAGAGGCTGCAGGGAGGAGGAAAAACTGTTGATCAGCATAATCAAAACTGGCTGGTAGGACAGCCAACTTTCAATACAACCCATTACATTGGAGGGTTTATTTTCTCAAACCCATTATATGTAGGATTGGAGGTTTTATTTTCCAATATTGCACTCATCATTTTGGCCTTATCTCATTATTCAAGTTAGCAGCTCCTCAAACTGCCCTTTAATTTTGTTTTAGGTTTCACTTAGCTTGTAATCTTGTGAGCAAGCACCTGTCTTGCACATTCTTTTGAACAACCCTAATATACTGCTAAAAGCTGGTTACTGCTACTAGTAATAACCTGAATTTCTCATTTGAAAGCAATTCTTACTTTATGCATTTTCACCCTTGAAATGTAACTGAAAATCAGCTTCAGCAATTATTTGTACCTTTTCTTTCATTCTCTCCACCTTCTCCTTGAGTTGTGGCACAACATTATTAGGAGGCAACCCTTTTTCCAACTGATTCACGAATTTGGCATACTTGGAAACCTGAGTATTCAATAATTCTGGATCCAAGGTATCAAACTTACACTGTGAAAAATAAACATACCAAATGTTGTTCAGTCTCTGCTGAAAACAGCATTCATTCTTTCTGTGTTTTAAAACAGTAGGAAAATAACCTTCACAGAGAATACAACAGGCATGAAAAAATCATCTCTTTCAGTCAATAAGATCTTGTGCATGCTTACTCATAAATAAACATGACTATATTCACTGTGGCTTACTCCAAAGTAAGTTTGCAAAAGTTGGCAGCCTTAGAATGTAATTATAGGTATGTGCACTCAGAAATATGTCCCACTGAGTTCAATGGGGTTTACTGTCATCTAAGTGTGAACCAGATTACAACCTCATTTTTAATTCAATGACATTCTTATAGAAACAAGGCCTTCATCTCCAAATGGGGATGAAAAATGCCCACCCTCCAGGCTCAATCATTCTTTCTAATGTGTAAAATGCAGCAGAGGTAGTTAAGGCCTTAGAGAAAGGCTGTGAGATGGAGAGGCCTAGGCACACATTCAGTGTCATATGCTAAATGTGATGAAAGTCTTAATTGAGCATGATATAGTGGCTTGAGTACCTCTTTGCCAAGCAGGTGAGCACTCATGACAAAAATGGACAGATTAGCTTGGGAAATGTGTCAGCTTTCTAGTATTTCAACCACTCAGACCTCCTGGAAAAAAAGGCAGCACCAATTGTTCTGACTAAGTGTATCTACCACAGTTGTAGATCCCAGGTGATATCTACCACAGTTGTCTTAGATAATGTAAGGATCCATAAATGAACAATCCCGTTACCCAAATCAGGGTTATTAAACAAATTCTCCAGTGGATGGATACACAGGCAAAGAGGAGGCAGAGGATGTTCTGATGGTGAGCAAAGTTGCTTCATAAATCTTTTAACAGGCAAAGTCATATCACTTCTCGTTAGGATCCTTGTAGGATATTTCCTTTTTTAGAAGCAATGGCTCCTGAAAGAAGAGCCATGTGTCTATAAGAGATACCTTAATTTGTTATACTGTTTGCTGTAAAATTGGCTAGAATTGTTGTGCTACTTTAGTGCCCTTTCTTCCTGGGAGAAGATCAGCCCATTTGACATTCATCAGCCTCTTGAAAAGTGAAAGGAAAAGAGAAACATATAGAAAGATCACAAACATCCCTGCCTTCCTGGACACTGCCGAGGAAACAGCATCATTCTTTAGGACACATTCTCACATGATACAGGTATATTCCCAATTCCTGGATCTAAGCTATACAGCATAAGCTGACATACAAATTAACAGATTGTCCTACTGATAGAAATGAGATTTTTCACATTAAAAATCGTACAGAACACAAATGCTTGACAGATTTGCAAATGACTTTGTAAGATTTAGAGCAGGTGTGTTAAGTACCTGCATATTATTGCTAAGCACAGTTTATGGTAACAATAAATAAATCAATAATACAAACAATGCTTAGCCATAGAGATTGTACAATGGGCTTTCCGATTTGGAAGCAGAACCTTCCTAAGTGCAAAATTTCCACCATAAACATGGTACATTTCTGGATTAGAGCTAATTTATCAAGGCAACAGCATGGAAATCTGCTGTGCAGATACCAGTAAACTCAATTTAAGAGAAACTCAGCTATTCGGTGTTCAATTTTGTAAGCCTCAAACTTCCACTGTGTCCAGTGTAATATATGAGATAAAGAAGAGTAATAGTAAAGAATGACTTTCTTTGATATAGACACTAACAGATTTGTTTCTCTGTAATAACATACATGCATAATATAAACATATATACTCATAATTCTAGTCCAGGTTGTTTATACTCCATCATTTAAAGAATAATGTATATAATTTACCTCCATCCAATCTTCTTCAAGTATTGACCATTCACAAAGAGAATCCCATAACAGTTGCTTCAATTTCAACTCTGCACAAACTTCTTCTAGAGCATCAAATTTTGTCACTTCCACCTTTAAAGAAAGAATTAGAATAATTTTATTTTCTGTGAATGTACATTTCGGAAGGATCCACTTTACATATTTATTAAGAACATAATTAAGTGCTAAATGCTATGGTCTTGACTGTAAGGTAGGGGGATAGATCAATTTCTTACACATATTTGCCTGAAACAGTTCTTGGCCATCGTACAGGCAGAAGCCCTTACAAGGTGGCATACAGTAATAAAACCATGAAACTGGCATGGAATGAAAAATATAAAAGCATAATAAAATGTAAGAATACAACAAAACTACAACACAGACAGCAATAAAACAAACCACAAAAACAGCAAAAAAGCAGTCATTTTAGGAGAAGAGTAGAAAAATCATGTGCTTTCAAAGGCTTCTTGAAGCCTGCCATGTTAGAGCATGGCAAACTCTTGATGGCAAGTTGTATGTGTGGGGCCACTGAGAAGAAGGCCATCTCACATGTGTTTATCACCTGATGCTGTCACAAGGGAGCAAATGAAAAAGGCCTTTCATGTATATCACACTGTTATTTCCATAACGATAATTTATTAATGGAGCAATCCTGTAGCCTCCTCGCATTCTGAGGTAAGAGCTGATACTTTGATGTCAGGGAGTCCTCCTTCATCCTTGCTATTGGCATGTTGTTTTTTATTGACTAAGTGACGCAGTGGGCAATTTGGGGGCAGAAAGGGGAGGATCAAGGCATTGCTGGCATCCAAGAAATTTTGGCAGTGCTTCAGCCTTTCCTGAAGCACAATTAACTCAGGAAAATCATCCATATAAAGTGAGGAAAGCACAGAAGCAGTCCTAGCTTTTTCCACTTTCCACTGGAGACCCATAATCCTCTGAATAGCGAAAGTTATGGGCAGCCACATTAGATGATGTCCTAAGCTAACTTACTTACTCATGATCTCTGGTATGTATGTAACAAGACAAGATTCTTTAAACTTGAACAATGTGCTAGCAAAGTCCCTCCTGTGGTTGTACAGCAAATAGCAGGGGGTAGTATGGGAGTTGGAATATTTAATTGGGCCAGCTAAATATTGGGAATGCCAACCATCCCAACATTGACCAAAAAAAAAAAAAAAAAAAATCTGCTGAGTTATATGAAATAAAGCCATACACTACTTCAACAACTCAAGCCTGTAGGAGAGTCTCCTATAATTTCAGGATAGCCACTGTTAATAGGTTTTGTTTATCAAAACCTTCTCTATAACTTTAACAGTTACAAGAAAGCAATGTTAATATGTGCATGGATATAATCCTAGGGAGATGAGTGTAAGCCTCTAAACTCAGAGGTTCATAATGATCCAGTGCAAAATGGGAGGAACTAAGGAGGCAGTTACCTCCTCTGCTCCTCCAGCATTGTAATTTCACTCGTTGATCAAGTTTAACTGCTTTAGGAAGGTGTTTCAGAGAGGAAGGAAGCTGGAGAGGTTCCAGGATACCTTATATCTTGGCTTCTCATGTCTCCATCTGTCCCTGCCGTCTTACACTCCTCTCCAAAGTCACCATCTCTGAAAAGCAATTGCTGCAGTTCTTGACATGCCAGGGACAAGGGGGAGAATGGCAGAGGCTCAGGCCCTAGCAACAATCTGGCCTGGGCCTTGGGAACTGAAATTCGGTCCTCTCAGACAATGCCTAGCAGCCATAGAATTGTTCCCTATCTGAGCCAAAAGTTCAGCTAATCAACATGACTTAATTTCAACTTTTGTTTTAATGTGCAGAGGTATAAAATAAACCATCTGTTAACAAACAGAAACTAGGTGATAAAATTTAGAAGTAAAGATTAAATGTTTACAATTACATGGAAGAGACTTGGCAAGGTACAGAAAGAAAATGAGAGCAAAACTGAGCCTATAAACACAGTGAGTCACAGCAGCAACAGCATTTGCTCTTGCTTACAAAGGCAACTAACACAACAGTGCAACTCCCTTCTGTCTGTCATTATACTGCAGATGCAGAAACGATTGTGCTGCTGAGCTGTGTGTAATGATGCACTTCATCCAGAAGAGTGCTGTTTATCCCGTATTTCAGCAGAGCTGGGGCTTGCAATGAGGACATTCTGAATAGCAGGGAGGAGGACATTCTGAGTAGCACCTGCCATCACCATCTCCTGCCAGAAAATCAGGTTTCCCTGCCCCTTCTCAGTTTATCTACAAATTCTCACAGTAACTGGGAGAGATGGCAGGGGGTGGGAACAGGAGTGGGGAAAGGACTACACAACAAAGATTGGACAAAGATTTCCCCAACAAAAAATATATTGTTGTAAACTATTCCTGTTGTAATACAAAGTATTTTGGGGTGGCCTGGCCTAAATGGACAATTAAGACCCATTTATTAGAATGGGTCTGCTAAAGGGAATGTCACAGCAAGCAGCCTTTTGCGGGGTGTGGTTGTATGGACTACAATATTGTGCTTCTGCATTTCAAGTTTTGCTATTATGCTGCAGATTTTAGGACCACTGTGGAGTATACAAAAATAATTATAATGTATTACATTTATATGCCATCCTTAACCCAAAGAGCTCAAGGGAAAATATGTGGTTCTTCCACAACCCCAATTTCAGTCTCACAACAATCCTATGAGATACATTTGATTGGAAGACAATGACTGGCCCAAGAGCATGCAGTCCCAATTTTAGTTCAGTCCTTTAAACATTCCACCATAATAACTCATGTTGTGCTTCACTTTGCAAATTATACTGCAAACTTACATTTACAAACAATTACCTTAAAATTCTTTTGATAGGATTTATACTGGAATGCACGTTTCTGCAGGTCATCAAGAATGCATTGCATTTCTTCTAGAACTTGTCTTACTCTATCTTGGTCAGCATTTATATCCAAAATTTGTGGATCCTATTAAAAACAAAACTAAATTGCTTTAGCATTATCCTTTAGCTTTCATAAAAGCTTAAATAAAAGTGCTACAGGTCAAACTAGTATAATTAAATTCAGTGAGACATATGATCCGTGTCTAATATGGAGTACAATACATATACAGTGAATTCTCTTTTAATCCCTGCTACACTGAGTGCCAGACCATCTTGTTCAATTTTTCTGATTATTAACTGCAACAAATAGTCAAGTAATTCATCACTCTAGTTCATGGCCAAATAGTTTAACTGAGCTGAGTTACATAATAAATGGAGGATATTGTGAACACCTCTGTTACTATTCACACTGGGAAGAACAAGGCTGAAAACCTTTTGCTTGTATCTTTTTCTTTGATTTAGATGGTGAGCACACCCCATATTGCCAACCTTTCAATTTTTACTCAGTTCAAAATAGCTCCTGTTAAAAACTATTTGCCAAATAGGGCTCCAAAATTTCCTATCATTATATCATAAAATAGATTTTTGAAACGAAATCAAAACTAATTTCAATGCTCACTCTAAAATCAGGAAGAGTTAGTGGACATCTTGCTGGTACCTTACCTATGAAACTGGCTTACACTGAGTACACAGGTTCAATAATCCTAGTACTATCTACCTGGTTAGGCATTGGTTCTCCAGAATGACAGGTAAAGACCTTTCACAGATTTGATATCCAAGTGGTCCTCATGGAAATGTCAGAGATTGAACCTGTGACCTTCTACAGGTAAAGCATGAATTCTGTCACTGAGTTACAGCCCTTCATGTGCCTTCCTTTTTGTGCTTGGCACTGTAGGAAGCTAGAGGTGACAAATCACTAAGACACAAAAATAACAGAAATCTGTAATGGCAATTTGTTAATAAAAAGACATGAAAGAATGCTTATTTTTATACCTGAGCTTGCTGTTTAACAATTTTAACTTCTTCATTTAGTTCATGAAGATCTATTTCTAAAAGTTGACAGAATCTAACAATGCTGGCATCTCTTTCTCCAACAGATTTATCAATTGCATTGCGAACTGCAACAATGGATGGTTTCAGACTTGAAAACAAAGCAAAATCTTCAGGTGGAGCTGGTACTACATATAGTTCAATAAGCTGATACATCTTTGTCACCACTGTTGATTCTTCTTCAAGAGTTTCAATCTGAAGGTGTGAGGAAATAAGTTGTTCTTCATTTTGTGTCAAAAACACACTTTTCATGAATTATCTTATCAAAGGTAATATCACTGGTAATTCTAAATTTATTTATTTATTATTTTTTTCAATTTGTGTGCCACTGCAATAGTCCGTATTTAGGATCTTGGTGCAGCTCACAATATAAATTGCTGTGAAATGCCAAATTAAATGTAGGAAGAAAGACAAGGGAGCTCCAGATTCTTTTAAGTTACGTAAAGATAGAGAAAGGTAGGGAGAGGTACACCTGGGGGTAAGAATGGTCAAAGGCTTATGCACCTCTATTGAGAGGGCAGGGCTAATAGCTCCCAAGAACAGCCTTCCAAAAAATGTAGGCAGAAGGCTAGACTATAAATCATGTCATCTTTTATGCCTATATACTAATACCTGGAGTATGGGAAACAAACACACTCTTATTATAGGAGGAAGACTGCAACCTGAGAGGTGTAACTGAAACTTGGTGGGCTGACTCACCAAGTTTGATAGGAAGAAAATGGATGCATTCAAAACATGGTATTGGAGGAGAGTTTTGTGACTATCATAGACCAAAAGGGAGATGAACGAGTGGATCTTAGATCAAATCAAGCCAGAACTTACATTGGAAAGAAGCAGGGAAAGTTAAAGGCAGAAGAAAAGGAATAACAACCATGAAATGGCTCAGTTCCATAAAGGAAGCCACAGCCTTACGTTTACAATAGATGAGCAGGGCCATCAAGCTCAGAACCTTTTGGAGGACATTCTTGCACAGGGTTGCCATAAGTATGAGCCAACTAGACAGTACATAGCAAAGTACAACAAAGATAAAAGAGCAAAGGGAGAAGGCCAAAACAAGTGAATTTCAGTTGTTTCTCATAGTTGCAGTAGGAAGTACTTGTTATGTTGGTAAACACTCTCTAGTAGAAGCAGTATAGTGAACATACCCGTTCTTGTATTTCATCAAGGAATGTCAAGCTCAACACATATTCTGTAGTTGTAGTTGGAAGAAACTCAAGTTTAAATTTAGCATCATTTGCCTCAGCTAGAATGGCGGATACTTTTTTCTTTGCAATTACAGGAAGCATTCCATTAATAACCTGGAATGAAAATTTAGACGACATTAAATGCACTGGAAAAATTCAGGAGAGAACGTTTCATTAAAAGTGATGTTGCTTAACTTACATGAATGAGTTCCTTATTCTAGATTATGCAGCTTGTAATATATAAACATTATGGGACATCAGTTAATTGGATAGCATGTTCCATTTAAAAAGAAAAATAACACCTTCACCACAATTCTAATTCACATTTCCTTCATCATTACTAATTTTGCAAAAACTCTTCTAATTGCTATTTTCTATCCTCCACTTGTTTCCCTTTCAACTGATATCCTCAGCAATCCAAACGTTGCATCCCAAACATCACTATACATGTTATCTGGCATGTATACCCACATTTCTGCATACCCATAGAGCCCCCTAAGCAAGCAAAAATGACCATCCAAATTCAGTATTGTTAGGAATAACAGGTTTACCTCCAAACAACGCTTTGGTGATGGAATTAGTTTGTCTTTCAGCTTTTTAGCATCTATGAGTAACAAGCCCAGGTTTCTTTTCTGTCTTATTGCCACAGCTTCTTTGTGTTGTTTGTGATACTTCTCCAGTTGATCAGCAAAGAATTTAACATCTGTTTATTATACATGGAATGTGAAATACAGTTATACATTTACAGATGCTTTGTACATCTTCTCAGCTGTTTGTCTGTATAGTCACAAAGTTGCGTCCAACCCTTCAAAGCCCCATGGGCAACATTCCTCCAGGCCCTCCTGTCCTCCACCTTCCCCCAGAGTCCACCGAAGACCATACCTGCCACCCCACTGACCCCATTCAGCCACCTCAACCTCTGCCATCCCCTTCTCCTTTTGCCTTCAATTGTTCCCATCATCAGGGTTTTCACCAATGAGTTCTTCCTTCTCATTAGGCGGCCAAAGTACTTGAGCTTCATCTTCAGTATCTGACCTTCTAAAGAACACTCAGGATTGATTTCCTTTAAGATCGACTGATTTGATCTCTTTGCAGTCCAATGGACTCTCAGGAGTCTTCTCCAGCACCACAGTTCAAAGGCCTTAATTCTTCAGTGCTGTTTTCCTTATGGTCCAACTCTCACAGCCATACATTACAACTGGGAAAACCATAGCTTTGACTATATGAACTTTTGTTGGCAGAGTGATGTCTCTGCTTTATAGTATGCTGTCTAGCTGTGCCATAGCTTTCTTCCCAAGGAGCAAGCGTCTTTTAATTTCTTGACTGCAGTCACCATCTGCAGTGATCTTGGAGCCCAAGAAAACCGTATTTTCAAATAAAATGAAATAAATGCAGAAGTGTTTATTTCTTCTAGGAAAAAAAATTGTTTCCTACTCCAGAACATGAAAAAATTGAAACATCAAAAGATGTTTCAGCTATTCTAAGGACAACTCATTTATTAGGGAAGGTACGGAGGCCATCTTTAGTAAATAGAACCCCAATTTCAAAGGCCTTCATACTGATGTTTTGTCAACTAGGAAACCTATTTTAAATTATCATAGACAAAGGTTCCTCAGGCAATACCCACTCCATTTGATAAAAATCCCAGGCAAGAAGTCTGGGCTTCCCATAAAAATGTGAACTTATGGATGAGAGCCAAAGGAGCTATTGAACTATCTTATGCAGGATTGTAGAAAGTTATCACCATTCTAAGGTGAGTATTTGGGTATATCCTTTGCTCTAAGCCAGAAAGCAGAAAGCTCAAAAGTGTGATGCCAACCTTCTTTTTCCTTTTCTACTGGTATAGGAAATGTTTTGCAGGTGGATTCACATAGCCTACAGACAGTATCATGCCTTGATGCCAAGAGAATATCTAACATGCCTTGCAAATAGGTACAGAGGCCAGAATCCACTGGCAAGCCTCCAAGCGACAAGCCAAATTCAAGCAGGGTCCAGGTGGAGAAAGAGAGTCATACTAGAAGAGCTGGGTAGGCTGCAAGAATCCATAGAAGTCTGACAATTACCACTTATCAGCTGGTGTGAAGAAAGAGTGCAGAGTGAACTGTGCTACTCATCACTGCAGGAGCTGTGTCCAGGCTTCAGATTCTGATTGGGAAGGGGCAATATTTTGCCTTGCAAAACATTGCAGTGGATAGTGCAACTTTTGGTATACTGTTTCTGATGTTAATTCCATTATTCTCCCAAAAACAAATTCTGTTGCAATCATTTTTAAGCATGTATGCATGCATGCATTTTTGTTATATTTACTCAACTAGTTGCGAAGTATAACATTATTAATATAAGAAACTAAAAAACAAAAACAAAACACAAAACATTGCCATTTTGCCCCAATTAAATGAAAGGCTTAAAACCTTAACCCACAGTTTATCTTATCAAATGGGAGTACAGGTCAGATTATGTAGTTTCTCTTTCTGGTTACAGTTTGAAAAAATCACTTATTGAAATTATGTTGCTTTATGGAAGCCTCAACAGGAGCAGGCATACAAACATCAATATCTTTGTAACTGGGAGACAAGGATGTTTTACACCATTACCTGTTGTTTTGTGCTCTATATGAAACCCAGGGGAAAATTCTGCTTAAGCAATTTTTATTGCTTTTGAAGAAACTTATTCAACAGGGCCTATTGACATGTTTTATTATAAGCTGATCCAGAATATATTAAAACAGTTGGTGCCAAATTTGTTCTGCAGGTTGCAAGAATAAGGAATTCTCTAAGTCAATACTTGTTGTCTGCATGTAAGATCATCTTATCTGATAAATAAAATGAAAACTCTGAGTGCATGTTGTGTTTCTGATCATTTATCTTGCATTGTTTTCATGTAAATTACAACAGTTTATAACTGGTAATAAAATACTATATATTCTCATACATCCCTGAGAAGGTAATGAAATATAATCCTGAACGGTGTTTGCCAATTTCAGGCAGATGGTTTACATTTTACAACTTTGGCTGTTATCCTGATGGGTAGAGTATGAGAATTTTAATTCCAGTCTTTAAAGGAAGGAGACTCTGACAAGCCTTTGATTATTTTAAAAGCTTATAAATGCATTCTCCAAATTATATGCAATGTATTTTCTGATTAAACTAAAAGATGAGGCGACACCTAATAGGTGAAGAGCATTCTGACCCTAAAACTGCATTGCAACCCTGGATCACTGCTTTGTATTGGTCCATCAATATTCAGTTATATAAAGTACACAGCACTTGAGAAGACTAAACTGCATGTAGCATTTCTTGATTTCTGCATAGTGTCTGACTCCAACAATAGATATAGACTCTAGGGAAAATTAACTATTGCTGGCACCAACACATGGTCCTGATAAAGCTTCTTAAATACAAATATGAAAATGCAAGTTTTCAACAACCCAGAAAAAAAATCTCTTGCATTCTCCAGGACTTAGACTCCAGTTCAAATGGTGGGATCTCTAGAGATATCCAGAGTACAGCCTGGTCCAGTTTTATTGAATGAGTTTCAGTTGGTATAGTTCAAGGATGCTGATGAGATGTTTAGCCAGGTTTGTGCAACTACCTCTGAACAGGATGCTTGCCCTCCAAGGAAGGAATAACCAGTTGGTCCAGGAAGGTGATTAATGCCTCCTTGCGAGAGGGAGTGCTCCATGCTGCCTTAAAGAGAGACCACTTTTGAAGAAATCCTCCCTTGACCTGAAGCCAGTAACAAATATTCCTTTCCTGGGAAAGTTTATTGAGAGGGTGGTTGTGAATCAACTCTAGGCACTATTGGGTGAGACTGATTGTATCCATTTCCGGCCTGGTTTTGGCACAGAAACAGCCTTGGTAACCCTGCATGATGACATATGCTGGGAGAGAGACAGGGGACTGTGACCCCATTGATACTGCAGGACCTCTAGACTGTTTGAGTTGGGACTTGGAAGCACTGACCCATTCCTACTTAGAGGGCTGTCCCCAGAAGGTCTTGGCTGGGGAATTCTGTTCAGCCCCATGCATTCTCTGCATAGAGTTCTTCAGGGGTCTGTTCTGTTCCCCATGCTGCTTAACATCTACATGAAACCTGAGAGGGGTCGTCCTCTGGACTTTTGGAGTGCATTGTCATCAGTATGTTGATGACACACAGCTCTATTTCTCCTTTTCATTATCAGCAGGAGAGGCTGTGAATGTGCTCAATGCAATCTCACTATGGCAAGGGACTGAATGAGGGCTAACACACTGAAACGCAATTCAGGATTGAGATACTGTTGGTGGGTGGTTCTTTTTGACTGGATGAAGAGTGTTCTACCTGTTCTAGATGGGCTTGCACTCCCCCTAAATGAGCAGTTTTATAGCTGAGGAGTACTACTTGATCCATCTTTGTCACTTGAGGTTCAGGTGGCCTCAGTGGCTTAGAGTGCTTTCCACTAGTGTTGGCTGCTGCTATGCTCTACCTGGACAGGGATTGTATCTCTAAAATAGACTACTGCAATGTGCTATATGTAGGGCTACCCTTGGAAATGGTTCAGAAGTTGCAGCTGGTGCAGAACATGGCAGCTAGATTAATAACTGGGGTCCCTAGGTTAGGGTTATCTCATAAGATGTTTTCTGGCTTGCTTGCACTGGCTGCCTATATATTTCCTGTCCTGATTTAGGGTGCTGATTTCAACCTATAAACCCTTACATGGCTTAGAAATGTGATATCTGCCAGAGCACTTCTACCAGCCATGATCTGCTTGGACACTTTGCTCTATCATTTGGGTGAATGCCAAATTTGAGGGAAGTACTGATGGTGGCAACAGGCAGGAGGGCTTTTCCCCCACTGCAGCCTGGCTGGTGCCAAATTCATTGTATTTTTGTCACCAGGTTAAGATGGCCATACCAAGACCTTTGCAGACTGATTGTGATTGTTTGTTTTAGCTGCCTTAAACCTTTTCTGAATTTCTGATATTTGTATTGCATTTGATTGTTTTATAGATTGTTGTAAACTGCCAAGACAGCTTTGGCTGTGGGGCAGCACAGAAATAAATAAATAAATATGCTGTGTGATTCTTGTTCAATTTCTTTAGAATTTATGTTGCATTTGGTTCAAGAAGTGATACCGTCTTCCTAGTCAGGGTAGACAAAGAGCCCCGAGGCTTCGGGGAATGGGGCGGCATAAAAATGTTTTAATAAATAAATAAATAAATAGAGAGAGAGAGAGAGAGAGAGAGAGAGAGAGAGAGAGAGAGAGAGACTGATGCTTTATACTAATATAATTTTTGTCTCACTATCTTAGCAGTCTTGAGTGGTAAAACTATTCAAAATAACTATTGATTATGGTAAAACCAAGGTTCTGTTGTTTGGTCAAAATATATCAAGACCAGCTTTGTTAAGTTTTAGCCTAGTAGCTACCGAAACTTTGTTAGCTTATTTGGAGTGCTGACTTAGCCAAATATGGCCAACTAATTCATGTGTGACTGAGCAGGTTTCTTCATACTGTATTTGGATATTAAAGGAGCACAATCAGGGTGGTGTTAGAAAATCCCATCTGAGCACAGGCCCCATTTCTTCTAAGCTGCTACCTGAATCTTTAGACTTGCCCTGATTGTCATCAACTGTCTTAATACAAACCTGCTTCTTCCCTCTGGATTTAAGATCTGTAGTTACTAGAAGATCTGAGGACTCACTCACTTAGCAAACTTATAAGGAGTGTTGCATGAAGACACTAACCTTTTAGCCTGAAGGAGAGAATACCACCTTTCCTTCCAGAGCCTACCCACGATTTTCATTAAGTGCAGAGTCCAACATTACCTAATAGCATGGCTGTCACCCAGCTTTCTCAGAGTGTGCCTGACTCTGCAGAGACCTTCCTAACCAATTGCTAACACGGAATTGCACTGTGCCCTTGGCCATTTTAGGCAGCAAGGCCCTGACAAGAGGAAAAGCAGGTATGCTGGCTGCTCCTATATCAAATGGCATGCCAGAGCCCTTCCTCAATTGCATTTTTTTGCTATGGAACTGAACCTTAGATCTTTTAGGCACCTAGCACCTTTCCTGGGCACAACAGTGCTCTTTTAGATAAAGTGTGCTCTGAAAAAGAAAAAAAAAGAACATTCCCAACAGTACAAGGCTCAAATTTCTTAGCTTATAAAAGGATACCTATTGAGCGAATAGCTTGAAACCTAGCATCCAGGATCTGCCCTTTTTAAGGTCTAAATCTATGCCAAATTTCAAATGATTAACTATAAATTGTCATAAGTAAAACAAGTCAAAAACTGCTGAAAATTGGTCCATTTATCCAATTTTACTCCTATTCTTGGACACTCATATCATAAATTTGTCAAATTTGGATGAAAATAAATGATGTAATTTACCCAGGCTTCACAAGAAAAGCAATCCTTCATCACTTTGCTGATGTTCCGAGAAGCTATTAAAAGTTATTAAGATTCTCCTGCCCCATTAAAGCTTATGGCAGCAACTGTTGGCAAACTTACATTGTACGTGTTCAGTTTCATTTAGAAGTTAGAATGACACCCATACTTGAGTACCCTCAACTGAATTCTGAGTTGCAGAGTGCAATCCTTTTGTTATGGAAGGGTACATGTTACTAAATGGGTTGGGGACCTTAGCAGTTGAGGGGAATTACTGGTTTTAACCCTGCACCCCACCTCCTACAGGGTTCCTGCAGTACAAGTCTTTTTCTCCCTGAGGAGCTGCCATAGGGGATTTTGAGGATTATTTCTAAGGGAATTTTGAGGGGAAATGGCAGATTTGGGAGACATAAGAGACAGTGAATGAATAAAAAACACCATGTACAGAAGACAGTCGAGGAGAACTCTAGAGCCAAATACCCTCATACAGAATTCATTTGAAGCCAGAGTGGTCAAATGAGGCCTATAGATTCACTCCAGCTCAGAGCTAGATAGCAGCAGACCCTCTCCCCCAACACTTTTTTGGAGACAACATTAAATTGCTTCCTTTTAAATAAATTATTTTCAGATTCCCTTTTCACAAGCTAACACCACCACATCCTTTTGCCATTTTTTCTTAGAAGATCATGCAAGACCTGTTCATTTTTATCAGCATATGGGTGGCTCCTAATCTGGTTCACTGTCACAGCAACTTTTTATAACTAGGTCATAAAAGACAAAATTATTGAAGAGTTACATTCTAAGACTGATTTCTAATACTAATAGTGTTTTAGAAATTCACAGAAAGACAAAACTCTTCCCTTTCAAAAAGTCATTCTTCACATGCAGAGGTTAAGAGGCTTAAACATACAGTGAGGGTGGTGGGACCAATATTTTCCTTCTCCTCATTTGTTTATTCAACCAAGAAATGCAATGCATGTATAAGGCTAATATGCTACTGTCTCTACTAAAATCCCTGGGACTGATTCCAGAACAATTAAGCTGTGGAGTGTGTGTAAATATTGCTGTTTCTTGTCTAAACATTTTGAAGCTATTATGGAATGAGAGAAGACATGAAATAAATGTTTAAAAATAAAAATGGTGGGAATTTAACACATACATTCAGCAATTATTCACTTAAGGATTTTTCTAATTAGTATAACGTACCACATAGCCTAATATAACACTTAGTTGAAATCATCTAATGTTAGCACAAATCTTGGCTTCAGAAGGAATGATTAATTCTAGGTATTTCTATTGTGTTTTGAACAATGCTTTGAACAATTATTTTCCCTAAAATATCATTTACAATAAATGTGAGGAATAGGTCTGTAATTATTCACATATTGCAAAATGGTGGTGGCGGGGGTAGGTAAGACTGAAAGTATCGATAGCATACTAAGGTCTTTTAGTGAGTTCATAACTGAGGTGAGTTTCAAACAAAAGGCTAAATAACTGAAAGCTAGTGATTACATCATATGAGCTCTATGTTCCATGTAGAAAAACATGAAATAACTATATACTATTACAATAAAGCTTTGTATTAAACATCATTTTAAAAGAATTCCCCCAATATAAGCACTGCAAATGTTTACCAACATAATACAACTTGCTCAGTAGATCATGTCATGCAATATAGACTGGTAAAAAAAACAAACACCATGCAATAAAATTTACCAGGTTCTTCTTTCTTCAAAGCTTCCAAGTCAAGGCTTTCATTTTCTTTGAAAAATGATCGAAACTTCTCAAAAGTAGCTGCATACAGGTTGGCTGCTTCAAATGCCAAATTTATTGTTTCCTAAAAATTATAATAATCTTGGGATTAAAAAATATCAGTAATAGTGGTCTAATTTTCTTTCATTTATTTCTTGTTCTCTTTTACTGTTCTTTGTTATTCCTATGTGCTTGACAACTTTGGCTACAAAGGTTGGTATAGGAATAATGACAGACAAGAAACTCAATAAAGGACAAGTGGCAAGGCAGGGGTGCCTACCGATAAGTAAACCACCATGGATAGTGATGCCAGCATTCTATTTCCAAAAGGAAGCAGGAATACTACTTAAAGTAGATTTATTTACTGCTATAATAAATATATCCATCAGTGTAATAATCAAATAAGATAATCAAGTGATGCTTCACTGGAGACCAAAGCCAAGATCATCTACACTATTCTGTTCCTCATCACTATATATGGGTGTGTGAGTTGGACTGATAAGAGAATGGATATGTTCAAAACATTGTGCTAAAGGAGAGATTTGCAAATACTTTGAACAGAAAGAAAGCCAAACAAGTGAGTCCTAGATCAAATCAAGCCCTGGAAGCTAAAATGATGAAACTGAGGCTGTCATACTTTGGGCAGATCATGAGAAGGCAAGTCTCACAGGAGAAGACTTGCCTCCTGCTAGGGAAAGTCAAAGGCAGCAGAAGGGGAAGACCAGCTTTGAGATAGATTGATTCCATGAAGAAAGACACAGCCTTCAGCTTATAAGACCTGGGCAGGGCTGTGAAGACTGGGCATTCATTCATAGGGTCGCCATAAATCAGAGTTGACAGTACAAAGCAACAAAAAAACACTTTCTATCCTGGTACAATGCCTGACAAGTGGAACCATGGAGCAGGGTGAATCGAGGCTAATATAGGCTAAATTGAACATGTTTCTTCAAGGCTTAAGTTCTTGTTCAACATTTAGCTATGTCATGTCATGAGTAGAGTCAGCTGGAGCCAGGGGTCAGACTAAATGGCCCAGGAGACCCCTTCTGACTCACTCTGTTTTTATGTTTTTGTATTTTCTATATTTCTATTAAGAAAAATAGATAAAGGGCTGAAGAAAAAACATCAATGCTTAACATTAATGTAGTAAGTATGTAGGAAAATCCTAGTTATTCTATTAATCTTAGTAGTAGCCAGGTGACACTTCTAGTAGATACTTTTACATAATATTTGAATAGATTTTCTCCAGGATATTATACTCACATGTTAAAGGAAACAAACTACAACTGAATTATTAAAAAATATAATTCATTTGTTTGCAATGGTAGACACAGCAAAAAAGAACAAAGAAAGGATGGACCTTGAGCTGGTAGCTTAATAGCACTTTAAGATTTAAGATGCTTTGTACCTTTATTTGAAAGATAATATTTTGCAGGTGTTTATCATCTTTAAACATTATTGATAAGCTTGGTCCTTCACCACATGTTTTTTCTTCAATTTTGTTGTTAATAATAGGTCGAGTGAACGCATCAAAGTATTGATCAGGAACAAGGTTTGCAACAGATAATACAGTTGCCTGAAAGTGAGTCACAATCTCTGACATACCATCCTGTTGAACAAACATAGAAAAGAATCTATGAAAATCAGTGCTTTTTTTGTTTAAAAAAAAAAAAAGGTGCCAGAACTCACATCCCCACCGGCAGTAAGCACACACACCAATCCCAAGCCGAGCAGCAGAGCAGCGTCCCAAGCAGCTATCTCTCACTATCAGATAGCAGATAGCAGACAAAATAGCAGCCTGCAGACACTATGTTAATGATGTTTGCTGCTGATCTGTTACTCCGTTCAAAATCACTTCGTAAAATCCATTGAAAAAAAGGTGCCGGAACGCCATTCTGGTGCGTTTTATGACAAAAAAAAGCCCTGATGAAAATGATAATTGTGTGAGAAGGGGCTGAAAGAAGAACATCAATACTTAAAACCTATGTAGCACTTTCAGATTGTTCAAATCAAAGTCCTTCACATAAATAACAGTTTTGCAAGCTTTACAAATGTCTAAGATAGGTGGATATTATTATCCCTACAATGCAGATGGGAGGATCCCTCAGGCTGAGAGGTGTTTGCCTACAGTTACCTAACAAGTCAAAACAGAGATGACATTGGAGCCAGTGTCTTCCTTGTTTGCATTTTGGCCTCTTAACCACCACAGTGCCTTATCTAGATAAATTATGATAATAAAATTTTAAGTCTTTAAAATGTTAAGACTTAACACAATATTTTATTTTATTTTATTTTACATTTTTATATACTGTCTCATAGCCACACGACTCTCAAGACCAGTGGTTTTCAACCACCAGTCCGTTGGCCAGTGCTGTTCCGGGCAAGGTTTTATGCTGGCCTGTGGCGGGGGAGGCTGCATCCCACTCACCACAGACCGGCGCAGGGGCTGCCTGTGCTCCACCACCTCTTCCTCGGTTGGCATTGCAATCATGGGGGTGTGCCACTGCTGCCAGGAGGGCCAGGGAGGGGAGAGATGGCTTGGTGGGAGCTGGCTGGGAGCCACGCTGTGTCAGTTTCAGTATTTTGTTCTTTTGTTGGCATTTTTTATTGCTCAGTTTCTGGTTGTTTTGGAGAATTTTCACTTTTTTGATATTGTGTTTGGAAAGTAATACACAGAATACTGTGTTATGTGCATGGTGCTTTTTGTTTCTGCCTCAGCAGTCCCTGAGGTGACTTTTCTGTTTTCGCTGGTCCCCAGCTGTGTCAATATCTAATTATCACTGTTATTTTGCATCACTGGACAAATGATAAGTCTACATGGAGGTTCCTGCTCTTAAGAGAGATCCACTGGGTTGTAGGCTCAGAATATTTGCCTCTGAATGCTGGCCACCTAACTTTCACTCCTGCTTCACATAAATTTCCCATTGTCTCTTCATAGCCTTTGTCATGTCAGAGAGGTTTGGTTGTTGGGCAGTATAAAACAGAAGAAGAAGAGCAGTAGTTTTACAGGCTGCTTTCTCTAATATCCTCTCACTGTTTGCTCAATTCCTGCTTGCCTACACTGACACGTCAATCAACCTGTTAATTTACAATGGACAGTTTTTATTCATGTGGTCTTCTGCTGCGCTGTCTATGCCTCCCAAGTGCATCAGCACTCAGGCCACATTCAGGCCACCTAACCAGTTCATTAATCAAGAGTTCACTCCTGATCTTCCAATGCAGCTCAATGTTATGCCCATTAAGCCTTATCTTGTCATTAAAAGCCACCCTCCCCTCTGCACATAGGAAAAAGCCCAGAATAACAAATTATTTTACACACAGCAACCTCAAGTTAAAGTAAAATTATTCTCAAACCTGGAATTCATCCAAAGATGGTTCAAATAACAGTGCATGGATCTCTAAAATTAGCTCTGCAAGAAACATGGGAAGGAAAGATTCCTCTTCCTCTGCCCCTATAGTAGGCTAAAATAAAAAGCAACAAAAATAGACAATGAATAGAAATTTTTAACATAGAAATGTTAGGTTCTGTGCCCCAGCAGATTTTAAAGCCTGTTACAGATTTTCCCTCTGTAGAAGCAACATAAGTTTCCAACCATAGCATGAAAGAACACCTGCAACATGTCACTGTTTCCAAATTTACCTTTGATTTATACTGCATGGTAGAAACAGTAGCTATTTTGTATTTTTAAAGTCCTTACTAGGCAAGTTTAGTGCTTCTTGTCCTTATTAGAACCTTAAAACTACTTAATTACAATTCATGAAGTTTATGTCTGAAACAAGTATTGATTTGTATGGAAAAGTGCTCTGATGAATGAAATAGGTTTTACAGTATAATGACACCCAGATGGTCCAACAGTAAAGCATTCAGTTGTAGGTACAATATTCTTGTGAACAATAATAAAGACTAAACTATGTAATGGCCTGCTTTCTTGTTTCTATACAAAACAAATGTATATAAATGGCTTATTGGTCTGAAAGTGCTGCAATCTAAGGATAAAACCTGAAGGATACAGTAATCTTGATGTGCAAATTCTGCTTCAGACAGGTGCAGAATGCAATAAATTGCATTATATAATTTTTTAGAAAATGTTTATCAGATCTCTGCTATTAAAATGGCTTACAGAGAATTTAATAACGTCAGATTCTTTGAACTGTCTGTCCCCAACAATGAAGAGTTCTGGGTTTGGATGTCATGAGGAGTCTCTGCATTATCTCAGTAGGTGCAGGTGGCCAGCTGGGAACCAGCATGCATGCTTATTCCCACTCATCTTCTTGACAACCCATGGGTTGTTAACCACGGCTGGTTACAACATGTGAACCAGGGCATTTTTATGTAAAGAACCAGGGTAATTAATTTGAACAGAACAAAAAGACAAGCAGCAGATTATTTTTCTTAAAATCAGTTTTCTAAGGTGCTAGACAATGTAACAGACCAGGCCATTTCAAACAAAACAGCTGGGTGATTGGCCCTAATTGAATCAACAGTACCTTCTTTTCCACAACTTCAGTTACTTCATCTACATTCCACTTTTGGATGGTCTCGGAAGAAGGTGTCTTTTTCAGCTTATCAGTGAGGTAATTCAAAAGAGTAGTGACAGATTTTACTGCCAAGACATGCATAGTGTTCACTATAAGGTAGTCAGCAAGACGAATAAAGCTAGAAAGCAAAAATAATGAAATACAGAATTTGCCTTTGTATCTCATAGGCCCTCACAGTTCCTGAATGTCCTATGGAAAAAAGTAAGAGTTTCCCAACAATAAATGCAAAATGAGGACTGTAGCATGTCTTTAGGTTCATGTGGGCAACCTTTGGCTCTTAGTTGTGCTCTATGCAGCCTGGGGAGGCCTGTCCACTTTGCTAATTACCCACCAAATGGCTACAGTGAAACAGCTGCCTCTATTAGGGCAGCTGAAGGTTGAATATTTAACCCTCAGCACCTCCCTAGTGATTCCATATAGACTGTTATTTTCCTGCTAGTAGTAGTGAAGAAGCCATAGCCTACATCAGGATTGCTGGAAAGAAGGTCAAGAAAAATGCCTCTGCCTTCAAGAAATAATCTCAGTGCAGGGATCACCATTTCCTTGTTGCTAATAGCAGCAGGAGAATAGTGCTCTGTATGAGTATCGCTAGGGTGGGGAAGAAGAGAATGGGGATTTGAACCATTCCCACAAAACTCATGACTTCAGCAGGTATGGAGGGGAGGCTTAGATTTACCCACCCCTGTATTCTATGGTGCATGCATGTATGTCTGCACATGCTCATACATATATTGCTCTCCCACTTGGAATTTCATGTAGGCCTTGAAACCAAAAGGGTTGCCCATCCCTGCCATTAAGATTTAGTGGTAACTGAGGAAGGAAAATAGCTATAGACTATTGTGTACAAGCAGGAAATATATAAGGTAGTTCTGTTATATGCCAATAGACCCAAAATGTAATAATTTACATAGTATTTCTGAGTGAAAGTCAGAAACTCACACATACATGATGTACGACAATCACATTTTTTGAGGCACAGCTTATTTTTTCATGCTAAAATATATGCATCTGATGAAGAAAACTTTATTTATTTGTTTATTTATAGTATTTCTAGGCCATCCATCACTTCTGTCTCTGGACAGCTTAGAGTAAAATCTATAAATACAATATATAAATCCAAATGACAATAAATTTAATGTCCCACGACTGACATAATTAATTATTAAAATAAATAATAATTCTAGCCTGCAAAAGCTCATACAAAGCAGGTCTGTTATATGCTAGGTGATTCCATTTACAAAAGAGTGATGCTAACTTATTAAACAAACAAATCTGACAATGTGCTAGTCAATTGTAGAAACCCCCCAGCATTCCATGGATTTTTTTAACCTATCTACTGATGTGTTTAATATTGACTTGTGAGATATAATTCAAAAATGCATGATTTCTGCTCCAAACTATATGTGATGCAAAATATCAATCTATGGTACAGAATCTCTTTCAGTCCAATTATTAAATTCACTTTCAGATAAACTCTCATGAGGTACATTCCAGAGGTGGATGGGCCCAAGGATAAATGGGGCAAGGCCAACCTGTCCCCACAAATGACAGCATAATTTAGCCTGAAGTTCTAACAGCCAGTAGCTAAGGTTTGAAGAGGCATTTCAACCCTTTAGAATAAGGAAATGACACATAAATGCCCAGGAATCATGGAACAGCTGATGACCAGGCAGGGAGGGATGGAGCCAGAAGAAGATGTGTGTTCATCCAGAGAAGTCTGGAGGACCAGACTGGAACCCTTGGAGGGATGGATTTGGCTCCCAAGCTTGAGGTTGTACACTGCTGCATTAGTCCATCATAAAAAATGGCCACTATATGTTGACTTCTGTTTTCCCCTATACTATCAGTGAACTCTATATCTTCCCACAGCAGAAAGCTGTAACTTAATGGCAGTACATCTGCTTTACATGTAAAAAGTCTTGTTCAATCTCCAACCACTTCAATTAAAAGCACCAGTCAGGAGGTTATTGAAACGATCCCTTTCTGTTGGAGATTCTGGAAAGCTGCTGCCAGTCAGAACAGATAGTACTGGGCTAAATGGACTTGCAATTTGCTTTGAGAACACTGGTTGCCTTAAACTGAGTAACGAAGAGCTCAGAAACATAAAAAGACATAGTTAAGTATTACTTAAGGTGTGGCAAATGCCAATTTAGCATCACTTATAGTTTGGGCTTCAGCATGTATTACACAATCTTTCTCAGTGCTTTCACACATGCTTTCTATGCTTACCAACAATATTTAAATTTAGGGAAGCTTAAGGAGCAGTTTGGGGCTTTGCGGTGAAGGACTGTTGAAAGGAAAATCCACAAAATAACATTTGCAGATGCAGAGATACCTATGAATATGGTCATCCCATGCAAGAAACATTTCTACCAGAATGATATTTATTCTATCACTTTTAAAGTGAGAGCAAAGAAGTATTAGATGAGGCCCTGCAAAGAGCCTAGTACCAACCATGTCAGCCTGGCACACTGAGCCCTTTTGTTGGCCTGTTCTGTGTATGTCATTTTTTCAGTTTGATCCCCATACAAATCCTTGTCAATGCGAGGAAGAATGGCACTTGCAGCAGTTTGTTTTGTCGATGCCACTGTTTCCTGTTCTGGTGAAAATATAAGTGTGTATTGCTGAAATTATTTTAAGTACTAAACTAAATCAATACATCCGCAATTAAGAGAATCATTCAAATTGTACTGTTTCTTATAAGCAAAAGCTTTTTTTTTTTTTTTTTTTTGCCAGAAACCAAAACATCATGCATGAATCAGTTTTCCTAAAAGTTTGTGCAGGCATTAAGAGAGAAAAATAGCACATTCACATTAAAACTTTAAAAATTGTAACATACCATCAGTGGCCTGATTTACTATTATTTAACATTATGTTAAGAAGTCTGCTTGAGTCCTGGATTCACATGCTCCTTCCTCCCCTCCAGCAAGGTTGTAATGACATTAGATATATCTGTTTCCTGTTTTAATCACTGCTATGTCTGAACTGGGCAATCTCTACTTAGTTTAAATTAGGGTTTCTTAACAAGCCAGAATCACAACCACTCTTGGATCTTTGGTTGTTTTAACTAGCCACAGTTTCTTAAGTTCAGATGTCACAGGGAACCGTGATTACATCAAACTTAAAAGGAAAATCTTTTGATCTCCTTCTCATATCTCTGAGAAAAGTGTAAAATATGAGTTCAGAATTCGTACAGATGTAATGGAAAAACATGCATGATTTAAGGGTTCCAACCTTAAAAGAATACCAACAACCTCAGATCTACAGATGATACCACTCTAATGGCAGAAAGTGAAGAGGAACTAAAGAGCCTTTTGATGCGGGTGAAAGAGGAGAGCACAAAAGTTGGCTTGAAACTCAACATTAAGAAAGCTAAGATCAGGGCATCCGGTCCTCTCACTTCCTGGCAAATAGATGGGGAAGAAATGGAGGTAGTGACAAATTTTATTTTCCTGGGCTCCAACGTCACTGCAGATGGTGACTGCAGCCAAGAAATTAAAAGACGCTTGCTCCTTGAGAGGAAAGCTATGGCAAATCTGGACAGTATCCTAAAAAGCAGAGATATCACCCTGCCAACAAAAGTGCGTATAGTCAAGGCTAGGGCTTTCCCAGTTGCAATGTATGGCTGTGAAACCTGGACCATAAGGAAGGCCGAGTGCCAAAGAATTGAGGCTTTTGAACTGTGGTGTTGGAGAAGACTCCTGCGAGTCCCTTGGACTGCAAGGAGATCAAACCAGTCAGTCTTAGAGGAGATCAACCCTGGCTGCTCTTTAGAAGGCCAGATCCTGAAGTTGAAACTCTAATACTTTGGCCATCTAATGAGAAGGAAGGACTCCCTGGAGAAGAACCTAATTCTGGGACCAATAGATGGCAAAAGAAGAAGGGGACACAGAGAATGAGGTGGCTAGATGGAGTCACTGAAGCAGTCAGTGTGAACTTAAGTGGACTCCAGGGGATGGTGGAGGACAGGAAGGCCTGGAGGAATGTTGTCCATGGGGTCACAATGGGTCAGATGCGAGCTCCCCAACTAACAACAAACCTTAAAAGAATTCCAAAAATAATGTAAAATACTAAAAATTTCTTTTTTCACACTATATCTGACCTGGGCCAATAAAGATGTAAATGTTATTTAATTATTTCCTAAATGTCTGTTTTATACCTGCACTCTCTGTTGCATTGAAGTAATCATCAGGAGTGAAACCCGACTCAAGCAGTGCAGTTCGGCATGCACCTCGAACCACTTCTTTGGCTAATTCTCTGAACTCTGCCAGATGAGATGCTATCTGAAAATTAAAGCATATTTAAAGAATAGTTGATATTAAATCCCAAGCCAAAAATGGGTATATAGAAAGTCATGTAAGACTGAACCTATGAAACTCACATCTTTTAGGTGGTCAAACTGAGTACCTTTAAATTCCATCAGTGTGTATATGTAACCTTTTTCAACTTGACAAAGTACTATGTCACTGAGTCGATAACACATTTCTTGGATGTTAAGTATTGCAGGCCTCAAACACTGCAAAACAGTAAGAACAAGTTAGCAAGCCTGAAAAAAGCATCACTAAGAAGTTTCATCTAGTTGGTGTGACAAAAACATACAGTTTAGTTTTTCCAGCAAGGTTAGGCCTTTTTTCTTAATATTCTTTCACCTTCCTGATACATCTCCTTCTGCCCAGTCTGAGGACAAACCTATTTGCCAGAGGGAATGACAGCTATATGAAGAAAACTTGGGGATTTGCTTTTGCTAGGCATTTGAGACAACTTGGAAGTATGAATCTCAACTCCCTATGAAATTATACGAGTGGGTGTCAATAAGAATGAAAGGCAGACCCAGCAGTCACCAACTATTGCAATAATTTGCTGTGCAATCAAGGTGATATCCAAGGTGTTACAACAAAGAATTTTACCCTAAATAGAGGAAGAAATGCATGACATGCAAGCTGAATTCAGAAAGAGAAGTGCTGGAGATCATATACCAAAAATGTATTGGCTACTAGAGTGCCCCAAAGAATTTGAGAAAAAGTTGAACATTCATAGGAAAAGCTATCATAAGGAGCAGAGAAAAGAGGAGTGAAAATTGGTGGGAGCCAATAATTTAGGATATGCAGATGATACTGGCAGAAAGCAGCAATGACTTGAAACAGTTCCTGGTGAAATGAAAGGTGCAACTGTAGGAATGCAGCTGAATATTAACAAAAAATCAGGGCTGCAGAAGAATTATAGAGCTTTATTGTCAACAATAAAATTGAAATTGTGGAAGATTTTGCATACCTTGGCTCAGTCACCATTGGTGACTGAGCCAAGGTATGGACACTGCAGCCGAAAAATAAGAAGACTGAGACTTAGAAGGGCAGTAATTATGGAATAAGAAAAGACAATCAAATGCAATGATGTTTCACTGCAGACCAAGGCCAAGATCAGTCACACTATTCTGTTCCTGGGCGTCATATAAAGTGATGAAAGCTGTCATACTTAGGGCACATCATGTGAAGGGAAGACCCACAGGAGAAGACAATCCTGCTAGGGAAAGTCAAAGGCAGCAGAAGATGAAGACCAACCTTGAGACAGATTGATTCCATGAAGGAAGCCACAGCCTTCAGCTTACAAAAGCTGAGTAGGACTGTGAAGGATAGGACATTTTTAGCGGGCATTCATTCATAGCTTCACCATACGTCAGGCAACTTGATTGCGGATAACTAAGAGAGCACAGGATTCAGCTTATACAATTCTGGTAGAATAGCCTTGGTAAATCAAGCAGCTGTTTGGCAATTAAGGGAGCACCAGCTGTAGTCATCTCCTTCCAAAACCTGCTTCTGTAGTTGTCTTATTTGTCATAATTCCTGAACATGTTTGTTGAAAATCAAATGGCTACCCAACAGATCTCTTACTGTGGGGCATGTTATGAAAAGGCTGATGAAACAGTGGCTGCTGTAGAGGAGTGTGCTGTGATGTGTCAAGATTGGGAATGTGCTGTTAGAGCTACACATGCTTTTATCCACTTAGATATGGTGGACATGGACAGTTTTCTACCAATGGTGCCAGGAAGCAAGTGTATAGATAAGTTGTCTGTCTGCAAGAAGATGTGCAATGTGTGTTTATTCTGAGCCTGTGCCAGAGTGGATCAGAAGAAAGGGAGGATTTGGGCCTAAAGAAGGGAAGAAAAATCTCTTATGACCTTCAAGATGGATCAGCCCAAGGATTGCTCTGTCTTTCTAAAGTTACAGAAGTGTTTTCTAACTACATAAGCACAGGTTTCTCTGTGAGCTATAGTTACTGTCCTTAGGAAAGCAATCATGAAAGATAGGAGCTGTAATAGCACTGGTTTTAAGAGCTCAACTGGAGGGTTTTGCAGAGATTACAGGCTTCAATGAATCTTCCTGGTTGTAGAGTAGGAAGATTGATACGTGCAGCTCCATGCTGTAATCTCTTGAACTGAGAATGTTGATGTATTGATGGTTTGTCTGGTTTGATAGCATTGATGAATGTGTTTTCAAGGGAGTTGCTTTAATACCATCTTTTAGCCTGCTTGAAGGAAAGCCCAAGTCTCCTTGAGACCCATTCATTATCTCATGAAACTTTCCAGGATGCCTCATAAATTAGACAGGTTGCTACATTCATGGCAAGGGTGGCAAGGACTTCTGCTGATTACCCATATTTTAATAAATGTTTCCTTTCAAGTGGCTAAGGAGGTCTGGATGATGGACACTGGACCTACTCTAACAGATATGGAATATTTGGAAGGAGCCATGATTTTGTGCCTTCTATAAGGATTGTTTCCAGTAACCGTGTTCTCCTTGAGTGATATTAATATTGCCAAGGCTTGTTCCCATCCAATTTTTCAATGTACTCTTGCTAGGTGAAGGGCTGGGGTGCGGGAATATAAAGGAGATGATATAAAGGAGGATGATAAGGTATCTACACATTTGGCTCCTATCTTCAGAAGAAATTTAAGAGTGTTCTGACGTATTGGTGAGATGAATTAGGCTAAGGCTCTGCAGTCTGTGTACTGCCGTTTTGAGAGGGAAAATGTTTGGAACACTTTGTTTCGCAGAGTATGGAGCTCTTCCTTCAAGGCAGTTCTTAGTGCCACAAAGGACACAACAGCAGGGCACAAACAGAGAATGAGTAGGAAGGGAAAAGGGAAAAATAAAGGAAAATAGCAGAAGAGGGGTGGGGGAAGCAGTTAGAGAAAGCAGCAAAGATCAGCAAGTGGAAAAATGATGTGGTTGGGTTTTGAAAAAGGGTTTCTCTCGCGTAAAGAAAACATACATGTGTCTTTAGCTAGGCAGTAAGTTGTGGCAAGAAGGTAGAATGGCAAAAGGCCTAATCATGTGGTTTCCTACCCTTCAACTTTGCTGGAATGTGAAAGCCGGTTTGTATACTCTTCCACACTAACAGAGAATATTAAAATTCTAAAACACTTAGTTTCACAAGTTTTGCAAATAATGGGTTTTGCTCATGGAAAGACCAATCCTCACTAATGAAAGGGGATAATTTTTTTGCCAGTTATCGCTGTCCCTTGCAGGCCCCTAAAAAGCTGCTCCAGAGGGCTGGGAGATCGTCTGGAACAGTGTGAAAAGTGGCACAGAGGAGGAAGAAAACAGGAAAAATTTCCACCCCACTTTGATTAACAGGCAACTTGGGTGGAACAAAGGTTCTTCTGTCCGTGGAAAAGCTCCCTATGAAGGGGAGATCACACAATAGAATGATGACATCTTCAATAGTACTGACTAAAGTAAAGCAGTACTAGTTCACAATCTAAAATCTAAGAAGGTATATGAATCTCAGTAGATTTTAACTGCAGGAAAATGTATAGTTTACTGTAAATAGCTGAAATTTCATTCTGTACTTAAGAATTAAATAATTGCCTCTTCAAAAATTGTAGCACTTAACATTGATATTGTGTGGTAGGCCATTCAATATTCACACATACCATCTTATTAATAAAAACATTTACAATACATACTGCATTAACAATGAATAAGTTCTTCTGCAAAGCTTGACGGCATGCACTAATCTTCTTGGAGCGGACATTCTTCCTCCATACATTAAATGACTTCCATTTGCGAAATATAGCAAATATAGTAATTCTGGAAAGAGCTCTGTGATAGAGATATTCTTGCTCCCAGCGTTCAAGCTCCAGATATTCAACTTCTCCATTATATGTATGAATAACTGCTGTCTGGCTAATAGTGTAGTAGTCATTTTTGTTAATGCAGTCATAGCTTACAATTCTAAAAGTAAATCCATACATCACATTTAATAGCATATACAATAAATGAATCCACACAGCTGCCATGATATGAACAAGCTGGTAATTAATCAATCTATTTTCATGTCTGTTCTATACCTCTAAGAAACTAGAGTCTAATAAGAGCAATTTCCAGTACTGTCAGTTTCCTTATATAAAACTAAATTATTTGTCACTCCATTACACATATTCTGCAAGCAATCCATCTGTTAGCAGTAGGAGGTAGACTTCTGGTAATTAGCACAACTCCTTTGATAATGTCAAGACTTATTTCTAGCACTTCATGGGAAACTGGACACAATACATAGCTGTTCCAATTGTTGGAAGTCACAAACATTTTTCCCTGAAGTCTGTCAGCTATAGATAAAAGACTGCTAATTGCATTATTGTATTCATGCAGATGCCACATAAATGAGTGGTTCCTTTTCACTATGACAAATGGCAATACATACTGGTATCTGGTATGTTTACCTGTATGATGGTTGTCAGCAACTAGTCAATAGTGAAAGACAAATTATATCTTTACAACATTGTCTTTTTCCACGATTGGGTTGGGCATGTCCACTGTTGGATTCCTATATGTTTCACACTTCCAAATTTTAGTACAAGACCAACTATTAATATTAGAAGTAATGCCATCAAAATGTTCATTATGTGCATTCAGTATCACACCTAACAGAATACTAAATGAAGCAATGCAATGTAACCTAAGTTTTCTACTGCTTTGACTAATGACCTTAAGGGCACAATCCTCTGCAAATTTAGGCAGAAAAAGGCATAGCTGGGCTGGGGAGTTGTGAGCCTTTTTTCTGTGTAAAATTGCAGCAGATTCTGCCTTAAGAGTAGTAACCAGCCTCAAAAAGAGTTCACAATGATTTAGTGTAAAGTAGATCACTGTAAAACTTAAATAAATTATCTTACTTCAAGTTAAATGTATCATATTCAGTTGATGACCTGGGCACTGCAGGCGTCATATATAGGAAGCCAAGATTTTTGTTTTCACATATTATTCTTATGATTTGTAGAGGTTCAGTAATATTAGCTTTAATTACTTCTTCTGGTTCACGAAAAGTATGAAGAGGTGGAGTGGAGCTTGGCAGGCAAGCACTTGGCTTTATTGCACTACGTGGCTGTTTAGGAGGAGTGGGAAGTCTTATCTTAGCACTCAGAAACTGTAAAGATGAAGTCAAAGAAATTTATTTATCACTGCTCAGTTTAAAAGCATAGATTTATTTTGCTCAAGCGAGTCACTCATATTTTTGCGACATTTAAAAATCACAGAACCTTCTTACAAATTCATAATCAATATTATAATAAGGTAGAAATACCCACAAAGTGTATTTCAGTGAGGATTTGGTAATATTCCAATGGTTCTTTTATACATAGCACTCAGTAATAGTTTAGCACTATGTTCACTAGCAGTCATATGTTCTGAGCCAGTGCATTCCTTTTCTGGCATGACTATGAGGATATCAGAAACCTTCTCTTTCAGATTAAAGCCAATTGCAAGTTGAATTCCATGGCCTCCCAATATCATCATCTTAGGAGCCATAGGAGGGGTTAGATTCCTACCTGCAACCTTAAAAAAAACCCTCCAAGGCTGGAACAGGTACTTTAACTTCTGAAGACTCTTTCTTTGCCCTCATGGTTCTTCCCATGCTTGGCTGGGCTCTGAAGATGGAAGACCATCTTCAGAGCCAGCATGGTGTGGAAGCATTCTTGGAGGATGGAGTGGGGAGCAAGGTACTGCTATCCTCTGAAGAATTCCAGTAGTGCCTCAGCTCTTCCTCAAAAGGAAGGGAAAAAACATTTAGATAGCCAAAATCAGCTGCCTACATTTTTTGGAAGGTGACATGAGTACAGAGGCATTCCTAGCCCCTGCATTCCTCCCATGTGGAATTCAGTTCAGAGGTTCAGAGGCAGTCATTCTGGATGGCATCCTAAGTTTCTCATTACATGTCAACTGTAAAAACTCTGGCTTATGGTTCTGTCTTGTTTGGACAACGAATAAACTAATCAGAGATCTTTAGTTCAGATATAACAAAAAACTACAACTGGTTTAGACTGGAAATACATCTTTCTGAGTTCTTCCTTGAAACCTTGTAAGAAAAGAAGGAATGGAGCAGAATATTACACCAGAATATAGGTAATAGGCATCTACATGATTGGGGTGCTGGAAAGGAAAGCAAAGTCCAGATACAGGCTGAGGTCAGATACTGGCAGGGCAAAGCAGGGTCAAAGATGAAGGCATGGTCCAGAGGCAAGCAGAGGTCAGATGCTAGCAAGGCAAAGCAGAGTCAGGAGCAAGATGAGGTTAGGGAGGACAAGGAACTTGGCAGGGCAGAGCTGAACTGGAGGCAAGGGCAGATGCAGGAGCAGGTAGGAGTCAAAGCACAATTGGGGACAATGCAGGATTGGAAGCAGGCTCAGAAATACAACACAGCCACCACAAAAGCCTGAATTGCTGTGGCAAAACAGAGCAACATAGAAGCCTTTTCTAGAGACTTTCAGTGCTTCCACTTGTACTGCATGATTGTGCAAGGTCCAGTTCTTGCCAGCACCTACAAGTCTGCTCCTGGTCCTGCAGACACTTTGATGCACCATGCAAGTGAATTAATGATGGTGAATTGTGTTGCTTGTCACCAGGGCTTTGAATCCTGACACAGGCATGAACCAAGACATTTTGCTGCTTGACATGACAAACAAGACACCTGCCCCATTCTACATATGGGGAACACTGCAGAAATTGACAGCATTGGCAGTTGAATCTCACTTTACTTGAATCTTTACTTGTTTACTTCTGCTGTGAGGAGCAGGCTAGCTTAGTGAGATGCACATCGGCAGTGTTTTCCATCACTGCTCCATTACCGACTGGCTGATAAGACTGCCTCAGTCTGCCTAGTGGTACATTCAACCCTGAGAGTGGGGAAACATGGGAATTCAAGGCATCACTGCTAATGCAAATTAAATGCTAAATAACAATCAATGAGAAACCATTTTGTAGGTCTGTGAGAAATTCATTTGTGTGTTAATGATCTTAAAATCTTTATAGAATAAACACATTGTCCTTTGGAAAATGTTTTCAAAGGGCATAAATACAGAGGAAAAAATCCAGTATGCAGTGTATTCAAAGATGTTTAATATAGCAATATAAAAATACGAGAGAATTGGAAAAGAGAGAATTGCAGGCAACTTGGCCTGAAACCAAGTTAGGTGTTCTTAATGGATGAGAAATATTTATAGCATGTTTAGCAGTAGTCGTTGATGTGATAAGCAAGAACAACCAGACAGAAAAACCTCTATCTGACTGTTCTTACCTGAAGGGGAACATGCAGGGAAAAAAAGATGCAAGGACAGCCTAGTCCTACAAAGTTTTCTTATGCATCATCCTGTTCAGATAAGAGGAACAAGTAACTCCAGCTCAATGCAGAATTGAACATACATTGCACTAACTGTACTGGTTCCTCATACGCAAAACCATACTAAATACAGTAACACACAAAGGGATTCAGGATGATGACTGCTATGTAATCACACAATTTCACAATAGGCTAGCATGGGTGAGATAAGATTTCTATGCTGTGGACAATGCAGCATTAGCTCTTATGAAGATTCATTTAAAATGGCCATAAAGGTGCTGTGTAGCTGCTCCCAAACAAGGTTTTTTATGGCCATGAGAACTCAGACATCCATAATACAATTTCCTGTCCCATCTGAGAACAGCACATGAAATCTCCTAACCTGTCTTAACTCAAGCCCTGCTGATAGCCATTAGCTGGAGAGTGACAATCTGTAGTGAGGAGCCTGCTCTAATTGTGCAGACTCCCTGTTTTATTTAAAACTTTGGAAAAGTAGAATGCTAAGTATGCAGGGAGCCTACATGAGTAGAAAAAATCTCTCAGCTGAAGAAAGCTGCCCTCCAGGTAATGGAAAGTGACAGGGATGGTGACAGAGGGGGTGGGACTAACAAGAACTAACATGATTGTTCTTGCTTAGTCTCCACAATATGTTAATCACATGGAGAAACAAATTCCTGAGTAGGGTTATAGTCACCCAAGAATCACAAAATAAAACATAAATAGGATTTTCCAAACACCTACTAAAGACCATTCATATGGCCATAGACAGGAGTTTCAAATCTTTTTCAACCTCAAGGTGAACAAATGAGACAGGTGCCTAAATTACAACCTCTACCCATGTGGTAATAGCAGGCTGGGGTTTTTCTCTTTCATGTTGATAAAAACACTAGAACTATCTGTCCCAGGCTCTATAGAACACTCTCTAGAAACCTGTGTTTCAAGGTGTTATTAAATCCATCCAGAGAACTTTCAAATGTATGGAATATGGACAAATGTTTAACATGCATAGAATAGGTTTTCCTTTTAAAATAAAACTCATACTTGATGTTACGGATTCTCATAACTTTCATTTTTCTTTTAAAACCAGAATGTTGATAATTTTAAAGCACTTAAAATTATAGATGTTGGAGATATTCACAAAGGATTTCTATCCAGCAAACAGACTTTCCCTGTCTTACATGAATTCCACAGACCTTTGTTATAATAAAATTTTGCAGGGAATATACATGTTAACAAAAGTGCACATTTGCAAACAAACAAAAAATTCCTATCCCCCACCAAAAAAATCCAATTTTATCAGTGAGAGGGCAACAGAATAAAATATCCCTGACAATCTGTTGCACAGATGGGACAGATGGAACAAAATCTGTACATCTTTACTTTAAAAGTATCATGCTTCCAAACCATACATATGACTTGAAAGGGAAAGAAGCCTGAGTTAAATAACTTATGAAAAAATGGTTTATTATAGCTTGCTTTGTTATTTTTTATTTATTCATTGTAAACTGCCTTAAAATATTTCACTGAAGCACAAAATTAAACATTTTAAACTAAATCATACTATATAAAGACAGCCAATACCTGTCTTTCTCGTAATTCTTCATGGATCTCAGTTAATATTGGTTCCACAGAAACAGTCCATTTTCTTTTTTCTGCTGAAGTTTTAGGTTGCAATACTCCTGAAGCTATTAATTTCTCCCTGTTCTTATGGTATATATATTCAGGCTGCTTGTGGTGCTGGTATATTTTCAACGCAGGCTCAATTGAGGAGGAACAAAGACAATTTAAAATAAAATCATTTATGAAAATGACCAGTTCTAAACAAGTTAAATGAAGAAATATAATTTATTAATTCATTTTGATACCACACAGTAATCAAGGCTCACTCTCTGAATTAGGCCAATTCAGATGTATTGAGTGAAGGGATTGAGTGGGATGCATGTGATCCTGAAATCTATTCCATCCTTATTAAAGTAGTAAAAGAATTATATTTGTACCAGCCCAATGTTTCAACTAGGAGTTAAACAAGAACATGGCAGTTTGCCCTTCATATGAAAATCTGGATAATAATCTTGTGATAACTCATAAACCCTTGACAGAGTTCATTAGGGACAGGGTGTTTCAATCCTCTCAGACAGCAGTTGGGAATGTAACGTAGTATTGCCACTTCACATTTGTAAATTTCAGCTTCAAGTTATAGCTAATATTCTGTTATTTCTGTTGCATATATGTACTTTCTTTTTAGCGGATGGAAAAAAATAGGCACATGGAGGGTAGATGTGCAGGATTCCCAGTCCTGTAGAGCACTGTCTCTGTGGTTATACGCCAGCCAGATGTGGTTATATGCCTCTTTATAACTTCCCTGTCAACACAGGGTGGGGGTAGCACACATGATCCTATTAACTCTTCACATGTACGTTTTTGCAATGTATGAAGAGAGTTCGTCTTTACTGTTTTGTTCATTTAATAACATAAATAAAGATGGGGCAAGGATTCAAAACCTGTGCATTCCATCATACTCCTCATGATTTGTTTTTGTTTTTTTACTTTTTAAAAACTTGCCTGGAAAGCTTAAAGTTAGTAAAGGCATTTTCCCTCCTGTTGAAGAGAATGGGAGAGGAATTTGGAACTGCCAACGGAAAGGAAGAGGGTAAATTCTCCTCTCCCCAAGACCTGACCTGACTGATGCGAACTCTCCCATTTGCCTGGAGGTGAGTCTCAGTGAAGTGAGCAGATCTTGCTGACTTCTCAGTAGATCTGCAGGGATTGTATTGCTAGTTAGAGTCAACTCATTTCTCCCCCTGACCAAAACTTTTCCATGATCTGTTAATACTGAATTACATAACATATCTACAAGGTTACAGATGTTAGGCTACTGCAGTACAGAAAAAGCAACAAAGACTTAAAGTTATTCAGATGTAAGTGCTATAGACATTGTCAAAAAATTTTTTTAGTCTTTAAAGAGCCACATAAGAGTTTCAGATCATATTACTGCTCATGCAAAACTGTATGGATCATGTAATAGCTAATTTGTAATAAGCTAAATAAGGCAGTAAATTACATTGATTAGGAGAGACAGAGCATCACTGAAATATATTTGCTCATAAAAAGAGAAAAGTATGCAGCACCCCATCTCTTTCAGATTATCAAGCGCTAATGTCACATTATTTTTTTAATCCTTGTACTCCACATCTGAAACATAATTAACAATTAAACTTAGTTGCTGTCCTATATGCAGTTGGCCAGCTGTAAATGCTAGAATGAATGGGGATTTCACATCAGTTACTGCAGACAGACTGCAATCAGAATAAACACTAAGAGCTAACAATTATTTAAATGAATTTTACAGGAATTCGGGATACAAAAATAAAACTCAGCCTTAGAGAATAGGCTCTATAATTTAGGCAGCTTACCAAAGGCTCCAATTTTATGGGCTGCTGTTGTTTTCTTGTTCTTTCCTGTGATTTTGTGTTATGCTCAAATTTCAGAGCTGTTGGATTTGCTGGCATCTGTTTTGGAGCCATGCTAATCAGTCTCTTCCTTAATTCATTTCTTGAAAGAGTATTTTTCCCACCTGAAGGCGAGCCCTCACCATTTAAACTACTTTCCTCACTTTGGCCAGTTGTACTATCCGACGATTGTGGAGTAAGTTGGATAGCAGGCAAAGCCACCCTTTTAGACATAACTGCCTGAAAACGAAACACATATCACCTCTGAAGACTAATATCATGGGACTGCTTCATAAGTATTAACCCACAATCAAAGATTCTGCACAAAGATTCTGCAAAATCCAATAGTAAGAAGGGGGAAAGACGCCACAGGAAAATGAGTTCCCATGAAACTATGCTAGCCTAGCCAAGTCCAACTAATCAGCACTGCATCGCTGAGGTCCCGGGGAACATCCTTAAAAAGCCAAAGAAAGCTCTTGCAACTCAGAATGTCGCCCTGCTATTACTCATATTTTAAAAATAAAATAAAAAGGGTGGGTGAGATACGCAGGATCACTTCTTTGAGAAACTCACGATTTCCTCTCAGAAGCGACAACTTCTGCCTTCCCACAGGAGTCCTCCCGTTGCCAAGCAACCTCCCCCTCCCCGCAGCCCTATCCCATGATTCCCCTGGCGGGACGCGAGGGCAGGACGCGCTTGCCAGTCGCTCCATGGTTACTGGGAGCAGCAGCTCGCGCGCCTCTTTGGCACAAGCCAATAGTAACGTCGAGTCCCGCGGAGCGGCGAGCGCGAGATGGGCTCGCGCCGAGGGTTGGGCCCGCCCGGCTCATTCCCACCACCCACCTTGGCAACTCGGTCAGGGAGTCCTCGCGAGCTCAAGCCCCGCGCCCGCAGCTGATGCATTGTATTATTCTAAACGAGTCCTGAATAGTGACTGTCTCGCGGGACAGTCAGCTTTTACATTGCCGCAGCACGCTGGAGAGTTCAGCGTGCTTGCAAGAACCCTGCACAAGTAATCACACCCGTGTTGCACGCGCAGGAGAATGGGGGGAAGGCGCTGATGCCGAGGGAAGCGGCTTGCCTACGATAAGGGTTCCTGGTTTCGTTGGCACAGGCGCAACCTCCGCACTACACGAGCTCTCTGCAGAGGATTTTACTTTCTGTAGCACCCAGCTATACCCTTAGAGGCCGGCCTGATTTGTGTCAGGTTTATATTGCCTGCTTCTGTGTCCAAGGGCAACGTGCTATTCTCCCACACCGATCCTAAATCACTTGGGCGACATCTAGTGTCAGGTCAATGGCACACCGTCAAAAGTGCTTTCGTGTTTTGATTTGGTCCAGCTCCCAGACCCCAGAACGGATTTTGATGACATGTTTATGTTGAAAAAGGTACCGTCATTTCCCATAATTTGATCATCTGAGTGGGAAGGTGTAAACTGATGTCCTGCAATAGCAGGGGATTGGAGCTGATGGCCTTCTTGGCCCCTTCCTACTCTACTATTCTGTGATTCTGTAACACCTCTTAGAAAGGTGAAGCCTAGAAGGTGTGAATAAGAGAGTGCATATGAGTTATTAATGAATTCAGGAAAGCTAGTATCCAATTATTACACTGAAACACACCACAGACAGGTTTTACCTAGCAGCTCAGAATTGCACAATGTAATGTGACTGGAAGTTGTTCCCAAACTGGAATGCATCTTAACCACACCACATATGCCCAAAAATATCAGATACTTTATTTACAATCAGTCCAAAAACTCACAGTACCAACTTCATTAATTTCATTCCACCGTCCTCTAGAATACTTAAGTGTGCAGTTCTGTGCACATTTAGAAAGAAGAAAAGTCCTTCTTTCAGACAGCATGGCTGTTCTAGCTTGCTGGGAGTTGTAGGACTTCCTTCTGTCAGAATATGCAATAGGATTACGCTTCCATCAAGATAATTTTTACACAGGTAGAGATCAAGAATACCTCAAGAGTTACTTTTTAACCAGCCTGACTGCACTTACTGTAAAGCTATTATTTTACCATGAGTGTTACAGCTGCCATCCAATTAAAGAAAATTTAGAGTGCTATACTAAGCATGTTTAAATGGAAAAAGCTCTCCAAAGCCTAACAGGCCCTGGCTAGCATAGGTGGCAGTAGCATGCTGAGAGTTGTAGGGCTCTTTTCTGTTTCAATGTTCATTGGACTATGCTCTTAATTAATGAACTGGCCTTGACTCACTCATTGATTCAGGTTGCTTAAGTGTCCATACAGTATGGATAAAATCATCCCACAATAACATTCTAAATAACACTCTCATTCTAAATAACACTCCTCCTCCTCCTCCTCATCATCATCATCATCCCACAAGAAAAACATTTTAAAGGGGAAAAAGTGTTGTTGTTTTTTAATTTTAGACCCTGTGTACAATACTGGGAGAAGCATTCTGTACTTTGTGAGATAAGAATGTCATTTCTAAAGTGATACCTCTATCTGCTGTTTTTACCAGCACTTGTATTAAAAATAACTAACATTAAAAGAAAATCTGTTTCCCGATTCATCAGAGGCGCTTTTTGAACTGATCAATCTGGTTGATAGGACTGTAGGATTTAGTGAAATTAAAACTAGTACATTATGGAAACATCAATTTATATGACAATTTGGCAGGATGAGTGCCAGGATTTTGGTGTCCTTGTGTCACTCTGTCACTATGACCTCCCGCAACAGTGGAGGGGAGGGGGAATGGATGAAGTTTACCATACAAAGTTGCATCAATGCACATAGTGCTTTTACAGAGCCTAGGAGCATGTAGAAGAAAATGACTGCAGTAGAAGATGACCAGAGCACAGACTAGAGTCTTTATCACAGGGACAAAAAGGAAGAGCCACAGTTTTGCAAAGCTGTAAAGGGGGAAGTAAGAGGTTGGACACCTGACAAAAGCGAAATGAGTGAAATACACAGGTGCAGCTATGTTCAACAAGGTGGATGGTAACAATGCAGAAGGAAAGCAGGAGGAGAGGAGGGCTTGGAAGGACAGACAAGAAGTCCAGTATTCCAGAATTCTTTACTGACATTATACAAACAAGCAAACTACAAGAAAAATATATATTCCACCAATCCATGATTAGTTTAACAACTTCACCATTGCCCACATAATTTTTATCCAAGTACAGCATTGTTCTCTTCCTAATTTCCTGGAATGCCTACATCACATTAAATGTTTATGCTTTGCACAATAATTAAAAAATTAAAACCACACTTGATTCCCAGGTATGCTCTCTATTGTACGTACAACACAAATTGTAAGTACAAAACAATGGTTAGTGCCAAGTCCATGCAGGGTCTTCCTTTGAAGGCTTTGTTCTGCTTCTTCCAAAATCCTGGATGCTTGCAGCCTTTGCCTTCTGGAGCCCTGCTTGGGAATCTTCTAGACCCAGTCATGAGGTTTGGAACTAGTTAGTTGCAGGCACTTTTGTGTCAGTGTTACCTGAATGAGCCTCAAACCTAGAAACTCCACGAAGTGTATTGCAGCTTTTCAGAGTACTTGTCCTTTACCAGCTGCAACCATCTAAGGAAAACGGTGACCTCTTGAAGGCATGATCATAGACATACTTCAACACCTCTTGTTTAAAAATTCATAACTTAATTTGCTTAAACAATAAAAATAGACTCTCATGAAGAAGAATTTCATGAGAGCCGGTATGATGTAGTGCTTAAGAGTGTGGGACTGGGACTCAGGCAATCTGGGTTGTAGTCCCTGCTTGGCCATGGAGCCAATGGGGTAACTTTGGGCCAGTCACAGACTCTCAGCCCAACCTACCTCACAGGGTTGTTGTGGTAAGAAGAGAGAGAGCAGCAGCAGTACAATGATGTAAGCTGCTTTGAATTTGTTAGAAGAAAAAAGTGGTGTATAAATCTAACAAGATGTATCCTTTTATAATCTAGGAATAAAAATGAAAAGCGTGTGCAATATTTCCAAACTGTTTAGGCTGAACATTTTCTGCCTAGCTTACTTGGGAAAATGAGCAACTTTAACACAGCCTTCCCCAACACGATGCAGTTTGGTCTATAGTTCATAGGATTCTGTGACAGTCAGCCATAATGGCTAAAGTCCAAAGCATCCAGAAGGTAGCATGCTACAGAAGGCTTTGTTAACAGGTACTGGCCTACATCAATCTGGAAGTGTGTATGTGTTTGTATGTGCAATACTAACTCCGTTCAAACTGAGACCTTTATTAGTAATTAGGAATAGCCATCAAGTTTGTCATACTGGTATTTTGAGACTGTCCACAGAAGGAGGATTTAAAAAATGTAAATGAATTTGCACTTGTATAACCACTGTACTTACCTAAGATCGTTGAAGAAGGAATTTACTTGTCTGAGAAGTGCAGGACCCCTGACTTCCTTCGCATCTGGTCACCGTAAGCAATCCTTATCTCACATCTTTTTCCATCTTCTTGTTTGGCATTTGATATTGTTCAGTCTTTTTGGTCCAATAAAGAATATAAATTCTGCATTTTTCTTTTCCCTCTAGAATCAAACCACTGGAAAAATGTATCATCTAAAGCACATGCCAGAGCTGTCATCAGCATTATTGTTACACATTCCTGACTGCGTCACCATATTATAAATAGCTGATCAAAAGTGACCATAATAGCCCATGGAACTTTACAAGCATGTGTACCTCACCCCCGAAAGCAGCTGTGCTTAGATTCTACATGGAAGAAAATGGAGCAGTCATAAGACTCAGTATCAAAACTGAAATTTAGTACTCTGAATGTATCGGCCTGCACCCACACCGTTCTTTACCTACACACAAACAGTACCAAAAGAGAAAAAAGGGGGGGAAAGTAACAAATCTACTGTTGATTCACACTTCTTACCGTTTGCTGCTCTTGCCCTCTTTGATGTTTTGAGTCACTCTGACACTGCAAACATAATACAACACCGTAACATTAACCACAATACGAGCAGTTTTGAAAGGACTGCTGCCTAGCACTTGGTTCCATTTCATTTTGGGTCCCCATTTGAGGGATCTGGAATCTGTTGCAATAAGAGAGGGAAAATAACAGAGGAATGGTAGAAAGGGAAGCATGCAGATAGATCTTTGTCATGAGTGCTCTCCTGTAATTCATTTAGATATGGAGTGTCTTGGGCTTTCTTGGTATCTCCCCCTCTTTTTCCAGGTATGTAGCACTGCCACCAGGAATTTTATTCCAATCCTGATAATTAACCTTTCCCTCAATATTGTGCCCAAGCTATAAGGCTCCTTTGTTGGACTACGTGGTCCTGAGGATGAGACACTGGCATTCAAACAACCTATGACTCTGGGTTAACAATAAACAAATCAAAGCTGTATTTGTACAAGAAATTTGCATTTGTATTGGTTTCAAGATCTCCAGTAACCTATTTCCTTAAGGAATAAAACAATGTATAATAACAACTGACTGAGGAATGTTTCCCTTCATAGTCACTCCTCACTCTCAAATCCTCCTTTCTCTCTTGAATATACTTTGACTAGTCTTAATTGTATTTATCTCGGTTTAACCTTTCCCTTCTGCACACAGGTTTCTGTCATCTTCTCTCTCTCATGCCCCTGTAATACTTGACAACATTAGGTTTTGACTCTCCCTAGTCGCTAATATGTCCACCGAGTATTCTCCCTCCTTCCCTTTCCCTTTGACTCTTAAATGACTTCCACAGCACCATGTGGGATTCTAAAGGGAAGGCTGCCTATTCAGAGTCTGCAGATTTGCTCACTGACCTCAACTCTTGACCATTCAGTGCTAAATGACCAACAGTATCTATTTTCTCCCTTCACACACTTCCAAGCTCCGCCCACAGTCAGTCACCAGCCAATCACCTCACTCACTCATCCCCCTCTTCCCTCCCCCTTGCTCTTCTGAAATATTTAAAGGGACACACACCATTTTGAATCATAACAATCCTCCTAAAGTTTTTATGGCTTGTATTAACACCGTTCCCTCTCTGAAATTGACAAATATAGAGAAAACTGCAGAGAACTTAATCCCGAAGAACAAAATATAAAAGCCTTGACATCAGTAGAACAAAACATGCAAACCAATGCTGGTGATCTGCAAATTAAGTTGGTAGAAAACATCTCTCAATAATTAGTTCTAAATTTCTCTCTCTGTGTGTTAACTTTTGCTAACCACCCAGAGAACCTTGGCTATTGGATGGTATAAAAAATGAAACATAAATGTTTAAATATTAGGGTTCTCACTCACTTCCATCAGTCCTTATCCACGAGACAAAGAATTCTGGAGCAATAGAAACTACAAGTAGGTTAATTTTAGAAGAGTGAGTTTGGGAACTGGCTGGTTATATTGTGCATCCCTTCGAAGCCCTTTCACTCCCAAGGGCCACATGTGGCATGAGTGGTCATGGGGGCTGGAGGTTCACTGCACACATATCCCAGTGATCCTGCTATGGATCCCTTTCCTCACTGCTAGCAGTAGCAACAGGGAATGAAAAACCTGGATGAATAAAACCTTTTTAAGCGGCATTTTAAAATTAATAGTTTTTAATTGTTTAGTCACTCATTTTGTTTTGTGATTTACTGTTTATTTATACATTGGTTTGTTTTTAATTCATTTATTGGAAATTGTTGTCTTTTAAATTGTCCTTTTAAAGCATTGTAAGCCATCCTGAGATTTCTATATAATCAGATGGCATATAAAAGCTTTTGATAAATAATAATAAATAATAAATGATGAAACTGGTAGGGAGAGCACAGCTGTTGGGGTTGTGTACCCCTGCTCTATAGGAAAATTAGTTGCTAAGGCCTTGTGTGTGTTCTTTGTGCAACGCCTGACCAATTTAAGAACATGAACAGGTAAATGTTTCCACACAATGTTTCTGTTATGGAAAACCCATAATTAGGGCTTAAAGGCAACAGCCCTTTGCTGCTTTTGGTGTCCAGCAGCTGATATTTCATGATATGCTGTCTCTGAACCTGGAGGTTCTTCACTGCCTCATGAATAATACGATCTTCCTTCATATTATCCTCATTTAATGTCATGTGAGAGCTTGCTGGGGCATGCTGAGAAATGTAGGACCTTCTTCTGTCTATGCTTGCTTGGAATTGCACTAGTCATCTTCGAATCCCTCATCACTTGTCTTTTCTGTTATCTCTTTTCAACTCACTATCATAACTTTTGAGATCAGTTGAGAAGTTGAGTACAAGTTTGCAAATGTGACTGTACCGTAGATTTGCATAAAACACAACATTGTTTTATTTTCAAGCCCTTTCCTTATGATGCTTAACACAGAAACTACCTTTTTCACCAGTAACAGAGACTCACTCAAATGTTTTACTGAGTTAGCCATTAAAACACCAGTATCTCTTTCCTAATTATACTCTGCCAATTCAAGTACATGTGAGGATTGTGTGTGTTCAATCTCATTTGCCAGTTTGTTGCCAATAACCCAGTTGGAGCAATTCTTTTGCACTGCCGGACAGGAAGCTTGGGATTCCACCCCATTGACTTTTCTTTCTTTCCCGAAAGCTGAAGTGACAGCATTCTGCAAAATTGGACTGTGTGTTAACATGCTTTTCTATCATAGCAAATCAGCCAATGTGTGGCAAAGGCTACTCCACAAAAAATGTAACCCAATAGCCGGGTTCGCACATCATGAGAAGCCACGGTGATTTCTTACCCTCGATAATCTGTTGTATCATCCAGACCTAGTTGTGGCATTTCTGCACGATACCTTTGATTTCGGAAAGAGAATCAGCAGTCTGTCTTAAGGTTTCAACAGCACGTCACTGCAGCTTCTTCATTTGCTCCATTTCATAATTGTTGGTATGGAAATATCAGAGTCCCATGGAAAGAGCAGCCACAGAAATGGCTGCTCAGCCGCACAATTTCTATTACCCTGAACTCCCTAGCAACACATGCATCATCACCGGCTTTATTCCTGTTGGCAGAGGAAAGGCTAGGAAGTGTTGCAGAAAGGCAGGTACACTCAAGAGGGGGAAGGAGGGACAAAAGCTCAAAAGCTCTGTGGATCCATCAGAAGGCGCAACAGATTAAGCAAGGAAACTTCGTATGTGGGGGCTGCTGGAATACATGGCAAGAGCAGATGGATTGAGCAGGGAGCATGGAAACCGTATCGCACATTGCAATTGTCCAACCAGTAAGTTCAGGCAAAAGTCAGCATGCCGTGAAAACTGCTTGGGGTTCTTTGTTGAGATGTGTGAACCAAGTTAAAATGGAATAGCAGCTGCTATCCATCATTTCTATGCTTGAAATTGCTATTGTAGTAGATTGAAATCCCAGCCTCAAGCACTGGGTAGGCATTGAAGAATGGCAGAGGTGAGCATTTAACCATCTTGATTCTGAGCTGCTACATGGCTTCTGTCCAGGCTTCTCTCATGATGTTTGAAAAAACTATAATGGAAAGTTATTGATACTGGGTGTCTAGTCCAGGAACACTAGCACCATGCTTATGTGAGCGTCACCATCTGCAGGGAAGGATCTAGCAGTCCTTTTGAAGGGCATGGAGTATGGAGCACTTCTTTATTCAGAACGGTTCCAATGATACCTTACAGTAGTGTACAAGTTGTGCTGGAGAGCAGAACAAATTTTGAACTGGTAAATGCACCAATGTTTAGGAGATGTAACTTTTCCAAGAATGCTGGGGTGGAAGGTGTCACCTCCTAAAGTGGGTGAGGAACAGAGAGAGAAAGGGAAGCTGGCTACTGTTAAATGCACCTGAACAGAGCCAAGATGACTGTGTGAATCTGCTAGAGACTGCTTCATTTGAGGGAGTAGAACTGCCACTGAAATCAGCTTTCATTTGAAATTGAAAAAGTTGCAGTTGCCTTTTTTAGTGCACAAAGTTTGGCTGGACAACAGAAACAAGACATGTGGAAACAACAAGCAAACCTCAAAACAAATTGTATTCAAGTCAGTTTCATTGAGCTAAATAACAGCTATGTTACATATACATCTCCCAAAATCATTATGGGATAACATGAAATAATTCTTCTGCAAGAGAAGGATAAATAATGGCTTTCATTAAAAGTATATTCTCCTGTATTGGGCATGGTCAAACCAGTTAATCATGTTAATGGTCCAGATTCAGGAAAAGGATGAAGAAAGAAAGAAAAATCCATACAGATGATCTCCCATTCAGAAGAGTAGTTCTTTTCTCATTTAGCCCCAGATACTTTATTTGAAAAGGGTATGCAGTTCTGTGTGGGAGATTCACACCAGCAACAACACTGCAGGCAAAACCAAAGTCAATGTCAATGTGTAGAAGAACAGCAATCGCCCACTGGAGCAACTTGTGTCTGTCTGGATGTGACTGCTTCGCCCATGTCCTCGTGGCTGGGGCTCTACAGTAATATAGCCATTGATTATGCGGATCCGAGGAGGTGGATCAGTGGTACTGCAAGGCAAGAAAAAGAAGAATTCTGATCAGAGGTTATTCACCAGAAGAGTGGAATTCACCCTTGTTATCTGCTTGCACCTGCTACCGTAAGGCAGAATTACTTGGGGCATGTTGCAAGAAGCACAAGACTTCCACCAAATGACAAACTGGCACACTGAGAGTTCAGTTCCTTCCTCTCTAAAACTTTTAGTAAAAATTACATAGCAAAATAGAGTACAGTAATTTAGTATAGTAAATAAAAAGTATAGCAAGCTACAGGCAGTCCCCAAGTTACAAATGAGTTCCATTTTTGTGAAAACAGAAATTTGTCTTTAAGGCGAATTAGTATGTAAGTTGGATCGTGTATAGTTGGCCCTCCACATTTGCAGGGTTTGGGGGTGTAGTACCTGGGTGAAAGTGGGAAAATGAAAATATTCCCCTCCCATCCAAACTCACTAGTGCCTCATCTTTGAAGCAAGGAAATGCCAGAGAGCATTCCCTAGCCAGATGAGCAGAGCCAAAAGCATGCTTTGGAAGCCTGCCTCTCTATCCTTTCACTTCCTCTCTCTCTATGGTGATGATGATTTTCCACAGTAATTTTTTTTAAATTAATGGGCTTTATGGTAGTTTGTTCATAATTTGGATGTTCATGACTCAGGGACAGCTGTATATTGTATAGTAAGTTAAAGTTATGGTAAAATATAATTATACCCTCTCTGCTGATGCCACCATCCCTTCAGTAGCTGGTGATGCAGAGCAAGGGGCAAAAAGGTGGCAAAGGCACGAGGAAGCTTTAACTACACTTTATGGGAAGACAGGACTTGACATGGAGCTTGATATGGGCATTTCTATGGGTCTGAAAATAGGAAGTCTCATCTGGATAATGTCCTGAGGAGGGGTCGTCCATGCTGTGAAAATGCAGCAGGTACCATAAACATGGACCAGAGAAGCTCCCAGTAGGGTGTGGGTTTTTCATATTTTTTGGTTTATCTTGACAGCTGTCAATTCAAAGCAAAGATCATAGTGTTCTTTGTGTGTAAAAAGCAGGTGGAGAAATTCATCCCTGCGTCACACTGGAAGCATCGTGTGTGTGTGTGTGTGTGTGAGAGAGAGAGAGAGAGAGAGAGGGGGGGGGGGTCCCAGTGCCCCCAACTTTTCCTTCCACTTACAGATGGAAAAGTACAGCTCACTGCATTTTACTGGAGCACAGAAGTTTGATGTCAGGACAAAGCAATATTAAATAAACAGACTTATCCAATGGATTGGGAGGATGGCTGGGTCAATGGCTGGCACCTGCTACATTTCTGAAAGTGGGTAACCTGCCAGAACATGGACAGCTAAGTCTATGTTCATATTCATGGAAATGTGCATGGAAATAGGAGGTTCTGGAGCAAACACACACACACACACAGAACACCAGTTGTGCTCATTTCAGGGGCAAATAAATAAAATTTAAAAAGAGGTGGTAAACCACTGGCAACCCTTCCCGTGTGTCTCTTGGGCACTTCAGAGGAGCTGGCAGCAGCTATCAAAAAGAAGATTGTGAAAAGCAATCTCCGGGAAAACAAATGTAAAAGAGGGGAAAAGCCACAGCAAGATAAAATGGCTTCGTCTTGTGGCAAAGAGAGCCACTCTGAGCCCAAAGTCCCTGCTGGTTGGCAGGCCAGAGGAAATAATGGCACAATTATCTACAGTGTCCCAAATTTCTGTCAGGTGCACCATGGGTTGTTCCCACAAAAATCAACTCACCATGGTTTGTTGCCAAGGTACATTAGTGTGACGTAAGAACCCACGTGGTGCCTAGTTGTTACTAAAAGGATGCACCTGATAGAACGCTGCTTATCATACAACATTTGAACCCACCAGAGGCCTGCGGAAGGTTGAAGGAGAATCTGGCATGCAGCCTTAGCCTCAATACACAAGAGCACTGCTGCTCTCTTCCACCAACTCATTACCTTTCCTCGATGCGTACCCAAAGGTCATTGAACTGACGCAAGCGCTGCTTCTTCTGCTGCTTCTTTTTCTTCTTCTTATATTTCTTGTCAACTTTCTCTAGCAAGTCGATGCTTTCTGGCAGCAGCAGGTGGGGTAGCAACTCCTCTTCCTCTTCTTCCTCTTTCTGTGGATGTTGCTGGGGAGAGTGGAGCTCCTGGGAGATGATGTAAGAGGTATATTCGGGGGAAGATGAAGAGAGGGCAGACAGCACCTTCTGATTCTTCCCACTACAAACAGAAAAATGAAATGCCGCAGAAAGCAGTTTGAGGGATGATAGCAGGTGGGTGACTTCAAAGAACAATCCTGAATGAGGAGACCATGCTTTTCAGCCTGTTTACTTACAAGCATCATGCCTCCCTGAAAATGCCAGAACTGCTCAACAACAGGACAATTTCACCATTCCCTTTCCCTTTTCTAAAGCTAGCATTCTTCCAGCTCTAACAATGTCTAAAGAGAAAGTGCATAAAGGAGGGTATGTATTCAGGGGAGGCCCGATTCTAAAAAACACAGTATGTGAACTTAATATTGTGGGCCAAAAAATGTCTTTTTCTTGAAACAATGTTTCCTTTACAAAGATGGGAAAAATTTAATTTCAGCTGAATTGAATGGATTATGCGGATAGTAAGCACTTCTCGGGATCCTTTGCTAAATTACATTTTTAAGAATGCAAAGACCCCATAGCAAGAAGAAACAATTCCTTAAACTTTCAGCTTAACCCTTTTGGAGTTTATTGCTTAACCTTGTGGCCTTGAGGATTTGACACTTGATTCCAGACACATTAGGCTTGTTACATTTCATCCTGCAGACATTGACCTGGTTCACACAACACAGCAGGATTATCATGGTTTATTTAATACATGGCACATGCTAGGTTGCCCTTTTGAATATTAAACTTTCAACTGGGTTGATGGGGGTTGTGGTGTGTTGTGCAAACTGGCCAACACGGGCTATTTGAGGGTTAAACAATGATAGGATTATGTGAAGATTATCTAACAACTGGTTGCTTTCTGTGTCCCCAGTGGAAGTGAACTGGGTCCAAACTTTTCAAACTGCATCTCATGCCAAAGACTGCTCCTCTGCATAACTGTGGCAAGAGGTCTGTGAGCATGTCAACTATTTTTTTTAAAAAAATGCATGTCTCTTGGGAGCTTAAAGAACCTTTCACAGAAAAGTCTGCTTGCTGCGTCTCTCTGTGCATTGTTCTCAACTCTGGCCTTGCTTTCCTCTAATCAGACTCTGCTGGGTACTGGTTGTTCTGCCATGTCTTTGCATGCTGAGTCAAACCGAGTCACTCCCAATACAGAGTCACAACAGAATCATCTACTGTTTAAAGCACGTGCTTTGTGCTATGTGAATGAAGTGCACCTCCAGTTACTATTTCTAACGACAACTTGTTCATCAGAAACACTGCTCTGATGCAAAGCTAGATCCCCCGTTCACAGGAATGCACTGGAAAGAGCAGCTTGGGAAAATCTTCTTTTTAATGAACCCAGAGATACAGAAAGACATCCAAGACTGGCTCAACTAATCGGGATTATGTGATTTACAGCATACACCCTCACCACGCAATCATTTAAATACAGATAGCACCAGGGGAGGGGACAAAAATCACACCTTGAACCTTCCAAAATAGTGCTTTCCAAAGTAGAAGAAAGTATCTGCAGAACAGTGAATGCTGCTTTTCTCCTTTTTAACCCTGCTGTATCTGATCTCATGAAAGGGAGTTTCTGAAAGATTGATGAAAGACAGGGAAATCTGGGGTGGAACACCAGAGTGCCATAAAAGGTGGACTCAGGAGTAACCCTGAATTTTTTTTCCTAAAAAAGAACACAAAGGAGAGAATACCTTGGCTGGTACAAAAAATGTAAGCAGAAAAACAAAAATGCCAAGGCCACTTTGGCCATTAATTTTCACAAAAACAGGGAGCAGGAGATAAAAGAATATCATCTTTTATCATCTCTAATCAAACTGAGTCAAAGGGTGTCAAATCTCCCTTTACTTTAAGAGTTGCACAGCTATAAGGAAGCTCCCTTGTCAACTGACAGTGAAATGCGATGAACAATCAGCAAAGGGAACTATTTGATTCAGTAATGCTGAGTGTTAATTATTTTAAAAGCTTTTTGCCTTCTTGGGTTTCTAGATAAGATTCCAAATATGCCCCTTTTCTCTGAGTGGTAGCTTTTGTTAAAGTTACCTACTCTTCCGTTACCTCAAGAACTCACCTGCTTTGAACTTGGGCTATACAGTACTAAAGTTTAATTAATTGGTTAGTAATCAATTAAACATTTTCAATTGACAATAGCCCTGCTGCACAGAAAATCAAGATCAGGAAAATGCATGAAAAATCCCATACACTGGAGCACCCCCTGCAATGTAAGTTTCAAGAATCAGGGTTCCAAATCTACTGTAAATTCAAGCTGTTCCACAAAGATGCAAAATACCATTTTCGTCTGGGTGATCAATGCATTCCTCTATGCCAGCCTTCCCCAAACTGGTGCCCTCCACATTTGCTGGCTGGACTGCCACTTCTCACTAACATTCACAGTATAACACATCCGTTCAAGGATTCTCTATGCTGACTTTTATGTTTATTTTGTATCTTCATGATAAACAGGAACAAAGTCACCACTGTGAGAGTCTCAGCTTTTAAACAACTGAACTCCCTCCTCAAATTTCTCGCCCTTACTTTCCAGCTTCAAATCATCCAGGGCTCTAGTGCCCTTGACAGCTGTAGCTCACCTACTCCCGGTTATCCTTCTTCCATCACCCCAGTGCTTGCCTCCAACTTCCAGATTTCTGTTGAATCTTCAGGCTAATTTACGCACGATTTATGTAATGCCACGTGAAGCACAAATAGGCCACCATGCACAAATAGGCCACCATGCATACAGTGACACAGAAATTCCTTGTATTAACTCAAATAAAACGTTTACAGTGAAATGTTGCTCACACATTGCCATGTGTACTGATCTAGTTACTTCACCACTGAGCAGAAGCAGATGGGAACATCTCTACCATTTAGCCCAGCTGCAAAATAACGTATATTTAAAATGAACTACCCTTCATATTTAAATTAATAAAACCGCATAAATCCAATGTAAAACTCATACAATTACAAATTGAGAGGCAAAAGCTGCCTGGCAAAACAAGGTCTTCTTGTGATAGATTTATGGAGCATTTCAGTCTGTAAATCTATATCCCGTCTCTGTTTCATGAATGAACTCAAGGCAGTGTGCATGGTCCTCCAACCAGACACTGAACAAGTCCAGATCTGCTTATCTTCAGTTGATTCGTGTGCTCTCTGACCATGCTTTGGGACCAGGACATGGTTATCTCCACGGAGTACTGTCTATGGATGTTCCACCCCTTCTAGGTGCAACGGGCTGAAACTGAAGATGCGTATATTACCTGCTGATGGCTTGTCCAGCAGAAGTATGATATACTTCATAGCCTTCTCTCCTCAAAACCTCTATCACTGTATTGTTGCCCATGAAATGACCTGTAGCCAAGAAAAAAATAACCCCCCAGACATTTGTGAAAAATGCACTTGAATAACCATATTCTAAAATGTCCAGAATAGATGGTCACACAAAATGTTTGACTGCAGCTGCACTGACTTGTTCCAAAACGAAGCTAACACCATAGAACGATGCAACAGATCACACCAAGCTGAACATAAGCGTCATTGGACTACTATAGATGAGTGTGCAGTTAGTATGACATGCCACTCGCTACACTGTGAGTTAACTAGATGCACATTACTGTATCCTGAGCCATCTTTCAGATTTCTCATGGCATCTCTTTCGGAAAAAGACAGCACTGGTTTCCAATCTGTGCGGGTTCTCCCAAAGCAAGGCACAGCAGAGAAGCTCCCTTGAAAGACAGCTTGCCTACCACTAGCAGCTTTGCCCTGCAAGCCACCTGTGTGTGTGTCCTGTAACCTCCACTCACTCCCTCTGCCATCTGTGGAGAAGCAGTCCGATTAGGTTGATCGAGACAGAAAAGGTATGTTGGGAAAAGAATTAAGCAGTCTTTGGGTGTTTCAACATGAGGCTTCTTCTGTCTTCTATGTAGTAGACTATCCTTCTCACACACCCCGGCACCACCCTGGGTTCTGCTGTCCTGCTATGTGTTCCAACACACAACACAAAGTGGTGCTGTGGTTTAGAGCAGCGCTGCAAAATTACACCTATGATGCCATCTAGGAAAATAGAATTTCCTTGCTCTAAAAAAAAAAGCCATGAAAATGGCTGGAAAACTCAGGAGAGTCGCTGGAAAGTGACAACGGCATAAAAAGGCCCCACGAGCTTCCATGAGGGAGGGATCACACAGGCACAATAAAAGCCTTGTGGGGAGAAGCACTCTCTCTCCCTGCATTCTCCTTTGCTAAGGCAGCTTCAGGTTAATGCACACAAGTAGAAGAAAAAGTAACACTTCCCCTACTGTGTAGCTTGAGGCCAAGTGGTTGGCTTACAACCCCTCCCCTGAATCATCAGTGATGCTGTGACACCACACCAGATGTGCACTGGTTCCTCAAGAGATAAATCAACATGGACAGGCAGGTATCTCAAAAACAAGTAACCAAGATTTTTAAAAACCATCCAAGATGAAAGTGGGTAAGATACAGCATCTCTGAGGAAGTCCCTTAAAACAGAAGCTACTGTCCTAACTCAAGTAGTAACAAGTGTTGCTCAGCAAACACAGCAGCATGACCAACACTTTTATTTTAGGCATCTTTTATTATTCCACTTGTTCTCATCCTCCACCCCCAAATATACTGTAAAGAAAAAGTGGACATTTGAAAAGGGATGTGAATCCTTGCAAGCATGTGCCTCCATACCAAAGCTTAAAAATCATCGTTTAGAAGGCTTCAATAACTAGGACGTGTTAATGCAACTAGGCCAATTAAAAACAAGTGACATATCCCTGCCCCTCCATGTGCTATTCACAGCCACTAAATTCCTTGGCGTAGCATGTGGTCTTGGCCTGGTGCTGAAAGGACAGTAGGGTTGGGGCCAGGCAGGCCTCAGTGGGGAGATCATTCCCTATGTGCAGGCTGTGGCAGAAACGGCCCTATTCCTTGTTGTCACCAACCAAGTCTTCTTCAGAGGTGAAACCTGGAAGAAGGCATCTAATTCTGAGCACATGGTTCAGGGTGATTATGGTCAGAAGACAGCTGGTATAGACAGTGGTACCTTGGCTCACGAACGCCTCAGTTCACGACCAAATCAGGTCGCAAGCAAAAGTTTCATAAAAATTTTGACTCAGGTCGCAAACTCCGCATCAGGTGGTGACCGCAATCGCAGCCATCTCCCCACCCCTCTCCAAGTGGGGAAATGGCCACTATCGTGCTGGGGGGAGGGGGGAGATGGCCAAGATTGTGCCCATCTTTCCTGCACAAATGCGCCCATGATTGTGCCCATCTTTCCTACACAAGCGCAACCGCGATCTCGGCCATCTCCCCTCCAGCATGATCACGCCCGTCTCTCCCCCGAGCATGCCCGCATTAGCGCCTGCCCCCCCCCCCCAGTGAGCCCTCATTCGCACCCGTCCCGTCCCCCCCAGTGCGATCGCAATCGTGCTGGTGGGTGGGGAGATGGCCGCACTCATGCTCGGGATGAGGGGGAGATGGCCATATCTTTGTTGTTCTTTGTCACTTTGCTTCACATTTTTCTGATTTAAAAAAATTGTTACAGAATGGATTAACCTTATTTACACTGAACCTTATGGGGAAATTTAACTTGACTCACAACCAATTTGGGCATGACCAGAATCCTGGAATGGATTATGTTTGTGAGCTGAGGTACCACTGTAAATATAAATAATTATTTCCTGTATTTGAAAATACATGCGAGAGAGATGGTGTAAGGTTCAATCTACTGCAACCCTCCCCTCTCTGCTCAACTCCTGGGGCGGCCAATAATCTCGAGCAAAGATAGGGGAAAAAACATGATGCAGTAACAGTCTATCAGATATTTCCACCACTTTATTTTAAGAGAGAGAAGAGGGAGGTTTGACCATGCAGTTGCCATTTTTGGTGGTAGCTCCATATTTGGGGTGTTGTTCATGAAATTGCCACTGGTTTTGTTGCACTGAATACTTAAGGCTGCAATCCTGGGTATGCACATTTATATGGAAGTGAATCTTCTTCTGAGCAATTATGCATTTAGATTGAGCTGCACTACATACCTGTTAGACTCAACTGAACCTGCTCCTTTACAGAAGCAATTACTTTGCAACTACTATTAGGGTGCAACTGATCAGGCACGAAGATCAGAGAAAAACATACTTGATAACTGTAGGAAAATGTAGTAGTAAAAGCAGACAGTCTAATCTGTGCGAATTGTGACATGAGCAGGCACGCACAAAAAGCATGTGGGTGCAAAGTGCCAGCGGTCCACCCACCATCCATTCCGACAATGCCTAAAATGCATAAGATGAGTCCAACATTATTTTTTCCTCAAGACAGTGTCAGTACTTGAAAAACTCTGTATCACCCTCTTGCAGTGACCCATCTCTCCCACCCCCAGAATTAGGCAATAAAACTAAACTGGGGCAAGGACCTTCCCTTTGTATAGCAAGCCTTACAAAGATGTGATGAGTTAATACTTTTCCTCCTCTACTTCTCCTCCCCCCCCCCCCAACCCAGGCACACACACAGCCTGGGCCCTCACCACTCAAAGAACTCCTTCTGTGTAAGAGATCTATCCACCCACTCATTTCTCTTTCCCTTTCCTTTTCTTCTGTAAGGAGCTATAAGCAACCGCTACAGAGCAGGATTCGCCCTCCTGAAGCATGAGATCAAACAGCCTTGCCTGAAGGGAGGCTCAGCCCACAGAAGCACGATAGGGAGTGTGGGGCCTCTTTCACCTGTTTCCTCTTTCGGCCTAACACACTCGAATGCCTCCAAAGAGAAAAGCCCTGGGCCCTTGTCCCATCCGAAGCCTCCTCCTCCTCTTTTTGTCCTCAGCTCTCCATTATCCCCACACCACTAAGTGAACGGATGCATTTGAGAGGTCAATCCACTCTGGCAGGGGGTATGCAGCCATGCATCTCTGTTCTTTCACTGTTTGAACTTAAAAAGCAGGGAAAGAACCAAGACCTCCTTGTGCATATCAACTCTACCAGGCCATTGACTAGAGAGTACATAAGGCACAGGCTTTTAATCCAGAATGAAATGAAGTAAGGTAACACTGCAGTAATAGGTGGTATGTTTTAGGGGTTGCCTTCATTCCGCCCCACCCCAAGAAAGTCTGACCAATTTGTGCTTTCAAAATTGATAAAGCATTGATTTCTAAAGCTCTTTTTTAAAGTTCTGCATCATGCTAACCTGTTGACATTTCAAAAGAAATCAAGTTCCCAGAGTATCGCGGGTATCTTCACCAATTATATTTCTGGTGCACACCTAATACCTAGGTGCTAACCTCAGGAGCAGAGACGTGGCAATGAGCAGGGCTTGCAATGAGATGAAGGGCAAGTCACACTCCAGGTTATTCAAATTGCAAAAGAAGTAATTGTAATGCAGCTACCTGTACATGCATGGTCAACAGTTTTAAGAGTTAAAGTTTGGGATGGGTAGAGATACTCTGTTTTCCCACTTGTGGGGCTCCTCTGCCCCTAATCCCCACAAATGTGGGAGGACAGCCGTTTTTTCCAAATGTTACCTGGGCTCAAAACTTTTCAGATTTAAAATGAAGGGCTACTACACTTAAAAGAAGTATCTATTTTATGGCGTATGTTTATAATATTATAAATATTACTTTTCCCTCCATCCAGTCCCAAAACAACAGACAGGCACTCTCCTTTCAACTATGGGATAGCTCTGTTAATAGTGCCTCTCAGTGTCCTTTACCCAAAATTTGCAGCTCAGGGGTCACAGGAGACAAGGATGCTTCCTGGACAAGGATAAAGCTCCCAGTATGTAGCCGGTCCCTGTTTTTGTCTGCTGTAGTGTAGATTGTTCTGGGGATTTTTAGTGTGAATCATCTTATTTGCAACACAACAAGCACAGCAACAAAACAGCAACTAATTAAACAGGAAAGTTGTATCATGCAAAGTATCAACATATGGTACTTAACATCTCTCTTGACATACATTGAAAAGAAAATGGAAAAACAAAAAAAAATGAGAATGAGGATAAAAGGATTAATGGTTTCATTTTAAATACATACATTACTACAAGCAGTCCCTATATCTAAATAAGCACCCATATGAAATTGATAGTTTTAGGACATACATTCAAACAAAGCAAGACTAGTAAGAAGTTCAGAGCATTGAATGATAGGTGGTGGGCACTCTTCCAAGCTTAAAGTAGAATGACTCCTGAGCAAGTTTAGCAGTCATATGTTAAGAAGAGGGGATTTCTTACAGATCCTTAACGGTTTAAATAACAGAGAATAGAAAGAAATGGACAGTTTTTGCAACAGAGGGATGTAAACAGTGGCATGCCCAACAGATCTGTATCAGGGTTTTTCTAACTTGTCCATAGATGAGCTAGAG